GAAACGTGTGTCACACTTTGATATTTGTTTTAAGCAAACAATTATTTTTTACATTTTTTCGACCTAATCTATCTAATTATCAATACGTTAATATTCAAATATCTACATTAAACCACTCCTTAGAAATACGATCGCTCTATACAGCGTTAGATACGTAAACATATCGTGATGTACACAGCCGACCTGTCTATTAATTAATTAATGGACAGGTCGGTTGTGTACATCTGAGCTAAGCTTCATCTCTTCGTTTTATTACTCTATGTCTAGAAGAGTCAGAATGGTTAAGCACTGCGAACCAAGATGTGAACGCTCTAACGCAAAAATCGAGGAGCATCTTGCGATTTACTCCTTTAAAACTTAAACACTAGAAACACACTCTTTGCTATTTTTAAATATGTATGGTACAGGGACACAAGAAGTATAACCGAGTTGGTGAGGTAAAACCAGAGGCCAAAGCGTAGCGACACTTTTAAGTCGAGGCTGTTTAAAAATTTGATGACAACTTTTAGAGTGAGATTTCAGTGAAATCAGGGGCGTATTCAGGAATTTCTTAAATTTTGTTTTCTTTCCAGGGGGGGAGCTTAGCACCCGTTGGGGCCTAAAAACCCCTGAAATCAATAGATTTCACTGGTCCAGGGGGGGGGTGGGGCTTAGTCCCCCCTGAATACGCCTCTGAGTGAGATAATGCCTATTTGTTGGATATGTAAGAGAGCTCTGCTGACTTATACTTCTTTAGCTATTAATTATAAAAAAAATTATTTATATGTATAAAAAATTATTTATATGTATAAAAAAATTATTTATATGTAAAAAAAATGGAAAAATATGGAAAAAGGCTTCGACTCATAATTGCTTCGGGGAATATTTGCAGCTTAATTCTTCCTCTTATAATAAATAATACTAGCTTGAGGGCCCGGCGTTGCCCGTTTAACCCTAAGTCGTTTGACCCAATGTATGAATCCAGATCTGGAATTTAGATCCGGATGCGGACGTTCAGCTCTCTGAATCCTGATCCGGACATTCAGCTCTCTGAATCCAGATCCGGACATTCAGCTCTCTGAATCCGGACCCTGACATTTAGCTCCCTGAAGCTGAATCCGGACATTCAGCTCTCTAAATCCGGATCCAGACATTTAGCTCCCTGATCCAGCCCCAGAAATTTAGCTCCCTGAATCTGGATCTAGACATTTAACTCCCTGAACCCAGATCCGGACATTCAGCTCCCTGAATCCGAATCCGGACATTTAGCTTCCTGAATCCGGATCCAAATATGGACTTCAAGCTATCGAAATCCGGATTCAGACCTGTGAACTACTATATTATTCTGTACTGTACTGTATTGTACTCACCACTAGATATCCTTGACTCCAGCGCTTGTAGCTTATCGGTCAACGTGAAGTTGAGGTAGAGGAGGGAACCGAGGCAGGTCAACATAAACACTACTCCGCCCAGCTGGCAGGCAGAAGGCGGAGAACCACATTTACAAGGGCGGCTGCTGTCCCAGTCTGACGGGGGCGGGGCAGGTTGGGAGGATCTAGGGGCACGCTCCCGTCGTTTATATTTAACCTGAAAATTAAGAATGAATAAATTTGGTTAAGAAATTATTTCTGTCTCAGTTGCAGTTTTTGCTTTTCTATTCTTTTCAAACTTATTCTACTTTTTTTATAATTATTATTATTATAATCATTCTTCTAAAGTATTGTTTTCTAGTTTAAATTTTTATCCCTATCTTCTTTAAACGATTCTTTCTTCATTGCTTTGCTTCTTTTCTCCTTTTTTTAAACTGTTTGTTTTTTAATAATATTAATTATACGAGTGAGGGGGGTCCATGTGGTCATGAGCCCAGCAGTACCCCGTTTGGACCCAGGTAGTTAGCAGAACCCTGCCCGAACTCCACGAAATCCCAGCAAAAGACTGTTAAAAAACAGCTTTTATTAACAATTGACTTTAAAAGAAATAATTTCAAACCTAAAAACGTGAGGTTACATACTCTTCTAAGCTTAGAAATAAAAAATCAATGCTTAAAACTCTTTTCCGCTGGGTTCGGGCAGGGTTCTACTAAATCTTCAGGGTTTGAACAGGATATTGCTGGCTNTATTAGTTCTTCAATTTATCTTCTTTATCTTCTGTTTTCTAATTTTCTAAGTCTTCTTTGCAATTTTAGGGTTTAATACAGTTTTTGTACAATGTACATACGGGGTGACCAACAAAGGCTAAGAGAGTAAAGACGACCTGAAAAGTGAAACTCTTTAAATTTGACGATTCCGAGGGTATACTAAGTCTTATGCATTCAATATAACCTTTTTTATGGCTTATTCAATGATTTGGCAAAAAACAGAAACAAGTTTACAGTTGGAGGGAATGATAATTATAAAAAACAGACATTATAAGTTCTACACATTCGTCTCTGAAGTCTCATCCTTTGTGGGTAATTTATTTCTCCCCATTTTCTTCCGTTTTCTGACAGTATGCGGGTAGGTAGGACAACATTAAGCGTGTGGTAAAACCCGGTTTTAGCGCCATATTTGTTTTACCTTTCATCTATTATGTGTGCGGGTAGGTAGGACTATATCAAGCATGTGGTAAAAACCACTTTTAGTGTCATCTTTGATTTAACTTTCTTCTACTCTGTGTGCATGTAGGTAGGACTAAATCAAGCTAGTGCTAAAAACCAGTTTTAGCGCTATCTTTGATTAATCTTTCTTCAATTCTGTATACGGACAGGATAGCTTAAATCAAGCGCGTGGTAATTAAACCGGGTTTAGTGCCATCTTTGATATACCTTTCTTCTACTGTGTGCAGCATGAGGTAGGTTGGACTAAATCAAGCGCATGGTAAAAACCGGTTTTAGTGTCATCTTTGATTTACCTTTCTTCTATTCTGTGTGCGGGAAGGTTGGACAAGATCAAGATCAGGGACGGATTCACTCCCAGTGTCCGACAGGTTAAGGAGGGTGAAGGTCTCGCGGTCTAATAAGCTCGGCATTCTAAACAGAAAAAATCAAATAAAATTCAAAAATAAAAAATATATAATTGGATTTCTAACTTTTGTTCTTCGTTTTGTAAGTTAAAACAAATGTGCAGGAAGGGGGTCTCATTTTTCACTTTTAAAGATACTTCTTCCAGGTTCTAGTGTTTAATTCTGATAATTCTTACGTAGTTTCCTGCATTAGAGAAACCACAATTGAAAATATTTAGTTTTCAAGATAATAAAAATTGATAAATAATTCATTATTGATCAAACGAGGCTTTTAAGGATACCGCTTTAAATCGGGATTCGCAATCTTTGCATGGAGGGTCAATGAAAATTACGCTTACAATCCCTTTAAAACGGAAAACCTAACAGAAAAAATTCAATAAAACAACAATTTGCCTCCTGCTTAGTACCCCCCATTTTAATCAATTTGTTTTTTCCAACCTCTAGATCACGTCCTGTATACAATACACCCTTGCAAATATTTTTTTTAATTGGGGGGAAATATTCCCACAACCTCTACTTTTAGAGGTTTTTAAATATTTTCTCCTGAAACACTTTATTTTGTATGTTTTTGTATATTTCATAAATAACTAATTTTTTACTTTTTTACTTTAAATGTAGTTTCTGACTTTTAGAACATAAAAAAAAAGTATATTCAAAGTATGCAGATTTATTGCTGGTTTTTGAGATGGGATTCAGAGAAAATAGCATCTGGATGTAAGTTTGTATAAACTGCGCTGGGAACTTTAAAATGGGATACCTTTAATCCCGACTGCTTAATCCGTATATCCAAAGTGGAAACTTTTAATTTTTTTCCTAATCCACTCTTTTTTGGGATAGAGTACAGAAAAATCAAAAAACCGGTTTTTCAATAAGAGAGAGTGCACCCTTTTTTGTATATTATTCTTAAATGGCGCGCAAAATTTCAAATTTTCCGGCTTCTGATACACGACTCTGATTTGTCAAGTTTTATACACTTTTCAGGATACAAGTACAAGATTAGGTTAGTCTCGAGATCAAGTAAAGGAGAGGATCAACCATTAATCTCGATATCCATCATTCTAAAGTTTTCAGCTCTGGACTTTTCATTTTTTAGAACTTTTGAAACCACTGTCCTCAAATAAGATCTTAATCAATATAAAATTATCGGAGTTAGTGAATATTTTCACAATACAAAAGAAGCAGATCACATTTAGGAAATCCTGAACTCCAATAAATGTGTAAGAGAATATTTAGGAAATCCTGAACTCCAATAAATGTGTAAGAGAATATTTAGGAAATCCTGAATTTAAATGTGTAAGAGAATATTTAGGAAATCCTGAATTCCAATAAATGTGTAAGAGAATATTTAGGAAATCCTGAACTCCAATAAATGTGTAAGAGAATATTTAGGAAATCCTGTATTCCAATAAATGTGTAAGAGTATATTTAGGAAATCCTGAATTTCAGTCAATGTGTAAGAGAATGTGTTTTATGTAAGAAAGTTATAATGCTATATTTTGGAAAATAAACTTTGAACAACGACAATCGACAAATTACATTCTGTTCATTTTATAATAATTGGAACTCACTTTCTTTAAGTAGAGCAGGAAAATAACATATTAATTAAAGTAACAGACAATTTTTCTCTAAACAATTTAATCAGCAGGAAAAAATGACGATTAAAGAAACTGTGAGCGTAATTTCAAAGATATACGATACCCCTGAAACCTTAATCCTCATCAATAATGTAGAAGGTTTCTGCCTCGAAAAGTGTTCAAATTTTGATAATTTCGGGAAAAAAGAACAGTTTTCAAAAACAAAAACATGGAGTTCTTATTAGAACACTTTTGAGGGCATCGTTGTAAATCGAGAATTGCAATCTTTAAATGGAGGGTCACTTAAAATTACACTAACAGTCCCATTAACAGGACATAAAACACATACCTGACTAGGTTATATGTTAATATGTAAATATGCTTCTGTATTCTCTAACTACCAGCATGGAACTGTATATTGCCCACCTGGCACCCCATATTCAAGCATCTGAAAGATAAGAAAAATTTGTAAAACAGTAGTTTAAGTAGATATTTATACATCATACTGTCGTATCTTCTTCCGGGGAGGATCAGCTGATTTGGCCATTTCCTTCATTGTCTCAGCATCAACATCTTCAGATCTAATAGCAAAAGAAATTTTTAATGAAAATTAATAATATGAAATGAAAAAAATTGCGAGCTAGGCATTGACTGGACATTGAACAAATAAAAATAAAAATTCAATAAAGCTTGTTTTGGTACTTGTTTATTTGTAACAAATGAATGTCAAAATCAGGCACAATTTTTTGAGTTTATGCAGCTAGGCTCATCGAAATTAAAAAATTGTCGACAGTTACGATTTTTAAAAATCCAAAAGTATAGTACGATAATAAATAACAATAAATGAAAATGCGTAACTGAAAGTCAAGCATGATATTAAATAACATTAAAAAAAAGTGCGTAACTGAAAGTCATCCATGTTAATAAATAATAAATAACATTAAATAAAAGTGCGCAGCAATTAAGTTCAATAAAGTAAAGATAAAAAAGAATAAATAAATAAACAAAAGGTCAACCACCATTCCGTAGAAATCAAGGCCGAGCTTCCTTAAAAAATAATAAGGACGGAAATAACTGTAACAGTTGATTAATGACACAAGTCTAGTGTGAATCAACAATTAACAAGAGACGAATAAAAATTAAGTAAAAACTACAAAAATAAAAATAAATGTTGTCATGTCTTATTTTAAAAATATTTGTTTTTACATCTTTAACAATAGATAATAAAAAGGCAATAAAGAAGAAAAGGTGTTATATTTCCAACCTCAGACTTTTACACAATTTAATAGTTATTATTTATACACTGGGACCCACACAGCTGTGGAAAAAGAAAACGACATTTATAGCCATCTTGAGTGTATTTGAATGTGTTGTAAAGCAAATAGTTTAACCAATATGTTGAAAATCAACGTGAAATGGGTCTATGTACAATGTACACAATTGCTGTGTTTTATGTCCACTGGAATATCTAAAATAAAAATTTAAAATAAGTCGTTTTCCTCTTCCAAAGTTGTATGTGTTCCACCTGAGTAAAAATTTTTCCAATTCGAAAAAAAACTAAAAAAGCAGAAAAAAAACTATAAAAGCAGAAAAAAAACTATAAAAGCAGAAAAAAAACTATAAAAGCAGAAAAAAACTACAAAAGCAGAAAAATATGACGAGGGATCAAAAGTTAACTTTAGTAACACTTGAAACAGTAAATATCAAGTGACATTAGCTATATGCCAAATTTATTTTGAAAAAATGCTTAATCAAATCAAATCAAATCAAATCAAATCAAATCAAATCAAATCAAATCAAATCAAATCAAATCAAATCAAATCAAATCAAATTAAAATCTTTAAGAGAACCCAACGTAGAACCCCCAGACTGCCTTTAGAAGGTATAACAACCTACCCTAGTTTCTGTTCTCCTGGATTCCACAGCCCGCTTGTAATCATTCTCTTAGCTGCTCCTTGATCAACCCGTCCTCTCTTCTCACGATCCTGTATCTCCTTGCACCTGGATATTGCTGATCGAACCCGTCCTAGCTCAGTCTTCACGTCACTAGTCTATATATACGGAGATTTTACTAAACCTACTCTGAATACTGTGGTCGGTGTTTATATCAATACAATGAAGACGAAAAAGTTAACAAATACAGAAAGAAAAGGTTTTAATTGACAACTTTCTTTGTTTCCATGTTTATGTGTATCAACACTGTTTGAAAGCATGGTAGAAATCAGAATTAAAATCAAATTATTTATATAAACGACAACGACTGTATATATCACATATACTGGTCTCGATACAAGGATAAAACTAAACCTACTCCAAGTTACTATTTAATACCCATAATTAATGATGCATGCTGGGCAAAGTTGTTTTTCTGACATTATGCTAAATTTTTACTCTGGCCAAAGAGAGTAATCAAAACGATTAGATTAAAAAATCGTTAGAAAATTATCTTTATTCAGAGAAAAAAATTCTCAAAAGGAAAAATATAGAGAACACAATTTTGTAATGTGATAAATAATTCACATTTTTGTTGAGCACTTTTAGCGTAAAAAACCTTAAATGTCTGAAAACAGACCTGAAAACGATGCTTATCAGCCTATAATACAACATTTATTTTTATTTGCAGTATAAATGTAACCTAACCTAAATAATAACTAGAAAATAAATCTGTTAAACGTTCTCAACTAAAAACAAAATAGTGGCGAATAAACAATATTATTGTGATTGCTGACAAATAAAATCATAAAAGAACCGAATTCATGGCGGTTGTAAAAATGTTACGGTACATTTATCAATTACAAGGGTGAATAATAATATAAAAAATTTAAAAAGCAGTTACCAATAGTAGATTTTTCAACCTTTATTTAATCAATATCGTCGTTCTTCCACCTTGAGAAGTGTTTTATTTTGACAATTTCCTTGATTATTTCTGTAGCAAAAATCCGCGAGTCATTTAAGAATTTACAAAGTTATATTCATGGATATCTCATTTATTCTTGATCTTTCAAAACTTATAAAAACTTTAAAGTTTACAGTTCAACAGTTGTGAATCGGACATGTCAATCTGTAAATGGAAAGTCACTTAAAATTACGTTTACAGAGTCCCTTTAAGAAATGTATAAAAAAAAAAAATACCTGAGGATTATGTCCGAGAGTTTTTAGAAGCATCCAGACTAAAGAGTTTATCGAGTACAAGGATACAATATCAATCTTAGCCCTGAACATATTTCAATTACAAAGCTGAGAGATGTTATATGTTATAACCACCCCCCCCCCTCCATTTAAAAATATATTATTTCCCCAAAAAAAACACTTTAAAAAATACTGTTTTCCGCCGGAAATATTCTTAACTGAAGGGAGGGGAAATCATTTTTTTTCGAATTTCTTTCCCACCGTAGTTAGTTGATTGTAGATTGATTGCGAGAAAAAAAACATTTGAAAATCAAACCCCCTCCACATATTTCTGTACTTAGAATTTTTAAAATGTTTTTATTGTAGAATCGCACAAATAAATTATTTTTATGAGGGAACTACAAAATTATCAAAAGAGTGGAAAAAATACCAATGAAGTCCAATTTTCATTAATTCCCAAATCTTTGACAGAAGCTCTTTCATTTCTAAAATCAATTATATGCCCTGTAAAAAATACTTTAGTTCCAATCAATTAATACCATTTATATAGTCAATAGTAAAATGGGGTGTATATTTTCTTTTAAATAATTTACCCCCCCCCCCCTGATGAAAATATTGTTTACCCTAGTAGTTATGTATGTTTGCGCGGAGTGGAAATTTTCAGGGGGGGGGGGGTTATGTTTACTGTATTCGTTAAAAACTTAATACAAATAATTTTCAGGGAAAACTGAATGAAGTTTGGGTAAAAAAGTGTCAAGAAGCTTGAAAAAACTTGCCTAAAATTTTTTTATTTTCCCACAGATCATCAAAAATCATTTTAAAAATATAAACTCCATTTACACCTCGTGATAGGATCCAGATTTTGAAACATCTCAGTCCTGTTCAAGGAGAGAAGATCTTTAAATCCGTCCTCCAGAGACCCGAGGCTGGAGTTGAACCTAACGACAAAACTTTAATTTAATCCGATTATAACAGGTTCAATCGGGTTACCCCTGAAGTTTAATTCAAGCAATTTCGTTTATGGATACATTTCTTACCATATCCTAAAGGATTTCGGCCGTAAAACCCCGAAAATAATACAACTAGTGTTAGTCTCTAAACAATGAACAATGAAGTTGAGATCCTAGCTAGATCTTGAACCTTAGGTTTATATCCTCTAGGCTAGAATTAAACCTGAACCTAAGGTTTATATCCTCTAGGCTAGTATTAAACCTGAACCTTAGGTTTATATCCTAGGATGGAGTTAAACCTAAACCTTAAGTATACATCCGTTAGAACAGAATTAAACTTAAACCTTAGGTTTATACTAGACTAGAGGTAAACTTTTGGTTTAATTTCTATACTTGAGTTGAACCTGAACCTTAGGTTTATACCCTAACCTGTAGATACTCCTAAACCTTAGGATTAACCTCAGGTTTATACCCCATTCGACTATAGTTAAACCTGAACATTAGGTTTAGATCTTTTAGACTAGAATCAAACCTGAACATTAGGTTTGGAGTTAAAATGAACCTTAGGTTTATATATCCTAGAGTAGAGTTAATCCGGAACCTTAGGTTTATATACTCTCTTAGATTTATATCCTCTAGACTAGAGTTAATCCTAAACCTTAGGTTAAAATCCTAGACTAAAATTAATCCTGAACCTTAAGATTTATTCTCTAGGCTTAGATTAAACCTGAACCTTAGGTTTACATCCTAGACTTTGGTTTATATCCTAGACTAGAGGTAAACCTTAGGTTTAAATCCTAGACTAGAGTTGAATCTGAACCTAAACCTAAACCTTAACCTCAGGTATTTAAAAGGTACAGCATCGTAAAATTTTAAAATTGTTTCATGTAAAAAAATATGAATTACCTCCTAACTGTGTCCAAAAGCTCCTCAGGAAAATCTTCATCATTTATAATTATTTCCATCTTATATCTTTAAACGCACGCAATTTGTAATTATAAAAAGATGTACATTGTACACTGCAATACAGTTTAAATGCATACAAATTAAACGAATTTATAACGTTGAATATGATGGTATTTTCAAATTTATAACAATTAAACTGCATAGCATTTAAACTGAACATTAATTGTCTACATAAATAATTAGCACACAAGTAAAACAAGAATTCAGTAATCGTAAATTAAACTGAAATAAACAAAATTTGTTTACAGAGATTTTGCGCAGTTTGCCGCGGCCAGTTTCCATAGTATTAAACGTTATAGTCCGAACAATCAATAAATCAAAAACCTTATCTCATTAAAATGTTCAAGCGAAGTATGTATATGAACAGAATTGTTACAATACAAAGAACAAATTGACAAATTGGTACCCGCTCATCGAACCTAGAGAAAACAAACCTAACGTTTTTCTGACCTAACATTTTTCCTACCTAAAAATCTGTATAGGTTCGATTAGCGAAATGTCCCAAACTGACCTAAAGATTGGAAATATATTTAGGTCGGTTATTAATACATTTTAGGTCAGTTGGGAATATATTTTAGGTTGATTAGATAAGCATTCATTTTAGGTCGGTTGAGCAATATTTTTTAGGTCGGTTGAGCAATATTTTTAGGTCGGATGAGCAATATTTTTAGGTTGGGTAAGAGTCCTTAACAGGACCATATAGTTCCCAATATTGAAAATGTTTTATCTTCGTTTTAATTATTTTAAATTATGCCCCTAAAAGGACAATATGTGAAGCTTTCAAACAAAATTTCTACCGAGAAACAGGTTCGACCTCCTGTGTTCTGTGGTATAGTGAGAACACCGTCTAAATCTGAATTTATAGAATAAGTTTAGAGCTTTACTTTACCATTGAGAAATTGAAATAATAAAATATCAAGTTCAACAAGTAGATCTAAAATAATTAGCAAAAAATATATTTATGAAGGCAACAAAAAAAGTAGAAAAGAGAACTTTTTAAATTAATTTCTGACTGTGGTGAGCCCTAGTGGTATCATTTTTTGTACTACAAAGCATATGTCGGGCCACCTGGATATAATTATTAAAATGATTAAACTTGTTGAACGTGGTTTGTCATTGGTCTTAAGAAACTATAGGTTTACCGAAAAAACTGTTTTCAGGGGAGGGGAGTAAACATTAATCCTAGAGTAAGGCTAAAGATGAATCCTAGAGTAAGGCTGCACCAGGAGTATGAATGTATCCTGGTGAAAGGATGTATCCTGGAGTAACGATGTATCCTGAACTCTTGAGTAAGGATGTATCCTGGAGTAAGGATTTATCCTGAAGTAAGGATGTATCCCGGAGTAAGGATGTATCCTGGAGTAAGGATTTATCCTGAAGTAAGGATTATCCCGGAGTAAGGATGTATCCTAGAGTAAGGATAAATCCTGGAATAAGGATGTATCCTGGAGTAAGGATGTATCCTGGATTAAGGATGTATCCTGGAGTAAGGATAAATCCTGGAAAAAGAATGTATCCCGGAGTAAGGATGTATCCCGGAGTAAGGATGTATCCTGGAGTAAGAATTTATCCTGAACTAAGGATTTATCCTGAAGTAAGGATGTATTCTGGAGTAAGGATGTATCCTGAAGTAAGGATGTATCCTGGAGTAAGAATGTATCCTGGAGTAAGGATGTATTCTGGAGTAAGCATAAATCCTGGAAAAAGAATGGTATCCTGGAGTAAGGATAAAACCTTGAAAAAGAATGTATCTTGGAGTATTTTTTTATAAATAAAGTGTTTATATATGGGTCCCAACTCCCAGGCCGGAAAGTAAGTTAAGAGAATAGAGGAGAATACCAAAGAAAATAAATAAGGGTCCCAAGGAGTGTATTGAGTTGAGAGAATAGGGAAGAGTACCAATTTGAAGGATATTAATTTGTTTCTATTTTCATTTTATTTTATAAATCCTGTGTTGTATTTACATTGATAAACTTATAAAACATTTACGAGCGTCAACCATTGGTTGTCACTTAAATGGTGTTTATGTGGGGATTTGGGTCTACGATATTATTCTGCTAGCACCTAGTAGATCAGGCCTCCAACAAATGACAACAATCTGTGAACATTTTGCTGATATATATGATTTGAAATTTAGTACAAAGGTTAATGTTGTGAAATCAAAAACAAAATGTTTAATATTCTCTAAAACTATTATTGATGTGAATTCTGTCCGTCCAATTATACTGAACAATTTACCATTGCCATTTTTTAATGAAATTACGCATCTCGGAAATATGCTTCAGTCAGATAATTCAATGCCTAAGGATTGTAGTATAAAGGGAGCTTGCTTTATTTCAACGATACATTCGCTTAATCAAGAGTTCTAAAAAGATCCAAACACTTTAATGAAACTTTAAAGTATATGTATATATATCTACTTGTAGTTTTCATGGTTCCCATCTATGGGACTTGTATTGTAATGATTTTGTTAGATTATATTCATCATGGAATATGGCCGTTAAAGTTGTATTCAACCTACCTAGAGCAACCCATAGATATTTTATTGAACCAACTTCGGAAACCATCACTTAAAGACTATGCTGTGTTCGCGATTTGTATCATTCTTTCATTATAGTTTATACAGAAAAGTAACAAAATCGGTATCCGATTGCTTTCAAATGTTTTTCAGAACAATTTAATGAAAACTCTTGGCAAAAGTATTTACAACATTGAACAAGATTGTAATTGTTATCCCAGTGATCTAACAAAACTGTATGTAAAAAGTAATTTAACTTTTTTAATATCCTTTTTTAAGGATATTAATTAAGTTTTATTTTCATATTATTATATAAATTAAGTGTTTAATTAGGTTCTATTTCCATATTATCTTAAAAATAAAGTGATAAAACCTATAACAAGGATATTAATTAAGTTTTATTGTCATATTATCTTAAAAATAAAGTGATAAAACCTATAACAAGGATATTAATTAAATTGTATTGTCATATTATCTTAAAAATAAAGTGTTATAAACCTATAACAAGGATATTAATTAAGTTTTATTGTCATATTATCTTAAAAATAAAGTGTTTAAACCTAAAACAAGGATATTAATTAAATTTTATTTTCATATTATTTTATAAACAAAGGGTTCAATCCTAAAATAGGGATAAAATAAAAGTTTGAGGCAAAATGGTTCTGGGATTCATGAGTTATGATCTGAAATCCAAACAAACAAACAAACAGAGATAACTAACTTGAAACCCAGCTTTGCCCGGAAACTCCTATAAAAGTCAATAAATTTTTGAACCAGACTTAGAACATTTCCGTGGTACTACCGAGTTCCCTAATCAAACTTTGAGGCAAATCTTTGTCTATATAAATATAGATAAAGATGTTAATAGAGGGTTTAACCCTAAAAGTTCTATTTTGATAGTATTATGTAAGGATGACAGTATATAGTAGATTGACCGGCTAGCTGCTCTCCTTACTCCCTGGGTCACACACCATGGAACAACAATAACAGAACAAACTGGAAAATTATTTCATCTTTCTATGTTCAGTATTGACACAAACTAAATAAATTTTTTAATAAATTTAGTAAGTACAATTCTTAATAAAACTGGATGTTTAAAGTAAAATAATACTTAATGAATGCATAACTATGAAAGATGAAATCATTGTTTTTTATATTTGAATGCAACAGTGACCTGCCCAGGCCAGTCTAGGTCAGCTACTCGTAGCGGTCACACAGGCAGACAAATCTTGCATTTAATCTTAAGGGTTTCTTGAGATTTTCCTTTTCCACATAGGATGAGAAATGAAAGACGAATAAAATTATTTTGCACAAGGTTACTTAGACGACTCATACTCATATATGTATAATAAAACTCGGGTTTCTTGACATTGTAACCTTTGCACGGTTTTATTCACTTAATATGATACTTCAGAGACGACTGTAAAGAATTTATTCAGTCTTGTTTGTTAGTTTCATAGTTCTAGAATCCTTACTTTTATCTCTGCAGTGCTATTTGTTAGCATTCCAGAGCGTCATTAAAGCCTCATATTTTAAGGGTAACCATGTTGTCTTAAATTTATGGTTCCGATAACACTTATTATCTCTTTATCATCATCCAGGGTTATCCACAAAGAATAAATCTCTCATGACGACCTAGAACTCTTTGAATTTAGTGATTCTATTTGAAAGTTTGAATTTGGCGTTCTGCTACTTTACTAATAAGTTGTCTACACAATTTTAAGTGACCCTTCATTTTATAATGGACATGAAGATTCTCTTGTCTGGTACCACTTTATAAGTACGTGACATGAAGATTCTCTTGTCTGGTACAACTTTATAAGTACGTGAAATGAAGATGGCACCACTTTATAAGTACGTGACATGAAGATTCTCTTGTATGATACCACTTTATAAGTACGTGACATGAAGATTCTCTTGTCTGGTACCACTTTATAAGTACGTGACATGAAGATTCTCTTGTCTGGTACCACTTCATAAGTACGTGACATGAAGATTCTCTTGTCTGGTACCACTTTATGAGTACGAGACATGAAGATTCTCTTGTCTGGTACCACTTTATGAGTACCTGACATGAAGATTCTCTTGTCTGGCACCACTTTATAAGTACCTGACATGAAGATTCTCTTGTCTGGTACCACTTTATAAGTACGTGACATGAAGATTCTCTTGTCTGATACCATTTTTCACCTTTGTCTTTGCAAATTGGTTTATCTTGAAAGGAATTGAGTATCTGCCTCAATCTCAAATCTTCCAATCTCTATATCTTTGCAACCTAATGGTGTAAATCTTTTATATCTTAGATTATTTTATCTGAGAGAATTCAAAGTTTGAAATATCTCAGGTCTACGACATTGGGTTTCAAAGAAATGGGGATTAGATAATCAGATTTTGAGGCAAAGAATAAATTCCTTTGTCGTACATATTTTCGATATTTAGTTTAAAGATATCCACAAAGAATGAGACTTATGAGACAATGGTACGGAATTTATTCAGTCTTAATTCTTTCAATCTTGGTTTCTGATGGTGAAAAACTTTTTAATTCTAACAGAATTCATAGTTTACGACATTCGGTTGCAAAGAAATAAACCCTATTTCTAGAACATTTCAGTTTGTGGCAAAAACTCGTTTCATTAACCTTCAGATTGTTATATTTTTTAGGTCATCCTTATAGTCTCACCCTTTCTCTCCTAACTAAACCTTCATCTCCTAAATACACCTTCTTGTCCTAACTAAACATTTTTGTCTAAATAAACCTGTTTGTCCTAACTAAACCTTCCTATCCTATCTAAAGCATCCTGTTACACTAATAAGGCTGAAAATTCCTAAAGAACCTACTAACATTTTTTGCAAATTTTCTGGTCTAATAGAACCCAGTTGTCAGTCAAGTTTTCACTCCGTCATTTCGTCACATTGTTAAAATATCTGAATTCTTTCTAGTGGGGCAGCTAGTTACAGGCTAACCTTGTCCTTGGGGTTTATTTTTAAAGAGACATGTCTCACAGGTCTGTATTGAGAACTATGCTGATCTNTCAAGAAAAGCTCAATATTTCAATTTTCAAATTTTACTTTCCAAACACGAGCTCACTCTGTAAAGAAAATAAAGGAAAGAATGTCGTCTTCTTTATATTTTTAATTCTTAAATTATAAAAAGATTAAAAGAAAACGACGACAATAATTGGACAGTTTTTTTATTACCCCTTTATCCTCAATTGGCATTATTTTAACCTATTTTTTTAACCTAATCTGGAAGTTGTCATGCTAATCACATGGGAAAAGTATAACAATTCACAATTGCTTTGGCGTATTTCAGGAATTTAACTTTTTTGTCGACATTACATTGGCAACATTTGATATTTTTTCCCAATTTAATTTAATGGGAAATTCATGAATTTTAAATTTCATTTATAAAAAAGATTTCTCTGTTCGTAGGCAGCGTAACATACGCCTGTTGACTTTAGGCTTTTTCAAGTTAGAGACGAAACGAATGGTTTAGTTAAAAACGAAACGAATATCGATGGTTTAGTTTAAAACGAAAAAACAAAATGGCGACTCAAATTCTCCGCGAGGGGAAAGTGACAACGGAGATTGTAGACCTTACAAACGGAATCGGAGGCAAATCAGCAGAGGTAATATTATGTTTTTCACTTTTCTTGTTTCAAGTTAAATTAAAGAAAAGAAAATAAGTCGTTGTCACAAAATGAAATTACTATTCCCTATATCTTTACAACCTCCTGGTGTAAAGCATTGATATGTGATTATAGATTATATGATCTGTGTTGAAATGAAAACTAGAGGTGATTTGAGTTCACAAAGTCGTATTAGTGATTAATGATTTATAGTCTACAGTTGAATTGCACATTTTCAATTGTTTTCGTATTTTTCCTGCAGAAGTGCAATGTGTTGACAAAATTTTTTCATTTTTAAAGATTTTTATCCACTCTGAAATCAGACTATCAGTGTAACATGGTGCAAAAACAAATCCTTCGCTTTATCTCTGTTTTATTTCTTTAGCCTTGACAATTTAACAAATAAAAAAGACAGACATTTTTGTTGCAAGAAAAACAAAATATCGATGTGCAAACTCTCGCTTGAGATTTTTTTTATGTTGTTGTTTACAACCTTGCTTAGGGTTGATTTACTCCGGACTGAAACCTTGCTCAGGACTGATTTACTCCGGACTGAAACCTTGCTCAGGGTAGATTTACTTCGGAAAGAAACCTTGCTCAGGGTTGATTTACTCCGGACTTAAACCTTGATCAGGGTTGATTTACCCAATACTAAAATCTTGAGATTAGGTTGACAGTGTTTTGGGTGTGCAAAAGAGATAAATCCTTCCTTAACCTTGACCAATTTACAGAACACCTTTCGTCACAGCTATCACCTAGGTTAGGGAGAAACCTGAGATTCTTAAAATAGTATGTATCACTGAAATCTAGACAACTCGGAAAGTTATTTTTCAAATTTTCAGACAGCCTCTACTTTAAAGTGTCACAACGACTTGGTTGTTGTTTTTACATCACCAGCTTTTTTGCAGCCCTAGACAAAATTGCAACGCGATTGCCTTTAGCATAAGTTTAAAAGGATTAATTAGCAAATTACTAATAGATTTTTGTGTGAGAGCACATCAAATAGTCTAAATTTGAGGTAAACCATCAGGTTGCAAAGATATAAAGATTAAAGTGATAAATTTCTTAATTTGATATTTGTTTAATTACACATGAATGATTTAAGAAAAGATAAACTTATAATATTAGGGGGTGGGAGTGTTTAGGGAGTATATATATAATAGGAGTACTCTATACATGTTCTACTCCTAGCTCTAACTGGGGGTGGGAGTGTATATATATATATAAATATATATATATATATATATAATAGGAGTACTCTATACATGTTCTATTCTACTTCTCTAACTGTAGGTGGGAGTGTATAGGGAGTATATACATATATTTATATATATATATATATATATATATAATACATATTCTACTCCTAGGAGATCCTAGCTCTAACTGGAGGTGGGAGTGTCCGTGAGTACACGGAGACCCGTCCTGATGGGAGTACTGTAACCTATACTATAGATGTAGAGGAGGAGATTATAGAGGTCAGTAGATTTTTATGTACATTTCAGTTTCAACATGTACACTGAACACAGTACACTTTACACTGTACACTTTATACTGTACACAGTACACTTTACACTGACACTTTTTACTGTACACTTTATACTGTACAGTATGCACAACCCACTTTGTACGCACTACACAGTACCCTGTTTACTGTACACAGTGCACTTTATACTGTACACAGTACAAGTTATAAATACACAGTAGACTTTATACTGTACACAGTACACTAACACAGTACATGTTATATTGGTCACAGTACAGGTTATACTGTAAACATTACACTTTATACTGTACACAGTACAGGTTATACTGTACACAGTACAGGTTATACTGTACAAAGTACAGGTTATACTGTACAAAGTACACTTTATACTTTAAAAATCCTTATAGTTCTTGTCCACACTAGAGAACAGTTAAAAAAGTGCAATCTTGTTTAAATACTTGACCAGTGCACTTGGCACAGTTAGTATAAAAACTGAGAAATAGAACAAATAAGCAAACTTTAACTGCAAATTTAAAAGCAATAAATTCCCGCTTTAAGTTTATTTAACCTAATTTTTGATCCCATATATTACAGCAGGGGATACTGAAATATTTAGAAGAAAAACAATGAACAAAAATAGAATAGAAGTGACTGTGGAGTAAAATAAAACAGGATAGAAATGAATAGAATAGAATAGAAAATAGAATGTAATACAACAGAATTTTATGAAATCGGAAAGAAGAAAAAGAAAAAAAGAAAGGTTAATTTAATTTCTTTTCTCTCTCTGCTTTGTTTTGCATTCATATACTTCCAATTTGGTCATGTATCATGCCATAATCTATGGTAGTAGGGTTGGCAACTTTCCGAACAAAAACAACAGTTTTTAAAGAATGTTAACCATGAAGACAGTTAATGAATGTTACAAATATCTTCCATTAAGACCGTCAAAAATCTAAATATTAAGGAGCGACTTATTGAGGCTGTCCATTCTGTTAATTTTAAATAACCATTACAAACAGTTTAAAAAAGTCCAAATGTGCATAGCTCTATTTGGAAGGAGTGAGAGCATAGATTAAAAAAATACTATGTTGATTTTGTGTAGGAACCAATGGAGATGGAGATCACTACAACAAGAACTGTAACCTCATACAGCCTTGAGGGTTCAGGTTCGCCAGGATCCATGTTTGGTAAATCTGGAGGTCAGGGGGAGGTTCAAATGGAGATAATTAGAGGTGAAAATGGAGGAGTGGGTAAGGGAGGACGTGGTGAGGTTCAAATGGAAATTCTCCAAGGTGAAAATGGAGGAGGAACTGTTACCAGGACTACCAAGACTACATCCTATGGAGGAAGTGGAGGAAGTGGCGGTGGATCATTGACTATGGAATACTCAAATTCTTCGAGTTTAAACCAGACTGGAGCAAGCTCGTCGCTTACACAAGTTCAGGTTTGACAAGATTCCAGCTGTTGTTAAATTCATTACGAAATACACACAGGTCTCATACCAGTCCTTTAATGGAGCTTAGTACCTTTGGCAACCATATTCACCATATTGTATGGTTAAAATTACCTTTTTAATGGGTTTTGGACGGCATTTCAGTATTTGTTTAATTTAATTCAATTCCGTTTAGCCAATATTATTCTTCAGTGAGAAATGAAATGAATGATTTTACTGAAAGAATTTTTCACAAATTGATTCAATTTTGGGCCTTCATAGATATCTAGAATGCTGTATATGTGGAACCCATACTATGTGACCCTGTACGAGTACGTAGATATATGTAAACAGTACAGTTTAGAGCACAATTCCTAGTGTACAGCAAAAAATTACCTATCTATTTAACTATTTTATCTCTGCATTATTCTCAAGGATATGTAGGGTTTCGATATGCCTGACTGAAACTTTATACGCTCTGTCTATAGTCTCGGGGAAAACAATTAAACTAGAGTTTTTTTCTTCTTATTTGTCTATTCTCTCAGATGAGATTTGTTGGAAAGAAGCTAAAATTCCTTTCTCCCCCACAAAAATTCTTAAAAGTTGATTTAGATTTTGTTCCAGTAACATGTCAAGATTTAATTAATTATTGTTGTTTCAAATAATTTTGATCTAGATGTCTGTTTTCATTCTTTGTCCTGAGATCATATTTATATTTAGAGCACATCCCAGGCTGGCGGGTCAACTCAAGCCTCAACAGCTATACAAGCCGGTCAGGTAGGCTAACTTTAAACCAAACACATAAACTGCATAATTACACAATAAAAATTCACATTTGGCTTTCCTGACAGTAAAACAAAATTAGCTAAATAATTAATTTCTACATGTTTCCTGCTCCTGTTGCTCTCTGATTTTCATCCTTCTCTCCTCCCCCTCCCCCCATTCTTTGCTATTCAACTTGGCCTTGGGTTTGCATCTAACTTGTGTTGTTTAGTGTTTAGCTAGTTTGGTGTCCAATGCACTGTCAGTCTTAAATTTATTATTTAACGGAAATATTTCTGCAGCCCTAAGAATTTTGTTTTTTCTGAACATTTCACAAATATCTTGAATTTCTAATTGTCACACAACAACAGCCTTGTTACGTATTGTATAATGTTTATGCTTAAATCATTAATCCTAAATCATACTGTTTACTTCACTAACTCTTATTCTTAGGTATCTCAGTCATCTAGCAGCCAAAAGAGCCAAGCCATGAAAATAGAAGCAGAAAAGGTTGCTACTATGGAACTAAAGTCTCAAAGAGAAGAGGCGGAGATGGATATGAAAACCATTGAAGAACCACCAAGATCAAGAAGAGTATCTAGAGCTTCTACAGCTCCTCCAGCACCCCCTAGACCTCCAGTTCCTGATCTCTCTGAGGTTCACGGTCCTCTTTACCCTGTAGAAAGGAAGCATCAATTTCCAAAAGATCCTCCACCTAGAGAAGATCCTAAATCCAAGAATGATCTAAAATTTCCAGTTTATGTTGCTGAAGGAAGTCACAGCTTCCAAGAGATACCTAAGGCTGGTGAAAAGGTCAGCAGTTTGTCTGGACCTGTCAGGGAAGTTGATCATGCGCATCATTACACAAAGGAAGATGTCACTTCCATTGAAAACAAAACTTTACTTGGCCCAACTTATACAGTAGGGGTGGAGAGTAAGCATAAGTTCAACATGATGGAGAGCAGTCAGAAGCCTGTTTCAACTGATATGAGTTCTCAGCAAATGTATCCTGTTATGGATTCTTCTCATGGTTCACTATTCACAGGACCAACAACTGGAACTAAGAGTTCTAACACAGAAGTCAAGGATCTTCAGTATCCAACTATGATGAACAAGAGAAGGTTTAATAAAGAAATGTCCACTCATGAGTTCTCTCAAGAATCTACATTTCAATCTGGAGAGAGAACTTCAACAGATCTTGTTGGCCCAATTTTTGACACTGATATTGTTCATCATTTCAAAGGCCTAATAACACATGCTGAACAGCTCAGCTTGATGTCTGGACCTGTTTATGAAAATGTTGAAAGAAGTCATCATTATGCAGAAGTTCAGAAACATGCTGAAGCCTTGAAGACTCTCAATTTTCCAGTCTTTGACATTGAAAAGAAGCATAGCTTTGACATTGTTATGAAAGAAGCTGAAAAACTTTTGCAAATATCTGGACCTGTTTTTCCAGTTACTCATAACAGTGGATACAAGCCTGAAATGATGAAGCATGAAAGAGACCTTGTCATGACAGGTCCTAAATATCCTGGAGTAAAGGAATCAAGTGGATACAATCCCTTCTCTCCCAAGGTTCAAGGGGAGATTGTTATGTCAGGCCCTAAGATGAGAGGAGTTACTGAGAAAAATCAGTACAACTTGGTTGAAGGAGTAAAAGTAGAGAGTGAGCTGCAAATGTCTGGTCCTGTTTATCCAAATGTGGAACGTACAAATCAGTACACTCCTTTAGATACAAAACCTCCATCAGGTGCAATTATGATGTCTACTCCTAAAATGCCTGGAGTAAAGGAAGCTCATAGCTATGGGCCACTAGCACAGAAGGTTCCCAAAGTACAAGAGATTACTGGACCAGTTATTACTGGAACTGACCCTAACAATAAATTCAATATTGTTCCTGAAAGGGTTTCTGGGAATATAACTCAATCTGGTCCAGTCTATCAGGGAGTTGAGCACAAAAGTGGGTTTAATGAGATGCCTGACAAAGTCTCAAACCAACCCATGATGTCAGGCCCAGTTTGGCAGGGAGTTGACAGCTCAAACAAGTTTAACATTGTTCCTGGAAAGGCAGACACAACAAAACAAATGAGTGGACCTTGTTACCCAGCAGACCCAGCTCATAAGTTCAGTGGAGAGACACTTGAACCAAAGTTTACTCTTCAAGGAGAGCAGAAGTATCCAATAATGGACACTGGACACAAACACTCATTTAGGGAGATTATCAGCAATGCTGCAATTCTTGCTGGGTTTGATTCTAAGTATGATGTAAACTTTGAAAAGCATTCTTTTGAGTATGAACCTCCTGTTACTCATGATATCAGGCAGCTTCTAGGTCCTGTTTATGATGTAATGGCACAGCACAACTATCAACAAGCAAATTCAGTTGTAAATGAATTGAAAACTTTAAACACTCCTGTGTATACCCCTGAGTCAAGAAACCACTACCAACAGATTCTCTCACATGTGGAAAAGCTTGAACATCTTCAGACTCCAGTCTATGATATTAACCGCGATCATCATTATTCTGAGATCAAGAAACATATTGATGAAATTAAGAATTTGAGAGGGCCAATTTATGATATTGGAGAATCAAAGCATCACTGCTCTGAAATTGTAAAAACAGCAGAAAAGATTCAAACTTTGTCCACACCTGTGTATGGAATTGATATAAAAAGTAACTTCAATCAAATTGAAAAGCATGTGGAAACTCTGAAAGGATTAGCAGGTCCTATCTATGATATAGGAGAAGCCAAATCCAGTTTTAATGAGATTGAGAAACATGTTGAATCACTTCGAGAGCTGAGTCATCCTATACTGCTCACATCTGATTCTGTTCATCACTTTGAAGAAATTTCTAAGAATGCAGAAAATCTTAAGGATTTGGTTGGTCCTGTTTACCTAACAGAAGATGTGAGTCATAAGTTCAGTATTGTACCCCCTAAAGTGTGTCCTCCAAAAGATGTTAGTGGGCCTGTTTATTTAACAGACGAGGTTAGACACAAGTATTCTGAGTTTATTAAAAATGTAGATGGACTAAAAATGATCGCTGGACCAGTCTACATTAATGAAAACAACAAGCACCACTTTGATGTCATTGAAAAGCACTTGGAGACTTTGAAACAAGTTCATGGTCCTGTTTACATCACTGAAAATGCCAAGCATAGCTTCTCTGAGGTACAGAAATCAGCTGAAAAGCTAAAAACATTGAACCACCCTATACTGAATACTGATAACATGAAAAGCACATTTAACATTATCACTAACACTGCAGAAACTCTCAAGAATATGAATGGTCCTGTTTATCTCTCTGGAGAAACTGGACATCATTATTCAGAGTTCATAAAAGCTGTTGACACAGTTGGAAAAGAGCTTGTAGGACCAATCTATATGAAAAAAGACTCTGGCAGGAATGAGTTCCAAGAGATTACTAGAAAAGTTGATGAGATTACTAACCTTGTTGGGCCAATCTACATGTCTGAAGATGTACAGCATAGCTATAGAGAGATCAAGAAAGAAGCACAGAAACTTTCTGTTCTGAATGGACCAGTGTATCTGGATGAAAACAATAAGAACAGCTACAATGTTATCATAAAGCACGCAGAAACCCTCAAACAACTCTCTGGTCCAGTGTATGTCCAGGAGGATTCCAAACATGCCTTCTCTGAGCTTATGAAGAAAGTAGATGGTCTTAAATTGCTGCATGGTCCAATCTATTTGGAAGGAGAAACTAAACATTGTTACAATGAAATTCAGAGGCAGATGGAAACTATAAAAACATTAGCATCTCCAATTTACATAAGCGATGATCATAAGCATTCTTTTGGTGAAATAGGGAAAAGAGTTGAGAACCTGAAACAACTTGTTGGACCAGTTTATGTTAATGAAGATGTCAAGTCCCACTACAATGAGATAATAAAGACAGCTGAATCTTTCAAAACATTGCATGGGCCTGTATATGTTAGAAAAGGAGAACCTTACAACTTTAATGAAATAACTAAGGTTCCAGACACACTTACGGGAATTGTGGGCCCAGTATATGTCACAGAAGACTCGAGTCATCATTTTAGTGAGATTAAAGAGAGAGCAGAATTCCTGAAGACAATGTCTGGACCAGTTTACCTTGATGAGAACACAAGGCATCAATATTCAGAGTTTGTTAAGGGGTTGGAGTCATTAAAGCTCATGGCAGGACCAGTTTATCTTTCTGATCAGAACAAACATCACTTTGATGTAATTGAGAAGCACCTGGATACTTTAAAACAAGTCCATGGTCCTATCTATATCAATGAAAATACCAAACATCATTTTAATGAGATTCAGAAAGCTGCAGAAACAATTGCTACACTGAACTATCCTGTTCTACAAAGCGATGCATTCAAACATCATTTTAATCAAATTGAAAAGACAGCCAGCTCCCTCAAAAATATGAATGGTCCTGTGTATCTGACTGAAGAATCTGGTCATCACTTTTCTGAGCTTCTTAAAGGAATTGACACTATCAAAGAGTTATCCTCACCCATTTACATGACTAAAACCTCTGGCAGAAATCATTTTAGCGAAATATATTCACAGGTAGAAAAAATCAAAGATTTGGTGGGTCCTGTTTATATGACTGAAGATGTAGGACATCATTTCTCTGAACTCCAAAAAAGCGCAATCAAACTTTCTGAACTCAATGGGCCTGTATATCTGGATGAGAACACCAGACATAACTTTAATGTTATCATCAAGTCAGCTGATAAGTTTAAGGAGCTTGCTGGTCCAGTTTACATAAAAGAGAATGCAGCGCATGCTTTCTCTGAACTAGGAAAAACCATTGAAACTGTCAAAAATATAATTGGTCCTGTGTACATGAAAGAGCATGCCAAGCACCACTTTAATGAGATAGAAAAGCATGCTGATACTCTCAAGCAAATTTCCGCTCCAGTTTATCTTGATGCCAATGCTAAATACACATTCAATGAAATTGCAAAAGCAGTTGAAGGATTAAAGACCCTTTCTGGGCCTGTGTATAATATTGGGGACTCCAAGTTTAGCTACAATGAAATAGAGAAAGCAGCTGAAAAACTTAGCAACCTCTCAGGTCCAGTCTATTTGGGACAAAATGAAAAGCATAGCTTTGAAGGTTTCATGCAGACTATAGATAGCATTAAATCACTGATTGGACCTGTTTACATGCCAGAAGGGTCAGGTCATTCATTTAGTGAGGTAATGAAACATGCTGATCAGATCAAAACTCTGTCAGGTCCAGTTTATGTTGATGAGAGAAACCAATATAATGTTATATTACAGCATGCTGAAAAGCTGAAAAATCTTGCAGGACCCATCTACCAACTAGAGCAGTTCAATCACAGTTATTCAGAAATTCAGAAAAATCTTGCCGAGATCCAGCGACCTCAGTTTGGACCTGTCAGAACTTGCGATCACAAGAGTGGCTTTTCTGAAATTCAAAAGCAAGTTGATAAAATTCAGCATATATTTGGTCCAGTACTAAATTGCGAACATAACTCAAAATTCAATGAAATTCAAAAATCTATTACAGATCTGAGCTCCCTAAACTATCCTGTAATGAATGTTGAACATAAAAATCACTTTGACCATTTTGTGACACAAGTTACCAGTCTGAAAGATCTGGCTGGACCAATTTATAACACTCAGAAGCAGTACAGACATACCTATTCTGAGATCGACCAATCTGTAGACTCCATTAAAGCTTTGAACTATCCAATTTATGAAATTGACAGAGAGCATCACTACAAAGAAATTGTAAATACTGCCCAGAAAGTAAAAGAAATCTATGGTCCTGTCTATGGTGTAGATGGAAACCACAAATTCTCTGAGGTATTGAAAAATGTAGAAAAGTTGAAAACTTTGGAAGGTCCTGTTTATGACATTGAAAGAAAGCATTGCTATGCAGAGATTGAGAAAAACATCAAACATTTGGAAAACCTTACAGGACCAGTTTACACACATGGAATTACACCTCAACATCATTTCAATGATATTGCCAAGGCTGCTGAAACTATTAAGAGACTGACTTATCCAGTAATGGAAATTGATAGACAGCATCATTACAATGAGATCAAGAAAACTGTTGATAACATAAAAACCTTGGTGGGTCCTATGTACAATGTACCGCATGAACACCATTTTAATGAAATTGATAAAAGAGTTGATGCTCTTAAGAAACTGGATGGTCCTATCTATAAGATTGAACGTCAGCATCACTTTGCGGAAATTGATTACAGAATTGAGAGCCTTAAAGATCTTGTTGGTCCAAAGTATCACATTGACAGCAAGCACAATTTCAGTGAAGTTCAATCAAGAGTTAAAATTTTGAAAAACTTAGAAGGGCCTGTTTACAATATTGAGAGAGATCACCATTATAGAGAAATAGAGCAAAAAATGGAAAAGATAAAAACTCTCACTGGGCCATTGTATGAAATTGAAAACAAACACAACTTTCAAGAAATTGAAGCAAGAGTAGAAAGGCTGAAAAAGCTTGAAGGACCAATATATAACACAGATGCTGTCAAACACTGCTTTAGTGAAATTCAAGACAGAATTGAATCTGTTAAGAATGTGTATGGACCAGTTTATGTTTCTGATCATAAAAGTCATTTTAATGAGATTGAAAAGAAGCTGGAAACACTTAAAAACCTTAATGGCCCTATCTATGACGTAGAGCATAAGAATCTCTTTAAGGAGGTTGGAATGAAAGTGGAAAGCTTGAAATCATTGGCAGGCCCCAAGTATAACATTGATCGAAAGCATCATTATGAAGAGATACAAAAGGAGGTAGATCATCTTCAAGAACTAACTGCTCCACTTTATAATATTGACCGAGAGCACAAGTATAACGTAATTCTTGACAAAGTTAAGTCTCTGAAGAATCTGACTGGACCTGTTCTCAGTATTGAAGAGCGAAACCACGCTTACAGAGATATTAAACAATCAATTGACTCCTTAAAGACACTAACAGGGCCCTTTTATAATATTGAAAGGAAACACACATACAATGAAATCCCTGATAAGGTGTCTGGACAGGAAAAGCTAGAAGGTCCTGTATATCAAATTTCAAATCAACATCACTTCAACGAGATTGCAGAACGAGTTTCAAGGCTGGAAAAACTTGAAGGTCCATGTTATGACATCCTTCATGCTCATTCATATCATCCTAAGTCTGAAAAACAAGATTTCCCATTAACCCTTAAATACCCAGTTTTTGATATTGACCATAAGAGTACTTATTGTGAGATTAAAAAGCAAATTGTAGATTTAAAATCCCTTGAGGGTCCTATTTATGATATTGATAGGGTCCATCATTATGAGGAGATTGACAGACAATTGGAGAAAATACAAAATATGACTTATCCAGTGCGGGAAAACGTTGATGTAAAGCATAATTTCAATGAGGTTGAATTAAAGGTAAAAGCATTAAAGGACCTGTCCGGTCCTGTGTATGATATTGACAGAGAACACAAGTTTGGAGAGGTCGAACAAATCATTATTGAATTGAAGAACTTATATGGCCCATGCTATGATGTGGAGCATAAAAATCACTTCACTCACATTGAAGAGAAGATATCAAAACTGAAGAAGCTGGAAGGACCTGTTTATCAAGTTGAAAATGGGCATCATTTCAATGAAATTCAAGGTAGAATAGATGCTCTGAAAGCCCTTTCATATCCAGTTTATGAGATAGATAGAAAACATGCCTATGCTGAGATTGAGAAGCATATTGATAAACTCAGAACCTTGAATGGCCCAGTCTATGACATTTCAAGAGATCACAAGTATGCTGATCTGCAAAAGCAGTTGATTGATTTGAAGCATCTCTCTGGACCAATATATAATATAGATAGGGCACATCATTATGAAGAATTTGAAAAGCAAGAAGAATCTAGAAAAGATCTTTGCTACCCTATTTATGATATTGATAGAGAGCATAAGTTCAATGAAATTGAAAAGCATATTATTTCTCTGAAAGGTTTGACAGGTCCTTGCTATGATATTGAGGCAAGGTCACACAAATATCAGGAGATTGAAAAGAAACTCTCAGATATTAGGAATTTGAACTATCCAGTATATGACATTGATAGAAAGCATGACTATTCTGAAACAACAACAAATAAGTTTGATAAGAAAGATCTGAATTATCCAGTATATTCTGTGGAACATGCTCATAACTTTACTGAATTCATTCGTCTCCTGTCTGACCTGAAAAATATCCATGGTCCAGTATACTTGGCAGAAAATGCACATAAGTTTAATGAGATTGAATCAAAAATTGCTGATTTGAAGACTCTACAGGGTCCAGTTTATGATATTCACAATGCTCATCATTATGCTGAAATAGAAAAGCATATTGTAGATCTGAAATCACTGACATATCCCATATACAGCATTGATCGGGCACATGGATATAAAGAAGGAAGTGCACATAAAAATGACTTGAAATCACTAAATGGTCCGTGTTATGATGTTGATCATGCGCACAACTTCTCAGATACAAACGCCCATAAAAATGATCTTCAAACTCTTTCAGGTCCTAAGTACAATATTGACAGTGCTCATCACTTTACAGAAATTGAAGCCAAATTAGCAGATTTAAAGACATTAACTGGACCAGTCTTTGATATTGATAGAAAGCATTGCTTTTCAGAATTGGAGAAAAAGGTTTATGAGCTGAAATCTTTGAATGGTCCTGTTTATGATATGCAACGACAACATTGCTATCAGGAAATTGAAAAGAGATTAACAGATCTAAAGAGTCTTGTTGGTCCTATTTATGACTTGAAGGCAGGAAAACACTCTTATATTCAACAGGATGCACATTATAATGACCTTAAAACTCTAAGTGGTCCTATATATGATGTTGACTCTAACCATGCTTATAGAGAAGCAGAAAAAACTGTTGTTGACCAAAAGTCCTTAAACTATCCAATCTATGATGTAGAGAGAAGCAATCAGTTCACTGAATTGGTAAAGAATGTTCAAAAACTTAGTGAGCTGCAAGGTCCCAGCTATGACATACCAGAGCGAAATCATCATTTTCATGAAATTTTCAAGAGTATTGCTGACCTAAAGGAAATGAATGGCCCTGTTTACAATGCTGATTATAAGCACATCTATCAACCAAATCAGCCAATTTCAAATGAATTAAAGTCACAAGTGGGGCCAGTTTATAAAGTCAACACTAAACATTCATATGGTCATGATTTTGCTGTATCACATAATCAGAAAGAAACTCATGGTCCAGTATTTAAAGTTGAAAGAAAACATAATTATGGGGCTGATTTCTCTGTCAGACATAGACCTCCTTCTCCAATGAATGGACCAATTTTACCAGTGGACAGATCCCATCATTATAAAGCACCATTAAATGCACCACATCAGCGTGATTTGCGGGCTCGATCATATACCCCAACTTATGAAGTCAACAAATCTCACCATTACAGAGAGTCAAATACACATAAATCTGATCTTACCCAAATGGTTGGTCCCATCTATAACACTGGAAAAATCAATAACTTGGCCAAACATAATTTTACAGATGGGTATCAAGCACCTAAGGCTCGTAAAGATCAAGTTGAGCTTGTTGGAAAGTTCTTCAAGAAGGAACAGAATTTCTCCAAGTATGAGGAACCATCAAAGCAAGAACAAAAAATTCAAATGACAGAACAGAAATTCCAGGTAGAACAGAGTGGAGTGGAGAGAAAGCAAGAAGCTCTCAAAAGGCGAGAAGAGTTTTTGAGAGAACAGCAAGAAATCAGTATGAAAATTTCTTCATCTGAGTACAAAACTGTTTCTGTCAAGTCTAGAAAAGAAATAGAAGAGGAGAGAGAAGCTTACATTAAAAACACAGTTCTGAGAATTCAGGAGGAGGCCTTGAGCTTAAGCATGAGAGTCAAAAATGAGGAAGAGAAAAGACTGGAAATGATAAGACAAGAGGAGACAAGAATTAAAAATGAGGATGCTATGCGTCAAGAGGCAATGATGAGAGCAGAAGAAGAGAGGAAGAGAAAAGAGCTTGCAAGGATTGAAGAACAGAAAAAGCAGCAAGAAATGATGGCTCATAGAAAAATGGAACAAGAAAAAATGAGGCAAGAAAAACTTTTCCGTCAAGAAGAGGAAAGAAAAAGAATGGAAAAAATGAGACAGGAAGAACAAAATCAGCGGCTTATAATGGAAAAGAAGGAAATGGCCCGGAAACAGGACGAAATGAGACATTTAGAAGAAATGAGACGACAAGAAGAAAGAGTAATGCTTGAGCGGCAGCAAATAGAGTCAATGATTCAAAGAGGTATTTTTTTTAAAAATTTATCCTTAAAATAAAATTCCGGCTTAAATAATTTTGGCTTAATTTTGCAACCAAGTTTCTTTTTAGAGTTTAAGTTTAAAACAGCTTCTGAAAAGTTATTGGTGACATTTACACAACCAATTAATGATATTTTTTTATACAAGATAGATTCATGAGAAGTTTAAACTGTCAAATTAGTTGTCAAAATCATTTTATCTTTTATACTTTGGGAAATAGTTACATTATTTCATTGATAACTATTTTTTCTTCTAATTTTAGATTCTAAAGTCATGAAAAGTCAAGGTGGTCAAGTAACAAGAAGGGCAGATGATCCCTTTGGTCAAGGATTTGGAAATGTAAAAACTGGATTTGTAAGCTCCCAAAAGCTCTCATTTCTTCAACGGGGAGGATCAGTTGACCGTTCAGATAGAGGAAGTCCTGCCCCAAGTAATGGAAGCGGGCGAGGAAAAGGTTTAAGAGTAACCTGGGCTGAATCTCCGAATGGAAGTAGGCCTGGTTCCAATATGGGCTGGACAGAGAGGGTTGCTGAGATAGAATCCCAAACCTTGAGAGCTCAGACCCCTCCTTTGGCTGGAGAATGGTCAATGAGCAAAGAAAATAAGTCAGAATCTAAATTAGTTTCTCAGACAAGTGTTGCTTATCAGAGTAACCAACTTTCATCTGGTAATAAGTTTATGTCCCAACCAATCTTAACAGATGCCAATATATCTACTGGATCATCAATTACTCAGGCTAATCAAACTACAATGTTTCAATCTACACAAAAATCTTTTGCCTGTAACAATGCGACAAATGCCAATAATTTTTTCTCCCAGCCTAACAAAGCTGTAGCAAGGAAAAATGTTGATCTAAATGGCTTTTCTATGACTTCAGGTTCTCAAGTTGATCAAACGTCTTCCTTCCAATCTGCCCAAAAGACTTCTTTTTCCTCAAGTTCAACTTTTAAATCATCTACTTCTTTCCAAGCAGGAAGTGCCCGATCCCAAACTTTTGAAGCTTTCCCCGGAATGGGTAACATTGAGAACCTTAATCTTTAGAATGAAAAGGCCGGCAAATAACATGTACTAATTAATTGATACTTAGTTTTCTATGCAAATAAACTAACATTCCACTAATATCATGAATGCAGCGATCACAACATAATGTTACCTTTTAACAAGATTAATTTGATGATTTGTAATTAGAAAGGAAGATACAAATATCCAGGATTAATAAGAATATGTAGCAAAATTAATCCTGTACTTTAATTTGTAATTTTCCCTCAGTTGTAATTTTTAGTGAGGTATTTAAACAAAGCCATGTATACATGCATACATTATACAATGTGAATTATGAATATACTAACCAAAATAAATAAATTACTTTACAATAAAATGGTAAAAATTACTAATCTAACAGCATCCTTGTGGTAACAATGCTTCCAAATATCATAAAGTAACCATGGTAATTAATAATTAACAATTTGTATATAATTGCCGGCCTTTTTTGAAGTCTGGAAGCCTTCTTGCAACATGGGGTGTTGTTAGGATCAATAAAAGAACAGGCTTATCTTGACATATAATTCTGTTGTCACTAAAAAGTGTAAAAAGACAACTTGAAATCTGCGATTTTTTTGTCTTAAAGCTAAAAAAAGGTTCAGTCTTGTGGCTTGTTTTGGAATTTTGTTTAAAATTTATAAAAGTTGTTTTCAAAATTAACTTTGCCATTGCACAATATGTTTCCGGGAAAAAAAACTTCAGAATGAATTTTGATAAAAATGAGATTTTGATAACAAAAACTTTGAGGTTGATTTTTGGGGCAATGTTCTAGCGGAAAAAAAAGCAGCAATTGATATGTCATGCTTTCATATCTCTGATCAATTTGTTTAAAATTTAAAAATGAACATGCTAAGCCTGTGCTAAAAATGGAGGATAGAGTTTTGATGGCAAATATTTTAGTCCAATTTTTTTAAACAGAATCATTTTGAAAAAAAGAATACCCCTTAAATTTTGACATGAAACACATTATTTTCTTCTGCTGACGTAAAGTTCACAATATCAGTAAGTTTCAGGATTTTTTTAAAACATGGTGTTAAATAGAAATGGAAACGGAAGGATTAATTAATGGATCTATATAAAAAAAAAGGTTTTATTCCAAGTCCTGGAATTTTACTCCATGAGACTTAACTCCAATTTATGGGACTTTACTCCAAACCTTTGGATTTTACTCCAAACCTTTGGATTTTACTCCAAACCCAGGAATTGTACTCCAAACGCCGAACATTTACTCCAAACCTTGAGACTTAACTCCAAACCTTGAGACTTAACTCCAAACCCTGGAATATTACTACAAAACCTGAGATTTTATACCAAGCCCTGGGTTTTTATCCAAACTCCTGAGATTTTACTTTGAATCCTGAGATTTTACTCCAAACCCCAGATTTTATCCAAACACTGGCATTTTACTTCAAACCTTAAGAATTTACTCCAATTTCTCCAAACCCTAGGATTTCATTCCAATCCCCGGGATTTTACTCCAAAACCTTGGAATTTTACTCCAAATCCTGAGACTTTACTCCAAACCCTGAGATTTTACTCCATACCCTAGAATTTCATTCTAAACCTCGGGATTTTACTCCCAAACCTTGGGAATTTACTCCAAACCCTGAGATTTTACTCAGAACCCTGAGGTTTTACTCCAAAACCCTGGAATTTTACTTTGAACCCTAAGATTTTACTCCTAACACTGGAATTTTACTCTAAATCCTGATATTTTACTTCAAATCCTGAGATTTTACTCCAAACTCTGAGAATTTACTCCAAAACCTGACTTCAACCTCTTAGATTTTACTTCAAACTTTTTGAAACCCTGGGTGTTCACACTAAACCCCAAGATTTTACCCCATACCCAGGATGATACTCCAACCCCTGAGTTTTTATCCCAAACCCCGAGGTTTTACTCCAGATTATATTCAAACCCTGGTATTTTACTCCAACCCCTGATATTTCATTCCAAACCCCGGAATTATATTCAAAACTATTTTAGTTAAATCCAAATCCTGAGATTTCACGCCAAACTTTGTGATTTTATTCCCAACGCTGGGAATTTACTCTAAACACTGAGATTTTCTTCCTGACCCCGGGATTTTCTTCCCAACCCTAGGATTTTCTTCCCAAACATGGAATTTTACTCCAACCCCTGAGGTTTTACTGGATTTTACTCAAAACATCGTGATTTCATTTCAAACTTCGTGATTTTACAACATATCATGAGATTTACTCAATCCATGAGATTTAATTCCAAACCATGGTATTTTTCTTTAAAACCCCTGAGATTTTACTTCAACCGCTGGAATTTTACGCCGAATTCCAAGATTTTATTCCAAACCAGAAGTTTTTGTGACAAACCTTGATATTTTACTACACTGAGATTTTACTCTAAACACTGAGATTTTAATCCGGACCCTGAGATTTTACTCCAAACCCTGAGATTTCAATAAACCCTAAGTTTTTAGCCCAATTGCAAACCCTAGGATTTTACTTCGAACCCTGAGATACTCTGCACACTATGATTTTACTCCAAACCCTGAGATGTTTTCCCCCAACCCCTTGTATTTTACTCCGGACGCTCAGATTTTACTACAAACCCTGGGATTTATTTGAACCCCTAGGATTTTACTCTTCACCCTGAGATTTAAATAACTATCAAAATCACTATTGATCCGTTTCTTTGATCTAGATAGGAACTTGTTCCTTGGTACCAGAATCTAATATCTCATATTTCGTATAAATAATAGGAGCATTTTTGTCAGAATATTTTTTTACGACTGTTTATCAACCAGTTTTTTTTATGTTTGCAACCTGATGTCGTAGACCGTTGATATGTTAAACTATGAGTTCTACCAGATCAAAAGGTCTGAAATATCAAAATGTATGCCATCAGGATAAGAAATTTAAGTTTGAGGCTAGTAAGCAGTTTCTGTGTTTAGAAAAAAATATGACATTACTTAATTAATGATTTACCATTTTGTGAACAATCATTAATCTTCGAAAAGAATTGAATTTTTGCCACAAACTTAAATATTTTAATCCCTATATCTTTGCAACCTGATGGTGTTGACCTTTGAAATTTCGAACTTAAACTATTTGACCTAACAGAATTTTCAAAGTGTCATGCAAAAGTCTACAACATCGGGTTGCAAAGATATCATAGTTTGTGACCAGGAATCCAGTTTATAGATCATTCTTGCACTTAGAGACATCTTTGAGCGGTAGGATTGGCATAGTTGTGTTTCTTATTACAAAAATTGGTGTCTTATTTGTATTTTCAAGTCAGTGAACAATCCCTTTTAAATATTTTGAAAAAACTTGTTTCTCATCTCATTTCTCATCAAAAAAAAAGGATGTCATAACATGTCGAAACGTTAGGACCATGCTACGAAGTTCTGCACTCTCACCAGTACCATCCAGAGCAGAAATCAGCTGATCACATTAAAAAGCTGAACTACCCTGTGTTCAGTATAGATCATGACAGCAAGTTTGCTGAACTTGAAAAGAAGATCTTTGATCTGAAAAAGCTGGAAGGTCCTGTTTACACGATCCAACGCGATCATCATTTTACAGAGATCGATAAACAGGTTCAAACTGTAAAACAGATGAATTTTCCTATCAGAGAGGGGGTGGAGCCCCACCATCTTTTTGGAGATCTTGGTCGAGCCATCAATGAGATTAAAGTGCTTGCCGGGCCGATCTATGATGTTGAGCGAAAGCATAAGTTTCAGGAAATTGACAAAAAGTTGGTTGAAATTAAAACCCTGTTTGGCCCCTGCTATGAGATCATTCATGATAATCAATTCAATGAAATTCAACAAAAAGTTGGACAATTAAAGAACCTGGCTGGTCCTGTTTATGATATTGATGGAAAACATAATTTCTCCATTATCCAGGAAAAGATTGATAACTTAAAGAATCTTAATTACCCTGTGTATGACATCATTAGATCCCATGCATACAACGAAATAGAAAAACACATTGTTGAACTGAAAAATCTGAATTATCCAGTATTTTCCATAGATCGGGAACATACCTACTCCAATATAAATGAGAATATAAATGATCTTAAATCCCTTGTTGGTCCAATCTATAATATTCAAAGAGAGCATAGGTTTGCAGAGATTTACAAACAAATAGACCAACTAAAAATGATGCATGCTCCTGTAAGAGGGAATGTGGACTTTAATCATCATTTTAATGAGATTGAGACAAAAGTCAACATTCTGAAGGACCTCCAAGGACCTGTCTATGAAATAGACAGAAAACACCACTTTTCAGAATTTCAGAAAAAGCTTAATGAGATCAAAAATCTGTATGCTCCGTTCTACAATGTGGAACATGAAAACCATTTTGCTGAGATTGAGAAAAGGGCAATTGCTCTCAAGAACCTGGCTGGTCCTGTCTACTCAGTTGAGAGCAAACACAACTTCTCTGAGATAGAAAAGAGACTAGACAACCTCAAAGCTTTAAACTACCCAGTCTATGATATAGATCGTGGTCATGACTTTGCTGAAATCCAGAAGAAAGTTGATAGTCTGAAAGAGCTTCAAGGACCGGTCTATTGTAAAGAAAACAGCCACCATTTTAACGAGATTGATAAACATCTTGCCAGCTTAAAAAGTCTTAGTTATCCAGTTTACAAAATAGAACGCGATCATCATTTTAACGAAATATCTAAACATGTGACAAACCTACAAGAAACAAGCTACCCTGTCAGGACCGGAGTTGATGTTATCCATAAATTCAACGAAATAGCGACTAAAGTAGAATCCGTCAAAGTATTAGCGGGGCCCGTCTTTACTCTTGAACAACGCAACCATGCGTTTAACAAGATAGAACAGCGTCTTCAGGAATGGAATTTAATGAATGAAGAAAGGTCGCTGAATTACCTACCACTGGTTCAAATTCAGAATCACTGATTCAGAAGGTATTGTGTTGTTGATTCAGGATTTAAACCGGGTGCGGTAGGAAGTTTAGCAACCTCTCCGATTCATTAAATTTGGTCTTAGGATTTGAAGAGTTTAAATTATCCAGTTTATAATATCAGCAGAGAGCATAGTTTTGCAGAAATGCAGAAAAGCATAGCAGAGCTTAAATATCTCCGGGGTCCTGTTTACGATATCCAACATGTAAATCAGTTCAACCAGGTATTTTTTATCAATCATTTAAATAAATATATAAATAATTATTATAATCATTATTATTATTATTATTATTATTATTATTATTAATATTATTATTATTATTATTATTTTGAAATCACAGATAGAAAAGCTTGCCCACGATATCAAAACTCTGAGCGGACCTATTTATGATGTTGAATCCCACCATAAATTCAATGAGATTGACAAGAAAATTCAAGATCTAAAAACTCTCCAAGGTCCTGTGTATCCTGGAGTGGAGCGGGAGCATGGTTATTTTGCAGTTTTGGAGCAAAGCTGGGCCCATCTAAAGGAGCTGGCCAATCCTATATATGACATAGAACGTGAGCACTCCTTCATGGATCTAGGACGGAAGGTGGACTCCTTGAAGAGTATGAACTACCCGGTGAGGGAGGGAGTTGACTACAGTCATAACTTTAATCAGGTTCAGGAGAAAGTTGTTCAACTCCGAAATCTTACAGGAAATAATTACTTTTAAAAGTTATTTAAAATTTTTTAATTAGATAGATAAAGATATTGTAGCAGATGAAAAATGTTCAGGTCACCACTTTAGAAGTTTATTTACTGCTTCTAGATAGAAATACATAATAAATAACAAGTCTATAAAAGGAGAGGAAGACGAGTAGGTATTCTCTTGTTCCAGATTCCAAAACTACTCACTTGCGGATTTTCTTCTGCTACAATACAAATTTTGATTAATTAAAAATATTAAAATGTACTTTGAATGCCTTCTCATTTTTTATTCAGTTTTTTTTACTTATCCAAGTAATTCGATATTTCTATAGGGCCATTTTATGATATTGAAGGAAGAACTCATGGGTTTAAAGAATATTTGAGAAATCACCAAGATTTGCTTAATCTAAACTATCCTGTTTATAATATTGATCGTGATCATAAATTCAATGAGATTCAACGAAACTTGATTGAGATCAAGACCCTTGCTGGCCCTGTCTACAGTGTTAACCATCAACATCAGTTTAATGAGGTAGAAAAGTGTCTTTTGGATCTCAAATCGCAAACCTATCCAGTGTATGACACCGAGCATGGAAACTCCTTTAATGTGTTTGAATCTAAAATTGTTGACTTGAAGCAGTTGCAAGGTCCTGTTTACAATGTCGACTGTGATCATCACTTTACAGAAATAGAAAAGAACATTTCTGATTTAAAGTCATTGAGCTATCCAGTCTTCAATATCGATAACAACCACCAGTTTTCTATTATAAAGGAGCAGATTGAAACCATTAAAGAAATGACATATCCTGTTAGAGGAGAGGATTACAACCACCACTTCAATGAAATTGCTAAGAAAGTTCAATCACTGAAAACTCTTCAAGGACCTTTGTATAGTATAGAGGAAAGAAATCACACTTTTAGAGATATTGAGAAGTCTCTTGATGACTTGAAAACACTTAACTATCCTGTTTATGACATAGATAGAAACCACAAATACAATATTATACTGAAGAATCTGTATGATATCAAAACTCTTAGTGGACCAGTGTATTCAAAAGATCACAAGCACCACTTCAATGAAATTGAAAAGCTTGTGACAGATCTGAAGACTTTAAAAGGACCTGTTTATGATGTTGAAGCAAGTCACAAGTTTAATGAAATAGAACGTAAGATCACAGATATCAAAACCCTACAAGGACCTGTTTACAATATTGACAGAAATCATAACTTTGCTGAAATTGAACAACAGATTAGCGATCTGAAAAACTTGAACTACCCTGTTCTGAAAATTGACAGGAACCACCATTTCCAGGAATTAGCTAGACAGGTTGAAACACTCAAAGAAATGAACTATCCTGTAAGAGGAGGGGATTATAATCACAACTTTAATGAAATTGAGAAAAAGATATCTCATCTGAAAGATTTGTGTGGACCAGTTTATTCTTTGGAGCAAAGAGATCATTCATTTAACATTATAAATGAAGCACTTAATGAGTTAAAAAGCTTAAATTATCCAATTTTCAATATTCAAAGAGATCATAAGTTCAATGAAGTTCAGAAAAATTTATATGACTTGAAAACATTGACAGGTCCAGTCTATGATATTAAACATCACCATCAGTTTGCTGATATCGAGCGGACAGTTCTGGAACTGAAAAATCTTACTTCCCCAGTTTATACAGTAGAGCATCAGCACAAGTTTGCAGAGGTGGAAAGAAAAGTAGAAGACCTTAAACATCTCTGTGGACCAGTATATACCATCGATAGACAACATAACTTCAATGAAATTCAGAAGAATTTGACAGATCTGAAAAATTTAAACTATCCTGTTTATCATATTGTTCGAGAACATCAGTTTATGGAGGTTAAAACCCAACTTGATTCCATCAAAGAGATGACCTATCCTGTCCGGATCAATGTAGAGGCTTGCCATCATTTTAATGAGCTTGAAAAGAAGGTTGATTCACTGAAAAATCTGACAAGTCCTGTTCGAAACATTGAAGAATGCAAACATGCTTTTGAAGGCATTAAATCAATTGTCCACTCATTGACAAACTTGAACTATCCAATCTATGATATTGACAGGGAACACAAATTTACCAATACTTTAAAAAATTTGATTGAGATAAAACATCTGATGGGACCTGTTTATTCTATTGATAATTCTCATGCATACAACATAATTGATAACATCACAACCGATCTAAAACAGTTGGCTGGACCTGTATATAATATTGATAATGCTCACAAATTTGTTGAGATTGAAAGAAGACTGGTGGAACTAAAAACTTTGCAGGGTCCAGTCTACAACGTTAATCATGATCATCATTTCAAAGAAATTGAGAAATCAATCAGTGATCTTAAAAATCTAACTTATCCAATCTACAAGATTCAAAGAGAGCACAATTTTAAAGAAATTTTGGATAAAGTTGAAAGTATCGCAGAAACAAGTTATCCTGTCAGACAGGGTGTTACACCACATCATAATTTCAATGAAATTGATGAAAAAGTAAGAACTCTAAAGAACCTGGTTGGTCCAGTTTTTGATTTAGAAAAAAGAAACCATGTATTCAATGAGCTGGATAAAAAAGTGGAGGCAGTGAAAACCTTATCCTATCCAGTTTACACCATAGATAGAGAGCACAAATTTGATGTCATTCACAAGAATCTTCAAAATTTGAAAACTCTCAATGGTCCTGTTTATACTGTGGAGCACCAACATCTATTTGCAGAAATAGAAAAAAGCGTTGGTGATCTTAAAACCTTAAATTATCCAGTATTTGATATTGAAAGCAGTCATAAATTTAATGAAATTGAGCACAAAGTGTCTTCCTTGAAAATGTTGCAAGGTCCTGTTTACACAATTGAAAATGCTCATAGTTTTGCTGAGATAGAAAAATCTTTAAGTGATTTGAAAAGCTTGAACTATCCAGTTTTAAGCATTGATAATGCTCACAGCTATAGAGAAATGCTTGCTTACCCTGAAAGACATATCATCACCAGCTATCCTGTCAGAGAAAATGTTGATGTACATCATCACTTCAATGAAATCGAGAAAAAAATTATCTCCATTAAGGATCTTGCAGGGCCTGTTTATTCTGTAGAGCATCAAAATATGTTCAATGAAGTTCTGCGAAACATTGCTGACATGAAATATCTAAACTATCCTGTTTATGATATAGACAGAAATCACAAGTTCAATGAGATTCAGAAAAATCTGTATGACATCAAATATCTTAATGGACCTGTCTATGCTACTGAGCATATGCATCACTTTAAGGACATTGAGCACATAATTACAGATCTCAAATCTCTTCAAGGACCAGTTTATAGCATTGAAAATGCTCATAAGTACAATAAGATAGAGAGTAAAATTGACACATTGAAAAATCTTCAAGGACCAGTTTATGCTATAAATAATGCTCATAACTTTGCAGAAATTGATAAATGTCTATATGATCTTAAAAGTCTTCATTATCCTGTCTACAAAATTGACAGACAGCATCAGTTCCAAGAATTCATGAAGGGTATAGAAACAATAAAAGAGATGCACTACCCAGTCCGAGGAGGTGTGGATTACCAACATAACTTCAATGAGCTGGAAAAACAAGTAGAATCTGTCAAAAATTTGATTGGACCTGTGTTTGAAATAGAACGCAGAAACCATACATTCAATGATATAATCAGGAATATAATAGAATTGAAAAACTTGAACTATCCTGTTTATGATATTGACAATAAGCATTCTTTTAATGTAATTGAAAAGAACTTGATTGAGCTGAAGACAATGAATGGACCTGTGTATGATACTGAACACAAACACCATTTCGTAGAAATTGATAAGATAGTTACAGACTTAAAATCTTTACAAGGACCTGTCTATTCCATTGAAAATGAACACAAGTTCAATGAGATAGAACGCAGGATTAATGCTCTTAAAACTCTCCAAGGTCCAGTGTATTCAATTGAGAGGAATCATAATTTTGCAGAGATTGAAAAACAGCTTTCCACTTTAAAAACTCTGAATTTTCCAGTGTTCAAAATTGATAGAGAGCATAAGTTTTGTGAAATCATGAAAGGACTTGACAGTATTAAAGAGCTCAGTTATCCTGTTCGAGTTGACTATGCGCATCATTATAATGAAATTGAAAGAAAAATTGAGAGCATAAAAGAACTAGTTGGCCCTGTATACTCAACTGAACATCAGCATACATTTGGAAAGATTCTTGAACAGATTTCTGATCTAAAAACTCTAAACTATCCTGTTTATAATATTGATCGACAGCATAAATTTGATGTTATTGAGAAAACTCTTTATGATCTGAAAAACTTAGCTGGACCTGTTTATGCTGTTGATCATGACCATTGCTTTAAAGAAATAACAGCAGCTCTCACAGACCTTAAGACACTAACAGGGCCAGTGTATAGTATTGAAAATGCTCACAGGTTTATGGAAATTGAGAAGAAAGTTGATGGATTGAAGAACCTGCAAGGACCAGTCTATAATGTGGAACGAGCACACTGTTTTGCTGAAATAGAAAAAGACATTCAAGATTTGAAAACTCTCAACTACCCAGTTTATGACATTGATCGGAAGCATCATTTTTCAGAAATTGTCATGGGCATCGAGAAGTTGAAACAATTGAACTACCCAGTCAGAGAAGGTGTTGACATTCAACATCACTTCAATGAAGTTCAGAAAAAGGTTGTGAATATGATGGAACTTACAGGTCCTGTTTACTCCATGGAACATAGAAACCATGTGTTTATGGATATAGAACAGAAAATTTCAGATTTAAAAACATTGACATTCCCTGTGTACAATATTGATAGAGGTCACCATTTTAATGAAATACAGGAAAAAATTACAAGCTTGAAATCAATGTTTGGCCCTGTTTATGCTACCGAGCATAGAAATTGCTTTTATGAAATTGAGCAAAAAATAACAGATCTAAAAAGTTTGTTCTACCCTGTGTATAACATAGATCGAGAACACAAATTTCAAGAGTTGGAATCCAAATTGGTTGATTTGAAAACACTCCAAGGACCTGTTTACAGCATTGAGAGAGAACACCATTTTGCAGATATTGCAAAGAAAATAGAGGATTTGAAATCACTTAACTATCCTGTTTATAAAATTGATGAGAAACACCACTTTTCTGAAATTGTGAAAGGACTGGAAACTATAAAACAAATGAATTATCCTGTACTAGTGGATTATAAGCATCAATTTAATGAAATTATTGAAAGAGTCAAGTCCTTAAAGGATCTGGTGGGTCCTGTTTATAATGTGGACCACAACCATTTCTTCCAAGATGTTGAAAGAAAAATCCATGATCTGAAAAATTTAACTTATCCAATCTATGACATATCAAGAGAACACAAATTCAATGAAATTCAGAAGAATCTCTATGACATCAAAACTCTGAGTGGGCCTGTGTACAACATTGAACATCAGCATCATTTTACTGAAATAGAAAAGAAACTGTCAGATTTAAAATCTTTAGTTGGTCCAGTTTACAGCATTGATAATGTGCATGCCTTCCATGAGATTGAAAAACATGTTGCTGAACTAAAATCTTTACAAGGTCCTGTCTACAATATTGATAGAGCACATAACTTCTCTGAAATAGAAAAGAATCTTTCTGACATGAAATCTCTTAATTATCCGGTCTATGACATTGATCGTAAACATCAATTTAATGAGATTCTAAAAGGAATGGAAACCTTGAAGCAAATGAATTACCCTGTGAGAGAAGGCATAGACTTTAGTCATCATTTCAATGAAATCCAAGATAAGGTGGAGGCTATTAAAAATCTTGCAGGTCCAGTTTATTCCACAGAACACCAGCATGCCTTCCAGGATTTTGAACGCAGGGTGCTAGACTTAAAGAATCTAAATTACCCAATCTACAACATTGATAGAGATCATAAGTTCAATGAAATACAAAAAAATTTATTTGATATTAAGACTTTGGCAGGACCAGTTTACTCTGTAGATCACCAGCATTGCTTCCAAGACATAGAGCGGAAGATTACTGAGCTCAAATCACTGAACTACCCTATATTTGAGATTGAAAGGAAACATGCCTTTATGGAAATAGAAACTAAAATCTTAGATCTGAAAAATTTACAAGGCCCAGTGTATTCAGTTGAGAGTTCACATAATTTTACAGAAATTATGAAGAACTTGTCTGATTTGAAAAATCTAAACTATCCTGTTTACAACATTGATAGAGATCATCAGTTTAGTGAAATATACAAGGGGCTTGAATCATTAAAAGAAATGAATTATCCTGTTAGACAAGGGGTGGATTTTAACCATCATTTCAATGATATCAAAGAAAAAGTTGACACTTTAAAGAACCTCACTGGCCCAGTTTACGATCTCCAGGAACGACATCATGCTTTCCAAGACATTGAAAGGCAAATAATAGATCTGAAAAACCTGAACTACCCAGTCTATGGCATAGACAGGGAGCACACATTCAATGAAATACAGAAAAACCTTTATGATATCAAGACCTTGAGTGGACCAGTCTATAATGTTGAACATCAGCATTGCTTTGTGGACCTGGAAAGAAAGCTGGCTGACTTGAAAACTTTAAACTATCCTGTTTATGGAATAGAACGAGAACATTTTTTCATGGAATTTGAAAAAAGAATTGCTGACCTGAAAAATCTTCAGGGGCCTGTTTATTCGATTAACAGGCAACACAACTTTAATGAAATAGAACGACACCTAACAGACCTGAAAACCCTGAATTATCCCATTTATGATATAGATAGAGCTCATCAGTTTTCAGAAATTCAACGGCATATGGACACCTTGAAACAAATGAATTATCCTGTCAGAGAAGGTGTTGACTTCAACCATCATTTTAATTTGATTGACAGAAAAGTTGAAGCTATTAAAAGTTTAAATGGTCCTATTTTTAACCTGGAAGATAGAAACCATACATTCCAGGATATTGAAAGATATGTTAATGAGATAAAAGCTTTGAATTATCCGGTTTATGACATACAAAGAGAACATGTTTTCAGTGAAATACAAAAAAATATGATAGATTTAAAGAATCTAAATGGTCCCGTGTTTGACATTGAAAGAAATCATTCCTACATGCAATTCAGGAAAAACCTCATCGAACTAAAGGCATTAGTTGGTCCAGTGTATTCCTTGCCCGATTACAAGCATCATTTTGAGGGAATTGAAGCACATGTCAATGATTTAAAAACTCTTTCTGGACCTGTCTATTCTGTAGAGGCCAAGCATGCATTTTCTGAAATTACCAAACACATTGCTGATTTAAAAAATCTAAACTACCCTGTTCTAAACATACACCATGATCACAATTTCCAAGGAATCATTCAGAATGTTCAGAATCTACACAAGCTTCAAGGTCCTCATTATGATATTCCTGATCGCCAGCATCACTTTTCCGAGATTTGGAAACATGTTGATGATCTGAAGCAGATGTCTGGTCCAGTTTATGATGTTAACTACAAGCATGAATACCAAGGTCCTGATCAAAAACCTATTGATTTAAAATATGAAGTTGGTCCCATATACAATGTGGAATCAAAACATGAATTTAAACATGGTTTTTTTAAAGAAATGGATAAGAAAACAATCAAGGGTCCTGTATATGAAGTTGAAAGAAAACACAAGTTTAAAAAGGGATTTTCATGTTCTCATAGACCCCCATCTCCTACACCAGGCCCAGTCCGGGGGGATTTCAAGCATAACTACAAACATCCCATAACCCTGCCACATCAAAGAGATATTCGATCAAAGTCTGTTCCTTGTTATGAAGTGGATAAATCATATCATTACAAAGAATCAGAAACCCATCAGCAAGATATGAAAAAGCTAGTTGGTCCTATTTACAGCAGTGGCAGCTTGGTGGATGAAAGGAAACATCATTTTACAGATGGATATGTAGCTCCAATAAGCAGAGAGAAACGAGAGGAGCAGGTCAAGCTGGTTAATAAATATTTCTTTAAAGAGAAGAAAGCTACGGATAATCTACAAAAGAAGATTATTGATAAAGCTGAGAAGCTCCAGGACTCATTTTCTCAAGAGGTTGTGAAGATATCAAGAGAAGAAGCATTGAAACTTGGAGAAGCAAGAAGAATTCAAGCTCTTCAGCGACGGGAAGAATATTTAAGAACACAGGTAAACGTTATTATATTCCTTTGAGATATCTTGTTTATTTTTATTGTTTAGGGAAGTTCACAGGAACCTTCATCCTTTTCTCAACAAACCCTCACAAATGTTGAACATCAGTCATTTAATCAAAATTATGAAGAATCTAAAGAGTTTGTGAGAGTGGGATCTCCATTTACACTGAAAAAAGAAAGTTTTTTGAGATCTGAGCAAACTCCAGAAAGAAATGTCACAGCGATTGGGTTCCAACAGTATTTAAGCCAGAAGACATCATTGAAGACAGAAGCTGTTCACCAGATTAAAACTTCAACAAAATCGATGAAGGATCCCAAAATCAATCCAGAAGGATTGTCTGAGCAGGTTGTTTTCTCAAAAGAGTTTAAGGGCAAAAAGAAACAGTTAAGTATTCAGCAAGCTATGCCCCAAGTACACTATCTGGAAGGGACAACGCAGTTCTCTTCTGCAGATACAGATGAAACTAGAAAATCTGGAAAACATTTTCTACAGAAAAAACTAGACGATGAGAGAAAAAGAAAAATCTTTGAGCTCGAAGAACAGAAAAGATTGGAAGATGAAAAGCGAAAAAAGAATAATGAACTTGAAGAAAAGAAACGCTTTGAAGCTGAAGTTGCTAGAAAGACTCTTGAAGAAGCACTAAACAGAAAGCAAGAAGAAAATGAAAAAGCCAAACTAATGATGGAGCTGGAAGAGAGGAAAAAAGCACTTTTGACAGAAAAACTACGACTTGAATCATTAGAGAAGGAGAAGAATGTCATTCAAAAGAAGAGGGAACAGCTTCACCAGGAAGAAGAAAAACAGCGAAGAATTAAGGAAGGAAGTCTAAAGCAAACCCAAATCTCAATGACCAGGAGAGAACAGCAAGGGGTTGGGTTTGGAAGTGTTCGAACTGGATATGTTCAGAATAAAAAAATGTCTCTATTAACTAGAGCAGCTTCTGTAGAACCACCAGTTAGTAGGGGCAATGACAGCCCAGGACCAAACAGAAGACAGAAAAACGTTAGGTAAATTAAATAGTAATTTTACGAAAGTTAAGGAGGACTGTTGGCCTCTAAGACTAAAGCTTATAAAATTAGAACTAATCCTTTCTTATAAAATTTTCAAAAATGTACTTTGATGAAGATTTCCCTTTACAATTAACAATTACATAACAGGTTTGCGCAGAGTCGTGAAGAATGGAGTATAAGTCCGATTCAAAGACCGGAAATAAAAACAGGAGATGTGGCTTCAGGTCAGACGATTTGTGATATAAAGAAAAAGAAAAAAAAATTCAAAAAGCCGAAAAAAATATTCTAACAAGTTTTTTTATACCTTTAGGAGTTGCAGGATGGACCCAGAGAGTGAGTGAACTAGATAGGCAGGCAGCTGCAGTTCAAACCCCTCCAGTTTCCAGGTTATTCTTTTTGAGTTCCATATCTTTAAGGTTCGGTGTAAATCTATCAATATACAAGCTTGGGAACCCATCTTTGCCCAGAGTTTTCCCAATAAAAGTCAACCAACACCACTTAAAATTTTAGTTATTTATCTAATTATACAAAGTTGTTTTTTTTCTGTATGTTTGAGAGGGTTGACTTTTATAGGGAGTACTCTAGACAAAGCTGGGTTTCCAAGTTAGTTTACACTGATAAATTAATAATCTCTATTTGTGTTTATTTTTTATCATAACTCAGGAACCCAATGAACGATTTGCCTCAAAATTTGATTGGGGAACTCAGTAGAACCACGTCAATTTTCTTAGTTTGATTAAGAAAATCCAAGCTGAGTGGGTTGACTTTTAAAGTAAAAGTTTAGCTTTCAGACAAAGCTGGGTTTCCAAGCTATTTTGTCAAATAGCTCTCAGAATACAGTGAAAAACAGAAAACTGTAGAATATAAAGACGACATTAAGGCAATACTAAAGTGCATTTGATGTTGTTAAAAAGCAAATAGCTTTACTAGTCAGTTAATAAATTACTTATCAAGTGAAATGGGTCTGTTTTTACTGCACTATAGCTGTACCTCATGCTCATTGGACGAGTCAAAGTCATAAATTGAGTCTAAAGTCGACTTTTAATTCCAGAGTTTTCGGGTAATCATTTAAGTTCATCTCTATCTAACCCCATGAAACTAATGCTTTTTTTAGGAAAAATACGGTGATAAAGTTTTCAGAACGGCGAGCTGTTTCTGAAACTAGATCTACTTCAGAGTTTAGAACCCCTGTGCAGGGGGTTCAGAGAATTCAAACCGGACAAAGGTATTTTGACCTTAAAATCTATAAATTTATACTAATAGTTTTCAACGTTCAAGGGTCGGAAGTATTTCTAGCCTACTAAATATACTACCCGGAGAAGAGGATTCAACCCGTCTGTCTCCACCTATCTCCAACTGCTCAGAGAAGAGTTTTTAGTTGAAAATATCAGGGTTCAGGATTCTCTTCATGAATAGTTACTTCTCTCCTCTCTATAAAATTATCTTAAATCTGATCATTATTCTTATTCTAAATCCTAGTTTAATCCTGATCTTGATTTTGATCCAGTCCTCAAAGTAATACTTTTTCATATCTAATGATTTTTAATAATACTCCTAACCTTCAGAAATTTAACTTCCTAATCATTAACTAAATGTAACGTTTAATCCCTATGTAATTATAGTGAAAGTTTAACATGAAAGTAACATGAGTAACATGATCAATGATTTATAATATTGTATGTTTATTATGGTCACACCGATGTCACTGTATCTAAATCTAAACCAACTTCGAACTTTAAAAATCCAATATATATATAAATAACATTAAAAATGATTACATTTAAAAATGGTTGAGTTAGAAGAACAAACAGCAGATAAGATTAGAGGAGTTTTAATAGATTTTGAAGCGTTCACAACTTCACATACTGTTAGAAGAACAAACAGCAGATAAGATTAGAGGAGTTTTAATAGATTTTGAAGTGTTCACAACTTCACATACTCTGTCAGAGATTTTCTTGAAAAAACCTTCCCGACTTCTGTCGTCTTCATACCAAGTTTAACATACTTTACCTGAAATGATTTTTTATTCATTTCATTTTTTAAAAGAGATCGATTTAATCATCTTCTGTAAATGTTGCACCCCCTACCCACCTGAAAAGCTATTTTTACTAAGACACATGTCATTTTTCGATGTGCTCAAGAGACAGGGTTTAGTGAAATTAGCAAGGTATAGAGACGGTTAAACCATGTATCTTGAATCAGTGATTCAGGATTAGCAAGGTATAGAGACAGTTAAACCATGTATCTTGAATCAGTGATTCAGGATTAGCAAGGTATAGAGACGGTTAAAACATTTATCTTGAATCGGTGATTCAGGATTAGCAAGGTATAGAGACGGTTAAACTATGTATCTTGAATCGGTGATTCAGGATTTGCCCATGCACCTATAAATGATCACTACACTACAGAACTACAGATTCAAGATTTGAATCGACCGTAGGTAGTTTAGCGACCTAGCTCAAGTTCACCGTATGGTAGAGAGAGGAAAGTATATCCTGGATTAGAATTGACCTTGAACAGTTTACGAGGTTCCAGGGTTCTCTGGATGAAGAACGTATTCTACAAAACCTTGAAATAAAGAAAATACAAACAAAGAGACACAAATAATTAAACCTTTAACTGATAAAACTGTTATCAGTACTTTAATCCATCAATCAAATTATTAAAAAAGATATTTCAAAATTGTCTGAATTAATATTTCTGATATGACATATTAAAAAAATAATATTGATGAGAAAAAATAAACAACTATATAAAACTATCAATTTTTTCCCTTTTTACTTTTTCCTTGCATTTGGTTTTAAAAATTTGACATTAATATTTATACTAATTAGAAGAACTAAACACTCTCCACATACTCTAATTTTCTAAACCTTCTATCTTTGCAACCTTCTGTCGTATAGTTTAAACCATGAATTCTGTTGGATCAAATAATTTATTTTAAAATATCAAATTTTAACACCATTAGGTTGCAAAGAAAATTTTAGTTTGTGGCAAAGACCCAATTCCTTTGAGTGATAATTTTAGTAATTTTTGTATGTATTTATGTATGTATTGGTGTATGTAGATATGTATGTTTTTATGTATGTATTTATGTATGTTTTTATGTATGTATTTATGTATGCATTTATGTGTGTAGATATGTATGTAGATTTGTATGTATTTATGTATGTAACGATCACCACTGGATATCTAAAAGGAATTAAACTACTCCGTAGGTCTGTATAAGATGAGAAGTGTGGATTAAACTACTCCGTAGGTCTGTATAAGATGAGAAGTGTGGATTAAACTACTCCGTAGGTCTGTATAAGATGAGAAGTGTGGATCAATGCTTGATCTCGATATTCACAAAACAAAAGTTCTATCCTCAGGTTGCAAAAATATATGGATCCGAAAATTACAATTTTGACGCAAATGTTCTATTCCTTTTTCCGACACCAGCAAAGGGTTCTACAGTTAGGAGATTTGTCTTCAACTGGGACTGAGACTGCACCGACTATAAAGTGTCACCAGGTCTGGACTGGACTGGACTGAACTTACCTCGTCAGCTATAGTGTATAATATATATACTACAGTAAGATGCATATATGTAGACGACATTAAAGCAATCTTTATATTTGTATTTGATGTTGTTACAAAGAAAATAGTTTTACAATGTAGATTAAAAACCCCTTATTATTAAGTGAAATGGGTTTCTATACCGAACAATTACTGTTTCTTGTGTTCATAGGACTATTTAAAATCATAACTTGAGTCTAAGAATCGTCTTCCTATTCCACAGTTTTCTGGTTCTCACTGTATACTATAACGGATAACCTCGTTCTCGTCAACCCACTGTTTTAGCATTAGCAACCCTGAGGCCGAATTTAAAAAATTTGAGCCGCGAATTTGAGATGTGGCTTGAAAATGGTTGGTTTCACTTAAAATTGTATTCAATGTTTCAATATTTAAGCCGGCGCTCAATTGTATCCGGATTTTGGCGGATTTAAGACGCGGCTCAAATTCATTAAATTCGGACTCAGGATATTGAAACTTTTAACTCTAGGTATGAACGAGTATTTGGCAAAATTCTTTTAGATTTTTGCTTCAGAATAGCCATATTTTGCAGTGAAAGACGTTTTAAATAATACAGTGTGACCCATAAACTGTGGATTAATATGAAGACGACATTCAACAAACATGTTATTATGAGGTATAGTTCATTTTGTTATAAAGCAAATAGTTTAACAATTGTTGTGTTTTACCTTCATTGAACTAATCAAAATCAAAACTAGATTCGGACAGTCGTCTTTCTATTCCACAGCTTATGGGTCCCACTGCATTCCTTTAAAGCAAGGACAAAAGTTAGTTGTTGTTTAAAAACTCATTTAATGATATAATTGTAATAAAATATTAATAGGTTTCTTAGTTTCAGTTAAATTTGACTTATAGATAATATGACAAGTATATAGTATTTGTAGAAGACCTATTTATTCTCTGTAAAATCATTTGGATTTTAAATCACCGTACTTTTATAGTGAATGATGTCTATTTTCTCTAAATTTTAAAGATGTTCCTTTTCAGCAAGCACTGTGATTGCTTTTTCTTTATACATTGTACTCATTCAATAATAAATTGATATTATAGATTTATTCTTTAATAGGTTTCATGCGTGTAAGTTTTGATTAAAGATTGACGAAAGGATAGTACATATAAAAGTAAATATTTACGGTATTTACAAAAAGCCAATTTATTTCGCTGTCAAATAATTTAGACGTTAAATCAACGTATGTCTGTTGTGAAGAATGTTTATTTTCACTAAATTTTAAATACATTTCTTTTTTGCGAGTACTGTGGTTATTTTTGTCTAATCTTATGTACATTGTACATTTTACATTGTACATTGGAATTAAAATAATAAACTGATATTTTATATATGTTCTTCAATAGGTTTCTTTCGTGCAAGTTTCAGTTAAAGATTGATTTATGAGATAATATTATAAGAATACAGTATATAGTATTTACGTGCAAAGTACTAATTATTTATTTGCTGTAAAATCATTTAGAGTTGAAGAAAGTTTCTTTCACTAGATTTTTAGGACATTCCTTTTCTTTGTTGCTATGCTTAAATGTATCAATGCTGTTTGAATTCTTGGTAGAAATTAAAAATTGAAATCGAAAGTCATCTTCATTGAATAAATATATACGGCGATGAATGCACATTGGTCATGAATTAAAACTAATTCAATGATAAATTAATATTATAGATATCGCTTGGATTTGAAGGTACTGTAGAAATAATTTCAAGCAACCCTCCATTTATAGAGTGGTATTTGTAAAGTGTTAAATTCTTACAATTTCATTGTTTCTCTTGCTACATAAATGCGCGTCATTGTTATATAAAACAACAATTAAAAATAATTGATTTTAAGATAGAGACAAGAGGGATAACTCAATCAGTTTTACTTAGACAAATATTCAAAGGACAGAGCCATAGCTAGGAATTTCTAAAGGGGGGGGGGGTACAAAAGTTATAAACTGCAGAGATGGATAAGTAAGGAGCGGGCCGCAGGCCAAAAATTTGTTTGATCTGAAAAACTCGTTAAGTCTCAAAATTAATGAATGCAGACTAAAAAACTAAATCTTTAACTTATCACACATTACAGTTTATTAAGATAGATATTTTACCTGTTCTCGTTCCCTTAATCGCTATTGATAATTGAGAAGCTATTTGCATCAAAATAAAAAAATGTAGGCATAAGATGTACAGTGTTAAGTTCAACTTAAAATAAATGTACTAATGATAATTTTTAATCATGAATTACAATGGTTATTTTTAATACAGGAAAGTAAATTATGTAAATACAGGTTTAGCAGCTGTTTGCATTCATCCTCAAGCTTGCAGGGGAGTTTTTTTCGAAATTTAGTTTTGAAAAAACTGAAGATTTGATCAAAAAAAAGCTAGCTCTAGCATGAAAATCTTCAGTTTTCTCAAAATTAAAATTCGAAAAAAACAGCTTCTTCTAAACCTGGCCATATTTTTTTTATAATTTAAATTTGTCTCCATGTTACTTTGCTGTAAGATGGTTCGTTAAAATTATTAATCTAATAAAAGAAGGGAAAAGGATAAGCTTCTCAAAATACAAAAAATTAATATCATTTCACAGGATAGAATAGAATAAAATTCCCTAATCATTTATTTCAGTAAGCGCTCAATTTGTCTTTAATTTGAAGACAAATTACTTATTTAAAACGTAATATTTGTAACAAAAATGAGATTTGATGCCAATTTTTTCCCCTTTTTCCTTCTTTTCATTTTTTCATTTTCTTCTTTTGTCTCAGAAAGTGTGCCCCCCCCCCCTAGCTACGGGCCTGTTAAAGGGTACCGTTGTGATTTGGACGTGCTACTTTAACAGAGGTATCCTGAACAGAAGATTCACACTCGATCTCTATCTCATGATCATTTCCTCATGAATTAACTCCTTGTGTTTCAGTACTACAGGTGTTTTTATATTTTATTAAGTTTCTTGGTTTGCATTGTGTATATTTAATGGCGCCACACTAAGACATTTCTCTATTCATTAAACCATGATTTATGAGTTCCAGTTCTCCGGGGTTGTTCTGTGTATTTCAACTCTATGGTTACAATCGATTGTCGGAGTTGGGACGGAGTGTGTCTGAGAACTGCAGTTACTCCGGGTACTCACAACAGTACACAACTAAAAGTTACTCCGGGTTCTCACAATAGTACACGGCCGGCTAATATTTTCACTGGGTACTCCGAAGAGTACACAACTAAAAGTTACTCTGGGCACTCACAACAGTACAAAACTATATAGTTACTCCGAGTACTCACAACAGTACACAACTGTATAGTTACTCCAGGTTCTTACTACAGCAGTACACAACTCTATAGTTACTCCATGTAATCAAAACAGTACACAACTAATAGTTACTCCGGGTACTCACAACAGTGCACAAAAACTAGATACTCCGGGTACTTACAACAGTGCACAACTATATCGTCACTCAATGTGCTCACAACAGTACACAACTAATGGTTACTCCATGTACTCACAAAAGTACACAACTAATAGTTACACCAGGAACTTACAACAGTACACATCAATTAGTTTCTTCAAGTACTCATAACCAGTATACAACTTTTTTTACTCTGAGTACTTACAGCAGTGCACAACTATTGCTCCGGGTACTGAGAACAATACACAGCTTATAGTTACTCCAGGTACTCGCAACGGTTCACAACTACTACTCCGAGTACTCACAATGATACACGGCTATATAGTTACTCCGGGTATTCACAATAATACACAATTATTAGTTACTCCGGGTACTAAAAAACAGTACACAACTAATTGTTACTCCGGGTACTCACAACTGTGCATATAACACTGTACTCATAACAGAACAAGAACCCGGTGAATAGTTAATCCGGCTACTTACAGAATACAGATAAAACATTCATTCTGTACAGCTTTATATGTTATAACCCTGACTAAAACTACATAGGACCGTGATGTAAAAAAAAATACTTGACTTTGATAGTAAAATATTACGAACTAGCTTGGGAACCCATCTTTGCCTGGAAACTGAGTTTTCCTATAATAAGTCACCTTTTCCAAATTAGAACTTTTCAACCTTGCTAAAAATATCCCTGTGGTTCCCAAATCAAAATGTGAGGCAAATCGGTCATGGGGTTCATAAGTTATGATCGGACATACAAACAAAGAAACCGTGAATACTACTTTACATATATTTATACATATATATTTATTAGTTACATATATGGAAATATATTTTAGATAAACATGAACGTTTAATTTGTATATGAAATGATAAATATTAAGTAGTATCTGAATAGGATCTGTACATTATTTTTGAATTTTACCAATCTACCTGTACAATTGCATGGATCTACGTAAGTATTTGAGTTGTACATAAACTTTTTAGTTTTACATAAATATTTTAGTATAAAAAGTTTTGTTTTCCTGAACAAACACCTTCCATCACGAAATATTTGTCAGCTGTCCTTAGCCCTCCCCCTGCTGGACTAACAATTCTTAGGGAAAATGATATATTTATTACCGGCAGCCATCCAAAGCAAAGAATATAATTCTAATTTGTAAAGAATAAATTTCAAGCAATTTTTTATCTGAAAAACTTTTTGAGAAATTAAAATTTGACAAATATATTCCGGTTATTGTGATTGCACAACAAATGCGGACATTTTGTATGATATGTCCAGATTTAAGGTAAAGGGTTACCCACAAAGAATGAGATTGAAAAGACGACCTGAAAAATTAAAAAATGAAAATATCAAGGTTTATTTAATCCATGAATACAAGGAAACAGAAAGTATAAATTCCATACAGTCGTCTCTGAAGTTTTATCCTTTGTGGAAAGGATAATTTATGAATATTGTTTAAAGAATTGGAAAATAATGTTCACCAATAATGAGATTTTATTATAAAATATAATTTTTTGTTGGACTCATATTGCCGATTTCAAAACTAGATACTAAATTGCAGAGAAATGTTACCTAACCAGACTAGATGCAGTTTCAAATGAATCAAAAATGAAGTTTTACATTTGAAGATCTCCACATTTTACAAGTAAGTTTAATTGTTTCCCGTTTTATAGTGTATTTTTTTTAAAATTGGTAATATCTTGATTTTTTACTGTACTTTTAATGTAAAAACTGATAGTACGTGTGTGCAGTAAAGTATTTATATTGTACAAGACTGATGGTACGGGTGTACATTACAGTATATAAAGTGTACAGGACTGACGGTATGTGTGTACAGTATAAATAATGTACAGGACTGATGGTACCTGTGTACGGTATAAATAATGTACAGGACTGATGGCACTCGGTACAGTATAAAAAATGTACAGGAATGATGGCACGCGTGTTTAGTATAAAAAATGTACAGGAATGATGGTACGTGTGTACAGTATAAAAAAATGCACATGATTGATGGCACTTGTGTACAGTATAGATAATGTACAGGACTGATGGTACGTGTGTACAGTCAACCCGGACAATTTGGATCGTCTTCCCTTGGCGGTCTTTTTGGAGACCCAAAGGTAGCAAATTTATATTTAATAACCTTTGTTACAGCATTGTTACAGTTGTTGTGTACATTTACTTGTATTCTTTTTAGATTGAAATCTAAGAATTTAAACCTAAAAGTTTCCCTTTCCGTTCCCTGATCTTAAACACTTAAATAAATTTAAGCATAATTTCAAGTGCCCCTCTATGAAAAGATGATTTATAACTGTGTCCTTAATAGCTTTGCCTGATCAAGTATGAATTAAATATCAATGTTTTTGTTTCTATAAACGGTTTCGTTTAATTTGCGGTTTCACTGAAAAAGTGACTTAAACGCCTGTTTTGCTTATGAGAAGCACAGTGATATTATCAGAATTAAACACTTTTAGAGCTTGGAAAACGAGCGTATCTGACGCATTTTGAGGGTACCGATGTAAATCGGGCATTGACATGAAAAAAAACTTTTCTTAATTTTTTTTTTAAGGAATAAAAAATATATTTCTAACTTCTAAGTGATATCACAATACTTATTGTAAAAATTTTAACCCCGTTTTATTTGTGTGAAACAACTTTTGTGTGAAATTTTAATTTGCATGTTTTATTTTATTTTATGAACGGTCGGTATTTTTATTGTTGGTACAATTGTGCAAATAATTCGAAATAAAACTTAGCTTGGGATTATTCTTTTGATTGATTTTTTTTTATTATTTTTGTCTAAGAATTTTCCTAAGATTACAAAATTAACGTATCAAATGGTTATACATTTACAAAATAATATTTTTCCAATATTTATCAATTTTTATATGAAGTTCATAGTTTGGATTATTGCGCAATGCGGCGAAATAATCTTAATAAAATATATAGATATTTTAAACTAAGAACCAACACGATCATATCTATATCTATGATTAAATATATTATAGATACATTACTGGGGTTGACAATTGCAAGCTGTATACAAATTATTGGAATCTTATTGTTTGCTTGATTTTTAAAACACGTGTTAGTTTGTTTTAAATGATTTTTAACCACGTGTTCACAGAGTCGCATGCGTGTTCCAGAGATTTCTCAACACCAGCATCCTGGATATCCAATCCAGCACCCCAAATATCCGGCCCAACATAGTAGATATCCGGCCCAACAACCCCCTTGTCCTATCCAACCCTACACGCCTCCTATTGGCGTAGTTCCTGAACTCAGAGTACCTGTGGGCGTCTGCTGGAGATGTAGAAAATTATATCAAGAACAAACTGAGGTAGAAACGTTGCGTAACGTAACACAATTAAACGTGACATACATTATGAATCACCATAGTCGTAAAGTAGCAGAAGTAGAAATGTATATCATGAACCGAGGTAACTGCACTGTTCCCTAATTCGTAATACAAATTAAGCGTGACATATTAATGACTAACAGAGTTTTAAAGTAGAAACATTGCTAAACGTAACAAAAAAAACATGAAATACATCCAACTTGCCATAGACTAAAAGTATGATTATTAGAAACAGTAGAAATGTTATGTAACATAAAATGTGACCGTACCTTTGAAAAGTATGAGTATCGTAGCAGTATTAAAACTATATCAAGAACAAACTATGATAAAAACGTTTATAGGTTAACAAAAATTAAATGTGAAATAATACAGACTAACTTTTAAAAAGTATGAGTAGGGAGCAATATGAAAACTATATTAAGACCAAACTGAGCTAGGTGGAAACATAGTGTAGCATAACAAAACTAAACGTGACAGGACTCAACCTAGTTTTAAAATAGCAGTAGTAGAATCTTATATTGTTACCATTTAAAAGTGGTATAAACTAAAGGAAATCTAAAGCCTGAAACTGATGTGAGTAAATCTGAGTGTAAGAAAAAATGTATTTTCAAGTAAAAAAAGAACAAATAAAATTATACTAATGAATCATGGAAAGCCAGAGCTCTCTGACAGACTCTTCGCCTTTCATTCGCCTCGTACAAGTTAACCTTCCGTCTTTCGATCCTTCCTGATTACTAACTTTTCGTTGGGTTTTAGCAAGGCCAATCCTATTTCCTCCTACTTCGTATTCAAGCCGTGTTTCAAGCCTATTGGCTTAAATTTAAAATAGGAATTCTAGGCCAACGGTGGTTTTGGTCTTCCATGCGTTCAAATCTTCCACTTGTTCAAATCATGCATCAAAAGCATGTTTTCTGGGCTGGCATCTTTTAACAGATAAATCTCTACACAATATTCATGAGGCGACTTATCATCTGTCCCACTTTATGTCCAACCTATAGCTATAAACAAAAGAGCTAAAACGTTGTCTTGAGTATGGACCGGACTACTTGCAATCTGAGCTTAGCTCCAGGTCAGTATGAGGACTGAAGGGGTTACATCAATGGAACTATTCAATCTGAGTTTATTTCCGGGTTTGTATGAGAACTGAAAGGGTTACATCAATGGAACTATCCATATTCCGAGCTATTCAGCTCACACTGGTTAGACTATCATGAACCAGGGTATAAAACGTTATGTAACGTAATAAACATTAAACATGACATAATACTGACTAACATAGTTTAAAAGTAGGAGTAATCAAGCTACAGAAAACTATATCAAGAACAAACTATAAGGCAGAAACATTGCGAAATGTAACAAAAAAACATGACGTAATACTGATTAACATTTAAAAGTACTGAGCTGAAAAGAAAATTATATCAGGAAAAGTGAAGAAGAAAATATTTTTACTGCAACAAAATTAATGTGACATACATAATAATGACTCACCTTAGTTTAAAAGTAGGAATAATAAGAAATTGTATCAAGAATAAACTGAGGTAGAAACGTTACGTAGTGTAACAAAAATAAAATCTGACATAATACTGACTAGCGTTTAAAAAGAGAAAAAGAGTGCAGAATAGTAAAAACCTTTATAAAGAAGAAACTGAGGTGGAATTGTTGCATGTTATTTGAAAAAATATGACTTTATTTTGTTTCAAAGTAGGAAAAGTAGGAAACTATATCAAGGTCAAAACGTTGCATAATGTCACATTGAATTAAGAGTGATAGACACTGAATAAATCCAGCACATAGTTTGAAGGCAATTATACCTAGCATTCAGTGTGATAATTTCAAGAGGTAGAAACAATAATTTGAAAAAATTAAACGTGACATAGAAACGTAGCATAACGAAACAAAATTAAGTGTAAAATGTAAAATGAAAATCTGAGGTCGCTGATTTAACAATATGTAACTGAAACTAATGTATAATGTGAGCAAACACGTAACTAGTTTCAATAGTAGGAGTATTAGCCAAAAGCATGACCGTCAAACACATGTGACATGATACTCAAATCTCATTGATGTACAGCTATGGAAACCTAACGTGACAGTCTGTAACATTATTTATCAGAACTGCAATGTTGATTTAAAAACTACAATAGACAATTTTTGAAAGATATTTTTTCTCCTTACGGTGATAGTTGTTACCACCAAAAATAAGATTTACCCTTTTGTAGCATCCCGGCATGATAATATATTAAATTGCATGTCAGATATATTAAGCAAATAAATTGCAAGTTATAATATTAAAAAGTTGCATGGTTGTAGTAATATTTTAAGGCATAAAAATGCAATATTAATAATATAGCTAAATGAATTAAGTCTTTGCCACAAACTCAAATTTTCTAATCCCTATATCTATGGAACCTGATGTTGAAGACTTTTGATATTTCAAACTAAGATAATTTGATGCTAAAGAATTCATAGTTTGAAATATCTAAGGTCTACGACACTGGGTTGCAAAGATATAGGAATTAGAAAATCAGAGTTTGTGTCAAAGACTCAACTCCTTTGATCAATATCTTTAGTTCATAATTTCAAGATATTGTGAATAATAATAATTTTAAATCAAATTGAGCTAATTCTAAGGAATTCTTGCCATAAACTCAAATTTTTTAATCCCTATTTCTCGGCAATCATATGTTCTAAACCACTTTGATCTTGGTATTTAGGCTTTTAGAGAACAAAAGTTTAAGATATTAGAAATTCAAGGCGCTTCGCGCCCTTCTTTCTAGCCTTAGAGGGCGCTTCGCGCCCATCTTCTAAATTAATTGTGAGCATGTTCTCTTTGTGTACATCGTAAAACAAAACAAAAATAATTCGCGGATTTTCACAAAAAATTTCGTGGACTTTCAAAATTTTAAAAAATTTAATCACGATCGAATTTTGATGGAGACAAATATTTGAAATTTTGATTTTTCATAAACCTTCCCTGGGGTCCCTAGATGTCCCACACAAAATTTGGGCCCGATCGGTTCAGCCGTTTTGACGTTTATTGGATACAAACAGACAGACAGACAGACAGACAGACAAGCCAAATTTATATATAGATTAATTCAATAAATTGAAGTATTGCATGCCTAAACATTTTAAACCAAGGTCAGAATTATGCAATTCAATAAAATAAAACAATTTTTTAAAAACTTCTATTTTAATTACAAGCTGTTTTTTGTCGGTTTAAAAGTAAACTTTTCACTTTAGAATTAAACATAAAGTGCAATTTTTAGAAAATAATTGTAAGATTAAAAAGCTTTTTAAAAAGTGAACTGGCATCTCAATTTTTTACAAATGATGATATAAACCTAAACCTAGCTTTGGTCAGAAATAAAGGGGAATATCTAAAACTTTAGGAAAAGTTTAAATGTATGTACTAAAAGTAAATTTCCCATTTAGATATATTCATGTTAAAATTCACCACAAAAGACGGAGAAAATGTGAAAAATGTGCAGTATAAAAACTTTATTAATGATTTCAATTTTAAAAGCACCCACTCGACGAATGTGCGGAATTATTTTTTTTAATTTCCTGTCTTTAGGGAGATAATCGACGAATCGATTATGAGGATTATTTAGAGGATCGAAGAAGAGAGGATCTAAGAAGAAAGTAAGTGTTCAGAATTAAAATTTTCATTTATTTACTTTTAACAATGATAATGACAAAAAACGAAAACTTTCCAGAAGGTAATTGTAACTTTAAGTTACTCAGACTAAGGTAATTTCTTTTCAAGAACATATTTTTACCAGAGACTTTTACCTACAAAAATTAATGATTTAAAGGGACCGTTCACTTATTTGGGAAATTTCAGGGTAAACTAAACAGCCTATTCGCTCTAGATTGGTAATAGTCTTACTTTTCATAAACAACTGTGGCCGGAGAAAAAGCCGATTTTTCGTTCAGAATTTGAGCGGAAAGGGATGGTCCCTCTCTATAGTCACAATCAACAGCGAATAGGCTGTTTAGTTTACCCTGAAATTACCCAAATAAGTAAACGGTCCCTTTAAGAAAACTGATTTTACTAAATTCACTTATCAAATGGCTCCGTGTGAACTGCAAAAAATTACAGTACATAAATCAAGGTAATTTCCATTAAAAAATACATTTACCAATAAAAAAACAAATAATTTTATTTGCCAAATTGCCATAATGCATTAGTCATATTAGATAAGTTCGCCTTGATTACTATCAATTAAAGATATATTATATTATCAAATGTAAGATCTTTCGGACAGGCTAATGGGCCGAGCTATGTAGCTACAGGATAGAGTTTGAAAGGATTGACTTGAGTCTTTAAGTCACAAACCTCAATTTCAAGTTACTGAAATACAAAGATATTTTGCAATCTGATAGACATTTCGAACTTAGCGTTAACAGAATTTAGAGTTTGAAATATCTTAGGGCTATGACATTGGGTTGCAAAAATATAGGGATTAGAAAATCTGAGTTTGTGGCAAAGATTCAATTTTTAAAGCATAATATCAAGTTAACTTAAAGGAAGTTTACAGTAAATATTAAATATTGTGTATAGTAGACTAAGCACTACAAATTCTAATATTCTAATTCTTATCTCTAGCTTTGTAACCTGATGTGAGCAAACCTTTCATATTTTTTGATTTTTAATTTAGCAAATTTCTTATTTTGAAATGTCAAAGGTCTACGTGACATTAGGTTTATGTAGACAGGGTTGACCAAATCTGAAATTTTTAAACCATATGTAGTCTAGTACTTAATCCTAAATTGTGATGTTAATTTCATTATAATCTGGTAATACTTAAGCCTGCGAGAGAAAATAGTGTGAAGTGTTTTTTTTCCTTAACACCCTTTATAATGTTTTTAGTGGTGAGTATGGTGGTTTGCGGAGCTCCTCTAGTGAAGGATACCTGGATAAAGCTTGGATACAGAACCAGGGAGGACCTGGAGAGGATGGGTTAAACTCAACAACATTACAACAGCAGATAGACCAGCTCTCTCAAGCAGTAAGTTCTAAAAGTTAAATATATTCACAATGCATAAATCTCGCGTTCTAGAAGGGGATCATGACTCAGGGGGGCTTATATTTTTTTTTCTTTCCAGGGTGGAGTGGGGGGGCGCAGATCCCGTTTGGGCCTGANGGGGGGAGCTATAGGGCTCACCCGGGAATGCATCTGAAGTGGATTATTCGTCCGGTGTTCTGCATTCTATATTTATAATAAAGCAATTTCCCTAGTTGTTATTGTTCAGAACCACTTCGAATCAACCGCAGGTTACAGTGACAAGTGACTATAAAACGATAAGTGGGATTGGATAAAGGACTTTTGGTAAATTGTATATTTTGATAGTTTCCTCTTGGAAAAAATGTTTTGAGAGGGGAAAATAATTTTTCAAATGTTTTTTTTTCTTCCAAAACTTTCAAGATAAGCTTTTCATTTTCATTCAGAAAAAAATTTGATATATGGGATATGTACTTTTATTTCCGACCAATGTCTTAATTATTCTCGACCAATCTGGCCTGAAAACATTCCTGAAAAAGTTTCAGGCCGTTTCCGTCTTTGAATGATCTTATCATTATGATGACGATTAATTCACATAGAGAATAGAATATATATCCTATTCTCTATAATGTTAATTCATCATGTAGTTTCAATAAGTGGTTATTCTCATAATCATCCTCTCCCCCCTCCCCCCCCCAAAAAAAAAACATTGAAAAGATTTAAAAAAAAAGACTAGGATACAATTTTAAAACTATTTCGTTTCAAGCAGACAAGACAATTGTAATTAGGAAGTCGTCTTCAATACAAAAATTTGATTTGAATTTAATTAAAATTATATTTAACTTGATTGGAAACCCGGATTTAACTGTAAACAAAACTTTCTCTACAGAAATAAATTAAATTTTTATTTTTAAACCAATTTCAAAAAACATTCTTGTGGTTGTACCCAGTTCCGCTTTCAAAATTTAACGCAAATTGGTTTATGAGGTTTCATCGGACATACAAACAAACTAACAGACATTTAAAACTTTTTTTTATAAATCAATTAAAGAATTTGGTTAACAGCTAAAACAGCCCCAGGCTATTGAATCCGCCTGCTGCGGAAAATATTATTTTTTAATCAGTTAAACCCTAAATAAGCCATACATCGAAAGAATTCATCAAATGTCGTATTCTTCACTTTCTGATAATGAAATGTTGCAGATACTTAGCTTTTTAATTTAATGATTATATGGAACTCTTTGAAACTGTTCCCGCATATTCATACCTATTTATTTATTTACGCAAATTCATGAGATTTACGTAAAACAGTATAAAACCCATTTAAAAATTTTCAAGACGACATTTGATAAATTCTTTCGATGTATGGCTCATTTAGGGTTTAACTGTATTATGATCTAAAAAAATTAAATTCAGAAATTTTTTTTTTTGCAGAAATAAATGATTTTATTTTATTTTGATTTTACTTATCTAAATCTAGATTGTAGCTTATGCATAAAATAGAAAATATTAAATTTTTCTGCGGTAATATAGTTACAGCAGATATTAACAAATCATACTGCAAGCAGGAGAGTTTATAAGGTTCAAAGCTGTTCTTACAAAGCTTATTTAACTCGACACACTGTATTTATTCTTAAGAAGGTTAGAGATGGCAAAATACAAACAAATTGTATAAGATTGAATTCAAAAATCCTTTTTTTGTTAGAGAATATATACTTAAAAACGTAAATTAAATTGTAAAAAGTAAAAGCAACAAATTAGATAAAAATGAAAATGTTTAAGAAAAAATGTCAAGCCATTGTTTAAAGTAATTCTAAGAAAAGTTGGAAAAGTAAAGTGGGGGGATTTTAAGACGTTAGACAAGGGAATATTAAGGGGGAACTAGTGGTGGAGGAGGGGGGATATAGAACTAGGACAGGGGAAATTTATCGATATTACTGTTATCTTGATAACAGCTTGAAACAGTACATAACTTTCTCTTTAACTTATACAAGTAATATTTAGTTATTTAATGATTTTTAAATTGTAAATTTAACAATGCTACAGAAAAGTTTAGTTGTTAAATAAAAACTGGAACTGGAAGGAAAATGTTTACCTATTTCTTAAAATCTAATTTAACAGTAACACTTCAAAATTAAAACTGTTACTAACTAAAAGGACAGTCTTCGCCTGTGGTTTTTTAAGAAAGAGATTTTAAGAAAAGCAAGAAAACAGTCAAGATCATCATATTGAAGATTTTAATAAGAATACAGGGGTTACATAAAAGTTACAAGATTTTAGAGACGATTGTACAATGTACAGTTTTAATTTAGTATAATTTTTGGTCCTTTGCAGCTGCAGTACACTTATTTTATTTCTTTTCCAAATCATTATGGAACTCAAACAAAATTGCATGTAATGGTTAAATCGTGAATCGTGAAATTCTAAGAATTACAGTCGTCATTATAGAGTCTTATCCGTAGTAAGTAACCATTTTACTGCATTTTCGTCAAATATGGGTTTAAAGGGTATTACTTCCATGAATATCGATTTCAGTTTGGGCGTGATTACTAGCCTTAGACTCTAATATTCTAATCCCCATATTTTTACAACTTGATGGTGTAAACCTTTTATAATTCAAACTTTGTGTTCTGCTCAAAGATAATATATATATTATCTTTGGTTCTGCTAGAAAAAAATGAAGGTTTAGACAACAAAGTTGTACAGTGTATTGTTACATTTAAAAGTTGAAGCCTTGACAGCATAAAAAAACAGATAATATTCGATCGGCGATCCTACACTTATTAAAATCAAGTCTGAGCTTTTGACGGATCGTCCGCCTTTCTTTCGCCTCATATGGCAGACCAATCTCCCTCGTCATATTCTTCGGCGATACTACTGGTTCATTCCGGGCAAATCCTATGCATGCCACCTCATGGAGCGAGATCTAGCCTGGATTTGAAGTAGTGTGGCGGATATGAATATCGTCTTCCTGAATATTCTAGAGAAATCCAAGGAGGAGTTTCCAGATCAGCTGATATAAAATCATATGTTATATATTCAATTATTTTACGAGTTAAGTTAAGTTTTTAAATAAAGTTAATCGTTGAGTAACTCTTTTCCTTTAAACTTATAGCACGCCAAAGTAGAACACTAAGGTCACAATATCGGCTTGGGGTTTCCTTGCGTCCAGGACGTGATTCATGGAAGAACGTTGCTTTATTCCTAACGGACAAAATATCTTGAATACAACTATACACAATGAGGCGGTTGTTATCCGCCCTACGTCTCATCCGACCTCTATATATTAGCTATATAGTAAGCTGCTATGCTTAAGTGCAGGACTAGTTGCAATATGAGCTTGGCTCCGGGTCCGTATGAGAACTATCCCTACTCCGAACTACTAAGCTCATGCTGGTTACAGTATCTACACAATTCACACTGTTAGTTTGCAAAGATATAGGGATTAGAAAATTAGAGTTTGAGGCGAGTAATCAGTTTCTTTTAAATTAACATCCCTTTATTTTGAATTTCTCCTAGCTATCAAGAATCCAGGGATACTCTGGGTCCAACTCCTATCCTAGCTCGGCCCAGGCCCAGGACCCTGCAAGGAAAACATGGTCCGCTCCAAACAAGGATCCATTCGGCCCTCTACCGGATTTAACGAACCTGGCGGATCCAATGGGTCGCAGGTCTCAGGTTAGCGCTGTTCTTTGACCTAAAGAGACTGTACTAGCGTAATCTCAAGTAACCCATCATGCAATTATGGCAATAACCGATTCATAACCGATTCATTATACTTGATCAGATAAGGCTTTTTTAAGGGTACCATTGTAAATCGGACATTTACACATGGTACACTTAAATTTTAGCATGAAGGGTCACTTCAAATTACGTGCAGTCCCTTTAAACCTTGAAATTCACCATATTTAACATTTTAAAATGATGATTTTCCGTTTAGCGCTCAAATTTTTTTTTTCGCAACCTGCATTCAATTAAATAAATTAGTATAAAATTGGAACTTAATTAATCAGTTGGATAACAAAGTATACGGATGAGATATTTATGAGATATTAACAATACAAAAGATCTAACCTTTCAGACAGTTTCTTTTTTATTTTAAATTTTTCCACCCTAGGCTCAAAACTCCGGTTCATCCGGATACGTTCCCAGTTTTGGATCTGGTCAACCCCTTCGGGGGAGACGAGGGGGCGGGAATGCGGCGCCCCCCGTCCTGGATAGAGCCTCGTATATCCAGGAGCTCCGACAGCAGATGGAGGAGCAGGATCGGAGGAAAGCGGAGGAAAAGAACGGAAAGGATTGGTGGGAGAAATCGGAGCCAAAATATGAAACTACTCCGCAACAGAAAATAACTGGAAGGGTAAATAAAGTTTGTTATTAAACTATTATTTACTATTATGTCAGTGCTATAATGTTAAGATAGATATATGTACGTGCTGTAAAGTTTAATGTGTATTCTCGGATTAAAGATATAACTTTAAATTAAAATAAGTTGAAATTAACTTTATAAAATTTTTCTTTGTCGACGAGCTTTATTTCTACAAATAACCTCATTGCATAAAGACAGTGCACAAAAATTACTAATTCTCATTTTATAAGACAGTCACGTGTTATAAAGGTTTTGGATTGTATTGCGAAGGGGCTCTCGCCTTTTTAAGATAATGTTTTGTCCCAGGCTTAGACTGTAAAAGAATTAAACCACTTTCTGTCTAAAAACTTTATAGCACTGCGAACCAAAATAATAATGTTATAAATGGTTATTAAAAAATGGCTTTACGACAGTTTTATAATACGATGTATAATGGTTACCCATTAAATCTTTAAAGGAAATTATGAATATTTAGAGAGAAAAAAGAATATTTTTTCATCATTTTGGCTCACATTAAAGGTTCCTCAGATTGAACTGGGTATATTCACGACTCTTTAATGTTAATTTGAAATCACGCCGACGGTCCCTTTAACCTGGTCCCTGTTTAGGCAGCTGTAGTTCAGCGTAGCGGAGATCAAGGAGATGCACGGAAACAATACGAGCAGGCACGGAGTAGTTATTTATGGAACGATTGTACGGAAATTCATCGATCTTTGATTTGACATTCCAGATGGAAACTTTTTTTTCTTTGAAAAATCATTTAAAAGGCCATTTAAATATTTTAATTAAACGATCCAATAGACGACTTTTATTGTTTTAACCGGTTATGTTTTTTTTTGTATAACCTAAAGGTATTAAGTACATTTCCAAAAGCAACTTCAAATTGCACAGTTTCCAAAATACCAATTAAAGCTCTGAAAGAGAAAAGATTTTGAGTGCAAGGTAAATTGGTACTAAGAAAAGAATATCCACATCTTAAGGACGGTCATTCTATTTTAGATAAGAGTAAAGGTTTAACAAAGAAGACAACATAAAAAAGATTTCTTTTAAATTCTAGTACTTCCGTCATGTGATAATACCACCCGCGCAATATATAACTACTCTGCAATCCCAGGAACTCCGTGAGCAGATGGAACACAAGAAGATGTTGGAGGATAAACAGCGAGAGAAGGAACGGGAGGAGGAACAGAGGATAGAGAGAAGAACGCAGGAACAACAGGAGAGAATGAGAAAGGAGTTTGAAGAAGAAATGAAGATTAAGAAATCTAAAGAAGACGCGGTGAGGCTTTGATAATGCCAATATTAAAATTTCAGGGACTGTATCCGTAAGTGATTCTCAATACCAAGATGGCAATGCCCGATTTACAATTTATCTTATCAATAATGTGGAAGATATTGTAGTTTTTCTACGTTTAAAAGTGTTTAATTCTGATAATTCTTTTATGTTTTCCTACAAAAGAAATGTGCAAGTCACTTTAGTAGAGAACTAACAATCGAAAATAATTTCTGTAAATTTAAAACATTCATACTTGATCAAAGGTTTCAAGGGTGTCGTTAAGAATCGGGCATGCTTGGAGTGGCACTGTAATTACGCTTAAAGTTTCTTAAAAGTAAATAAAGTTCATTACTTTTTAAATCAAAGTTTCAAAGTTCATTTATATCTAAAAAATAAGTGAGAATTTTGCAAGGGGTTAAATCAAAATAATTTATAATTGATTAATTTGTTTTCTATTTAATTAGAAGTTGAAGAGACAAGAAGAACTGATGAAACGTCAAGAAGAACTTCAGAAAGAGTTGACCTCCAAGAAAAGATCCGAGTCCGAGCTCCGCTTGACGGAGAAACGGGGTGGAAAATCTCCGAGATACTCCGCTATCACGGAGAGAAGAGGAAACTCTCCACCCATCCCGACCATGAGGGAGAAGAACGGAGTGCCGGAGCAGACTAAGGACGAGGAGAAGGAGGAGGGAGAGGAGGAGGTAGTGGAGAGATTGACCAGCATGAGACGGGTCCTGGAGCAAAGACGAGATCAACTCCTAGAGCAAGAAGCACAAGGCAAGGGCGTATGGGAAGGATTGGAGGAATAAAAACCCGTTTAACAGTTAGTGATAAAATAACGTATTTTTGGTGAAACAAAATCAAAATCAAAAGTGATCAAGGAACTAATTTACCAAAATACATCCGTGGCAAAAGTTAATAGAGGGCCTGGAATAAACTCATCAGGGGCCGAATTTAATGAATTTAGGACCGCTGCGCCGGTTTAACTACGTCTCAAGTGCTTACTAGCTCAAATCCTGAATTACTGACGCACAATTCAAAATTTAGACAAACCCTTATCAGAGTGGATTTAATAGACTAAAAACATAACTCTTCTTATGGCTACTATAATGGTTTATAATTTAAAAACTTAAAATTAAACCCGTGATGCAAGAAGCATGGTTGAACCGTAACTCATGGACTACTTGCAATTCATTAAATCCAATCCCAGAACAATGTTTTATTTTCTTTAAAAGAATAATAAATCATTACAAAGACCATTAGTAAATGATATCTATTAACAAAGGAACTGAAAACTCGCCTCTTACTCTTTTTTGCCAATCCATGTATCTGAACAACCTGATGGTTGATACTTCTGGCAGATATCATAATTAAAATATCAAAAGTCTAAGACATTAGATTGGTAAGAAATAGGAATTATACAATTCGAGTTTAAGGGGAGTAATTAGTTTCTTTTAATGAATGTACACGACGTCACTGTGTAATGTACGAAAATATGCGAAACCTAAAACTTCAAATGTAAACGACTCCTATTGGTCTGCAAGTGACATGTTGAACTCTAAATATACAAAATTTAACAATTTATTAATATTAAATAAATGATATAAAAATACTAGTACTTAACAATGGGCGGATTGGGACGTGTTCACGTAAATATACATTTGTAATCTTTAATAGAATAATATAGAAGCAGTTTTCAACAAAACAAATAAATTAAATCAAATTTTATATTTATAACAAAAATCACATTGGGTTTGATTTTTGATTTTTACCCGGCGATAAAAAAATTGACTATTTTGTATATCTAACTCAAAAAAGCATTTGAAATATAATAACTTAAAAAAATTGCGTTTTGCTTTTAATTCATTATGCTTGGTGTAAGACGGTCTTCGTTTCTCCATATAAGTATATATTACATGCATATCATTTTTAACATTTCATATAAAATATCAACAATTTTACTAAATGTAAACATCATTTCTTGTGAGATAAAAAAGGTAGTAGAACAATATGTACATTGTACGGAATTAACTAATCAAACATACATTTTCTTTTGGCAAATTTCGCTATAATTGAACTATAAGTGTAATTTTGAGTGACCCCTAAGCAAAGATAACAAAACCCGATTTACACTGGTTCCCTTGAAATCTGACAAAAAATATGAGAGATACCGTCGTTTTCCGGATTCGAAAAGTGTTTATTTCTGTGAGTTTCTCCATTGCTTCTTAAATACGCAAGGCAGAGAAACCGCGAATGAAAATAAACAGTTTAAAAAAACTAAAACATGGATATCTAATTCATACTTAATCACACAAAGCTTTCAAGCATACCGTTGAAAACAGATAGGGAATTGTCATCAGGCACTTCAAATTACGCTTACAGTCCCTTTAAACATACATTCTTTCAAGGTATAAGGCTCTTAAATCTAACTAGAAATCAGGGAAATTTGCAAGAAGCAAATACATACAGGGTGAGTCAAAAAAGGGTGTGTAGCGGGATCTTGCATAAAATAGATCATTTTATTTTTTGTAATCTCATTTTTGACAAATATGTTAGAAATTTTAGAATTTTTTATTTTGATAGACCATCTCATAAAAAAATCTGCGAAACTATTTTTTACTCAAAATTAGATGAGTAGAAAAACAAACGCGCGGGAATATATTACTTCTATTACACCTTAAAATCTTTAACAGATCGGAGTCTGAATTTAATGAATTTAAGCCGCGTCTTAAATCGGCAAAAAACCGGTTTCAATTGAGCGCCGACTTCAATCTTGAAACATTGAATACAACTTTAAGTGGAACCAACCATATTTGAGCCGAGTCTCGAATTTTTTTAATTCGGTCTCAGATGAGCGTTTCGGAAAAAATGTGCGAAATTAAATTCAGAAAATCTGCAATTTCATTTTGAAAAAGTCCTCTCGTCCCCATCCTCTAGTGTATTCCACTTAATAAATACTGTCTGTTCTGTTGAAAATTGAGGAGCCATTCCAGGCAGAACTTTGCTTCTAATGATTATTTCAATACTAAAGTTGCGGATTTTCTGAATTTTATTTCGCGCATTTACTCCGTAACTACTCATCTGATCTGTAAGGTGTGATAGAAATAATATATTCCCACACTTTTGTTTTTCTACTCATCTAATTTTGAGCAAAAAATAGTTTCACGGATTTTTTAAATGGTCTAGAGATAAAAAAAATTTCAAATTTCTTTCATATTTGTCCAAATGAGATTACCAAAATAAAATGATTTATTATATGAAAGATTTTGCTATTCACCCTTTTTTTTGACTCACCCTGTATATGAATACGGACGGAACCCCGGGTTAATTTAATTTTTAAAATATTTCCATTCAAAGGGGGTTGATCGCTAAAATTATTCTGAATTGTCTTCAATTATGTATAATTTTTCTGCAAAGAGAATTAAATTATAATAGCCGTCCTAAACAGATAGCGGTTGAAATCCCGGTTTCTCTCTAACGGAATCCTTGAAATCCCTGATTATGAGAAAATCCTTGAAATCCCTATTATAAGAAAATCCTTGAAATCCCTGTTTAAAAGAAAATCCTTGAAATCCCTGTTTATGAGAAAATCCTTGAAATCCCTGTTTATGAGAAAATCCTTGAAATCCCTGTTGATGGGAAAATCCTTGAAATCCCTGTTTATAAGAAAATCCTTGAAATCCCTGTTTATGAGAAAATCCTTGAAATCCCTGTTTATGAGAAAATCATTGAAATCCCTGTTTATGAGAAAATCCTTGAAATCCCTGTTATAAGAAAATCCTTGAAATCCCTGTTCATAAGAAAATCCTTGAAATCCCTGTTTATGAGAAAATCCTTGAAATCCCTGTTATAAGAAAATCCTTAAAATCCCTGTTCAGAGAAACACCTTGAAATCCCTGTTCAGAGAAAATCCTTGAAATCCCTATTCAGCGAAAATCCTTAAAATCCCTGTCTAGAGAAAATCCTTGAAATCCCTGTCTAGAGAAAATCCTTGAAATCCCTGTCTAGAGAAAATCCTCTGAATGTTTAGAGAAAAACCTTGAAATCCATGTTAAGAGAAAATCCTATAATGTTTAGATAACATTATCCCTGATGAGTTCTGTGACAAGTCCAACAATCCTTCTCTTTATCTCCTTACTGGTTGGTTTACTTGTATCCTCTAGCTCTTGAACCTGCTTCCTCTGCATGTTTCGGAGTGCCATCAATCCACCAGCTTCAACCTAGTTTAAACTTAGCTCTCAACATATACTAACTTTTATACACTTTTTTCATGACTATAAAACCCCCTGATTTATTTGATGATTATTTGATTATTGTCAAAAACGGGATATGAACAAAATAAAGCAGGCAAAGTTGTAAAACGGGAATATTGTCAGCGCTTTTTTGTGAGAGTGACTTTTAATCATAGTGGGTCAATGACGATTTAGAACTAATCTAAACCTATTTGGTGGTTTTTCTCTATTTCAGTCTTTATCATGCTCGTCGGTATTTCTGTAAGGGGTCAGCCGCAGCGATAGATAAATATTTAGGTTAAATACTTGTAGGGTACTAGGGTACTCATGTGAATCGTAAGCCCCCCCCCCCTGTTGTTAATAATACCTGGATATCGGAGAGAACGTTTGGAAGAAGAGTAGATGCCAGGACGAATCCTATGGCTTTGTAATTTTGAATATCCATGATGAATTCATCCCAACCATATTTTAGGTCCACAGGCCCATACTTAACTAAAATAAAACCAAATAAAACCAAATAAAACTAAAAAAAATTTCAAAACAAATTCTCTATACCTAGTTTTTACGGTTTATAAGAGTTCCCCCCCCACACACAAAAAAAAAGATTTAGATGGTGAATTTTCACGCGCAAACCTTTTTTATCACTGATAATTTTAATTTTAACCTATTTCACTTCTAAAATATGATTTAGCGAGTCTCCGCAAAAAATAAAATAAAAAATATAAAATAGGGTCATATTAGTTTCCGCCGAAAAAAAAATATATTTACCAAGGTAAGTGTTGAATGTATCCCAGTATTGAGTAAGGCACTTTTTCATCTGTAAGTCTCGAAACTCTAAACAAAATTCAATTAGAAGTATTTTTTTTCATGTCAATTTTTAATCAATAATCATAAAGAAAGGAGGAAAAAAAAATTTCAAATCGACATAATAATTTGTTTTTTGATGTTAGTGATCAATGATCAAATCGATAAGAGGAAAAATATTTAATGACCATTAGTCAGACGACTTTACACTCGTCTTCTTTAAAATACTTGATGACATTCGCTTGTCAATCTGATTTTTCAAATATGATGGATGAAACGATACAAAATAAGTCCCGTCAGTTCCACAAGGTGGTCTGCCCTTTGTGTTTTTTTGTGTTGAGAAAAAAGTGAGATTATAAAAATTTCCTGATCTCTGAATGGTTCATCAAATTTTAGCAAATTTTGAAGAAATGTTCATGGCCTGAATCCGGATCCAAATCCAGTTTTTACAGTGCGGATTAAATGGATCCTAAGCAGTGTTAAATTTAAAGTCATCGGAAAAATGAATAATTTCATCCAAAATTAGAAAATTTTCGTATTATTAAATAAAATGAAATTTAACCAAAATTCTTCCTATCCCTGGTAACTTTGAAAGCACAAAAAACGGAGACAAGATTTTTGTTAAATTGAATCAATTATGAATGTCGTTTACTATTTCAATACAATGTAAGTTTAAATTGCACCCCGCGACCGACTGGATCCGGGTAGCGCCAAAAATTAACCAAAACCATGGAATAAATAAATCAAAATGGTTCGTAAATGCATTATTTACATGACGAAAATTTGGACGCCCTTCTCCTGCTCAAGGCTAACAGCGACTATCTCTTCAAGAAGTGATTGATCGGCCTGTCCAAAGGATTACTCCAAAAAGTCTATATTTTTTTTGTTACATTTCGGAATATATAATAAATATAGTTTATAAATTATAACCTTGCATAACATTTAATAGGGAAAATCCGATTCACAGAATCAAAAGTTACCTCGGATCCGGATCCGTATCAGAGTCAGGATCCGGATCCATCATCACAGATGCGGATCCGCGGATCCGGATCCGCATCAAAATGATACGGATCCGAAACACTGTTGTAAACATTAATAATTCCGGTTCTGTCAAATTAGGACTGAAGGTGAAAATAGGGTGAAAGAAAACTTGTATAAAATTCTACCTAAATCTGAAGATAAAAAGAGCAGGTACAAAATATCGTATCCAGGATGACCGTAGTTCATCAGCTGGAAATCCACTAAAACTGTCTCATCCACTTCATCCTCCTAGAACATTATCAGGATATTATTAAATATTAATTTTATAACATAACAATCTGCAGGAATAATTCAATAATGTTATTAATGTTGTAAATAAAATATAAAGAAAAATTTCTAAAAATAGGGCGGAAACCCGGTTTCTTAGGAAGGGGTTCACAGTTTTGTAGCTACCAATGTTTTTCTTACGAAATATTATCTTATTTGGTCTCTTTATTTTCTATTTTTGTTTTTTAACTTCTAAAATCAAACTCTACACAAATGCTTTGACCCCAAAAATGAAATTCGGGAGTTTTGTTCAACGATACTATCTTAAATTGATTCAGTGATTAGGCTTAATTTTGACGCTGATCCATATCGACTCTGCCATGAAAAAAATGTAGTTCAAATTATCATTATTTCCGACATTGGCATATTTTGACAAACATACCTTGTTGTACTTGAACATAATATTGTTAGACCAGAAGTCCCCGTGGCAGCAAGTATCTACGGGTGTCTCCACCTCACCCATAAACAGGTTCAGCTGTTTCCGAGCAGTTACACGGAAAAATTTTCTCACTCTGAGGCCCAAAAAAATATTTTAGCAAATGACAAAAATTATGATCAAAATTTTCGAACTATCTATGCTCTCTCCATCTATGCTGAATACTTCTGTCAAACAAGAATAACAAAAGTCAATTTCGCATTTCAGAGAGTGTTGATTTATGAAAAGAGGAATAAATAAAAAATGTCCTTCAAGCCTCAAAAGTTCTCTGTTTTTGCTTAAATCGTTTAAACAGATATATTGTCAAGAAAATTATCTATATCAGTTTGTTTTCTGTGTTATAAAAGACAGCTTTGATCAAATATCTTCACGAAACATTTGATAAAACTATAAATGGCCCAATCAAACGGGTTTTAACCACTTAAAAGTCAAGACTTCATTTTTGTCGTGGACCTTTGCAGTGGTTAATTTCAAGTTAATTTCTAGTTTGATTAAAATTATATTTTTTCTTTCCTCTCTGAGAACTCAGTTTTCCCCTCCAGATCGAGGACTTTTAGGACGGTTTTCTCCGTCCCGTTCAACAACTGCTTGTACACAAACTTAGGGATCCGCTTCTGTGTGTTCAGACTCTGCTTGAGACATTCTGGAGACCACGCCCCTTCTGGCAACTTCCCCGCCTCCCCCAACCAACGGAAGGCCAGCCAACGGCCGTGGAAGTGCGCCAGGTTGGTCATGGCTAGGAGGAAATGGTCAAGGGGTAGGATGGTCATCTTATCAAACATCTTGAACCCGCGCATTTTCACGTTTTCCATTACTATGATACCCTCCTCAGCGCTCCTGTGCAATTCACAATAATTAAAGATAAAATTATTTCACTTTAAAAAATCATAATAGTCTGCATTTGGGTAAATGAGTGTGCCTAGATTAGATATTTTGAAATCTGAATCTGTCATATCCTTCTCAACAAACTCAATCTGCTTCAACATCTCCTAAATAAAAATCTGTTAAATAAATATTTTTATAGTTGATTTTCGAAGTGGTGCTGCAGTGTAAGCGATGTTGTGAAATTGTTAATTTGCTTGACAAATGACATTAAAGCAGCAAGGCTCACTAAACAGGAAGTAGAGTTAGTTGAAAAACCACCCCCCCTCCACCAAAATCACATATAAAATATATAAAATATATACTCCTTTAAATACAAATGTTGCTACTTCAGTTATATTTTCTTAAAAAACCATTTCTCCCCTCCCCCTTAATAATTACGTTTTCTTCAGCATATAAAGATTTTTTTGCTGAATTTGAAAAAATAAATAACTTATAGGGAAAAATAAAGGACCTTTTGCGTAAGTATAAACATTTAAAGAAGGGGGGGGGGGGTGGCCAGTACAATTTATCATCCCCCCCTCCGAAAAAAATGGTAGACAGGGGGTTCTTCAAAATATGAACTTACCAAATACCACGTGACCTCGTTGAGAAAGGGTTTACTCATCTTGTGACTGAGTCGGACGAAGGATGCTTTGGGCGGAGATTTAACAACAAAATTGAAGGCTTTAGTTTCTCTTCCCTGCACACCCTCATCAGTAGTCTCTACTTTACTGTTAAACTCAACTGTAACCTAGATATAAATTCAATTATTATTAATCATTTTCATCATGAAGTGTTTGTAAACGTAGTTTCAAGTGAACCTCCCTGCATAGATGGCCATGCCTGATTTACAAGCATATGGCCATGCCTGATTTACAAGCATAAGCTTTGTCTGAGAAAGTATGAATTAGAACCCTTTTCGAGTCTGGAGAACAGAGGGTTTTTACCTCTCTGGGTCTAGACTTCCTAATGTGGAGAAGCATCAAGTACTAGTACAATTTACAAGTAATGCCCAAGATGTTCTTACACATCAGTTTCAAGTTTCCAACTGTTGATAATCTACTAGCCAAAACTCCTTTTATCACATTTGTCATTTGTTATAAGTGGAAATTCTGACACGGGGTCCTTTAAATTTTCAAAATTTCACGTTTGTTGTAGTGTTCTTTTTTCTTTCCTCACCCTTCAACAGAGTTAGGAAACATTAATCGTGTATAGATCTATATTTAGTAAAGTCATCAACATTCCTCAATCTCCAAACCTGAGATAGCATATTCCAGAAAACTTGCAAGGATTATTATTTTTGTTCATGGGTTCAGTGTCAGCAGCTGAGATATTGAATTTAGAAACAATATAATGATCTTAACTTCCTTGCAACAAACAAAAAATATCAGACAGAATTAAAAAAGAAGCAGAGATTAGCAGAATTCTGAACCAATGAAAAGATAAGAAGAATGAACGGACTATTTCTAATATTAATTATTTTGAAAATATCAAATATAAATGTGGGGGTGTTGTTTCCCACTAGGGGTTTTCGGGGTCCTAGGACCCCCCTCCTCCCCCCCCCTGGGGAACCAAGAATCTCTAAGTGGAAAAATTTGGAATACTGTAATAATATTAAAATGACATTGAGTTTGTAATTATCTTTTATAAAAACCCTTTTAAAATAAAAAAAATTGTTAAAAAAGATATATGAGAAAAATCAATCAAATCTTGGAAACAGATTATAAACCTCCTCCTAGTTCTTAATAGTGAGTTGTAAAAGGGGGGGGGCCACAAAACGTATTACTCTCCGGAAAATTTAAACAGTGTTTAAACATAACTTAGAATTGTCGTAGGAGGCTGATTTTTTGCATGCAAACTCAGAATTATGTATATTACGTGCATTTTTTGGTTTTGAAGGAATCTGAGCAAAAGTGCGTATGTTTAAACACTGTTTAAATTTTCCGGAGAGTAATACGTTTTGTGGCCCCCCCCCCTTAAATCTTTTACTGAAATAAACAACATTAATTCATAAAAATAATAGGCGAGAGCAAAAAAAGCATTCAAGAAAAAAGAAGGAACGAATAAAAGAATAAACGATCGCAAAAACGAACAAAAGAAACGAATGGTCAAATAAAAAAAATAAACAAAGTGATGAACTACAAAAAATACGAACAAATAAAAACCAACGAGGAACGAACAATCAAATAAACGAACGAATAAAGAAAATAAAATAAAAAAACGAACAATGAACATATGGAAGTGAATCAAATGCATCATTGGTCGCTAACAAATGAAATAAATGTTCAAAACCGAAACAAACGAATAAACTAAGATGTAATAAAAAATGGATGCTAATAACCTCAAGACTGCAAATACTTGAATTAAATGCATCATTAGTTCCAGACATATCCGTCAGCTCGCCTAGTTTAGTAACAGTCAAACTATCATCCCTGATCACAAGCAACATTATCAGTTAAATATTAAAAATATAAGAGTGATAGTTATATCTTTATATCTATCCTTCAACAGATGCTGTGATTGTTTATATATGTTAGACTTTGAGTGGGATGCAAGTAAAATGTTATAATTGATCTTTGTACCAAATAACAAACTCTAAAGAATCTAAAATAGAAAAACTTCAAGATCCGGTGTCCTGCATAGAGCGGACTCTTGCATGATGCGGACTTGACGCCTAAAGTTTTCACCATTTTAACACAATGTTAGACATAAAAAGCAATGTTAAAACAATAAAATATGTAGTTGACATATATTAAATACGCATTTAGTTCTTTAATGTATTTTAAAGGGGGTGGAGGCAAACAAGTCATTTCCTCATGAATGTCGTCTTCCTATCAAACCATCAAACAATTAATATGTACTGGAGACTTAAATGATTTTTAATATGTTTTTCATATCAAAATACATTAATAAATATCGGAAAAGTGCCCACATCGATATCAAGCGTTCAAGATTGACAAATTCAAAGCGCAAAAAAGTTATAGCTTTAGATTTTTGCAAAGATGTTGTGCTTTCCTGAGACTTCCTCTCAAAATGTCCCGGATATTATCTTCCGTTAGATCGTGTAGACACTTAATATCCTGAAACATAAATTTTTTTTAAGATTTGAATTCAATAATTAATTTATTTTTTATCCCATTCATGCCCACCTTAAACAAAAAATTCAAAAAATCTATTTTGGGGATTTTAAAGCAAAACAACACCCGATATTGCAAAGTTTTCGAGAACATTTTTTATTCCCGAAGCAAGAAAAATTATTAAATTTGAAAATAACAAAAAATCTAATAATATGGCCGTCAAACATTAATTAGCTTTAAGATTTGATTACCTGCAACCCCTTCAGAGGTTGGTAGACTGTAGACTCTCCGAGCTGTAAACACTCCCCCATCTTAATTTTATGTTTTCTACAGATCTCTCAAATTCTTCACTTCAACAATGTTATTTTTTTTTCTCACCAAAAATTCATCTGAAAAGAGAAAAAATTGAAACCTAATAAACAGAACTCTTTAATTTCAGACATTAAAAATATTCAAAACTCTGTGCTACCAAAACAATATTGATATATATTTATTATTGACTAATTTTGTATTTTCTTTAAAAACTCACCTTCAGCAGATGAATATCACAGTTAAAACCCAGGCACATGATTTCTGAAATAGATATAATAACCTTCCGGCTTTGGGCACAAGCGTACAACATAGGAGCTTGCGTAAATGCGTACAACCGGATATAGATAAACAATGCGTAGAAGACAGGGAAGCATAAATTAATAATGAATCGAATATCACATTTTAAAGTTTGGTGCCACATTTATAACGTCATATTATTACTTAAATTATCGTTCCCAATATTGTTCAAAAAATAGTTTTAAACTAAATAAAGTGTCGGAAAATAGATATGAACTGATAATGTTAGTGCTTTCAGGTCTTGAAATTTTATCCAATCAAATTAAGTTAGTATAAATTATAATCTAACAAACATTATACTATCTTTTAAATTTTATTCACTTTTGGGATAATGATCTAAACATAGCCCCCGTAAAAATCAAAAAGTATTCACAAAATAAAAGAAGACGGTTCAAAATGCAGCTCAAAAAAGTTATTCAAAAGTACAGATCTTTAAAATACATATTTTGAAATTCGGGAACTAACCTTTCTAAAATCCGCGAATTTAATTTTATAGATTTTTGAAAAAGTGCAAAAGGAAACTTTATCAAGTAATTTTTATTCAAATTTGTTCAACAAAAATTATTTTTTTTTTGGATGAAAACACAAGCATTACGCTTCATAGTTGAAATATTTACACTTAAAAAATTGATGATAATTTTCCATGTTTGGGGGGGGGGGTGAAGTTTTTTGAAAAATATAAATCCCTCAGCTTATCTGAGCGGAGATTGAATTGATCCCAGACTTGAAGGTCCTGATAATGAGGACAGACTACTGTGTCCTAGACTACTATGTCCTAGGTGTCCTGAAGTAAGGCTGCCAAGGTGTCCTGAAGCTAGGCTCCCCAAGTGTCCAGATGTTAAGCTGCTAAGATGTCCTGTATGGGGTTAAACAACACTCAAATTTTAAACTCTTAAAAAATACAAAAATAAAGTCAGCTGTCACAAAAATAAAAGGGAATTTAAAACAAAATCAAAATTAAAAAGTTAATTAATTTCTGTTTTAACTTCGACCCGATCTTGAACGAGAATTTAAAGAAACCACCAGAAACAGACCTAAAATCCATGCCGTCCAAAACGTTAAAAAAGTAGAGGGGGTGGGAGAGGTGGGGAACTATATTTTTACTATTTGTTAGTTTTAACACAAGTGTTGAAAATGGATTATTTCAAAGATAAGATTACTAACAATTGTTAGGGTTTAAAATTGCAAAAGCTTTAAATCAAAACAACAAACTAAAAAAAAGAAAAGAAAATAATAAAAGAAACCAGTATCTAGAGGATGGATGAAGGACGAGTATCTAGAGGATGGATGAAGGATGAGTATCTAGAGGATGGATGAAGGAAGATTATCTAGAGGATGGTTGAAGGAAGAGTATCTAGAGAATGGAATAAGGATGAGTATCTAGAGGATGGATGAAGGATGAGTATCTAGAGAATGGATGAAGGATGAGTTGGGGGTCGATGGGAAAAAAATTAAATTTTTTTGGGAAAATATATTCTCCCCTGCAAATTGTTTACCTGTAAAGTATTGACGAACTTATTGTATTCGTCTTGCTGCGGAACAGCTAGTTGTTCTCCAATATCATAAACCCAAATCTTACCCAGATCATCACCTAAATATCAGGAAACAGGATACAGGATACTTGTGACTGAAGATTCAGTAGTAAGGAAACAGAATAAGGATAGAGGATTTAAGATTCAGGATCCTGGAGACTGAAGATTCAAGATCAAGAGCTAAGAGCCATAAGTAAAGAGTCAAAAGTCAGGAGTCAAGATTCAATTCAAGAATTAAGACCAAAAAAACCAATCATCAAGAATACAAGATCAGGATTGAAGCTTAAAGACTCAGGATTAAAAATTAATATGGGTTGCACGAAGCTCCTTATTGGAATGTAAAGGAGGTGCTTGCCGTTTTAAAGCGGTGAATCAAGTTTTAAAACAATCTGTCCAAAACACAAAAGCCCATGGATATGATGTTTTTTAATGTTATAAATATCCTACCTGCAGCCACATGAAGCCCGGACTGTGTCCAAGTAATCCTATTCAAAGCTGCTCCGTTCTCAATAGTAGCTGAAGCAGAAGCCACCTCTGTATCCTTGTTCAGGTTCCAAAGATCCAACCTACCCGTACCGTCCACCGTAGCAAAGAGAGCAGGATGGATCGGAGACCACGCAACATCATAAACATAATCTCCGTTATCTTCGAAGGAGTAGAGAGGTTTATTCTCCTTCAAGGACCAGAGCTTTACCGTCCAGTCAATAGATGAGGAGAGGAATAGATGAGAGAAGTCCAGGTTACCCTGACCATTATGCGTATCTATCCCTGTTACCGGAGCTTGATGTCCCTCGAATAGATCTAGGACTCCGGCTCTAGAACCGTGACGGCAGGCTGTATAGATTGTTCCTTCCTCAGACCCGACCAAGAAGTTGTTGACGTCGTTCTGCGGGAAGGTGAGACATGTTGTTGCAACAGCTTTAGATTGTTTATGCTGAAGTTCAAGGGTTTCCTGCGGCTGTGCGAGCATATCAAGGCTCCAACTGCACATTTTACCGTCGGTACTGATGGATATGAGATTATGCGCGTTCTGCGTTCCTACCACTTTCGCGCAGTAGACGGGGTGTGTGTGTGCGCTAGCAGAGAGTGGAGAGCGCTGAACCGGAGTTCTCTTGTTGTTTCTATTATCCCAGAGTACAATTTGACCGCTGTATGTTCCACCAAGGATAAGATTGGGATGAAACCGGGCAAAGACTGCGGTCATGACCGGGGACTGACAATGGAAAATGGTTTCCGGGGTTTCCTTCTTATATCTCGTGTTCCAGATCAGACAAACTCCGTCTGGTTCGTGGGGAGCCTCAGGGTTGTTGTTATAGCTGGCGCATAGTAGCTCCGGGAACTGAGTAGACCAGTCCATGGATGTAATAACACGGTTTTTGGACCAACGGTCGTCGTAGAAGAATCTGTTCAAGGAAAGCTTGCCTCCGGATTTGTCCTCCAACGCTTCTCCGTCCTCATAACCTCCGGTATAATCCACGTAAACATTGATATCTTCAGCCAGAGCTCGTTCAACAATCTTTGTTGCCCGATCGAAAAACTTCTGGAACGGCTGAGACATCATGATTACACTTTTCTCCTCCTCGCTCAGCTCTTTCTTCTTCCTCTCTTCCTCTTTCTTCTTCTTTTCTTCTTCCTCTTTGGTTGTTGCGGGTTTTACGTCCTTGACCTCTGGCATACCGTGTGGTAGGATACCTGGAGGCAGTTTACTCAAGTACCCGGAGGGTGAACCACTACTTGGAGATCCTGAACCCAACCCGGGGAGAGAATCCTCTTCATAACCATCATCCATATCATCATAGGTCAGGGTGTAGTAATCAAACCCACCCAGTCTCCCACCTCGGGCAGGGACAGGGTCAGTTCCCGATTCTTCGGTTTGTGTGTTCTTAGTGTAGGATACATTCTCCTTAGGAGGAATATTAGTCGTCTGAACTGCCACTAGACTCAACTGAGGCTTCTTCCGTCTGATAAAAAAAATGCAAGTATAGAAAACCATGGGGATATGCTCAGAGATCATATGTCTTCTTTAACGTAGATCTAGTGATGAGCCTTCAGTATGTTCGTTTTTAGGTCGTTTTTGCCTTTTTTGGTCGGAGTCAAAACGCATGATGTATGAGAAGCAAATGCATTCTGATTTTATTGCTGTTCTCACAGTATGTAAAATTTGGACACTGAAAACTAAGGAAAATTTATGCAAAAAATGTCCCCAAAACGATCCAAAACCAAACATTTTTCCATTTAAAAAAAGATTAAGATAATTCTTAGTTTATTACAAGCAAACTTTAGCTTGTCCGTCTGTTTGTTTGTTTGAATCCGAAAACGTCAAAACAGAGGAGTGGCACGAATCGCCTAGAATACCTGGTAAAAACAAAGCTACCTTAGCCTAGGACTGAATCCTAAATCCGGTTTAAGACTAGTATCCGGAGTAGAGGTTAGAGATACATCAGAGAGGGACGGAGGAAGGGAGGCAATATTCTCTACTACAGCAGCTACTGGAGTAATCCCTAAACTCTCCAAGTTCCTATCTATCTCCTGGCGTTCATCTCGTCGCAAACCAGATATAGCAGTCTGAAATACAAATCATTTAATAGTAAATTGTACATTAGCAGTTTAAAGAAAGTGGGGGGGGGGGGGGTATTTGTAATGCCTTAAAAGAAAAGTGTTCAGAGAGCTGAAAACTTTAGAATGGAATATCCTTAATCCCGATCTGTTAATAAATCTGAAGATTAAAAACAAGAGAAGAACAAGCAATTGATCTCGATATCCACCATTCTAAAGTTGTCCGCCCAGGTTAAATTATTATTATCCACGCAAGTAAAATCAAAAATCCAAATGTTTTAAACAAAATTTGATATTGAAATGTTTAGAGATCGAACTTTCTGTGTGGATATATTGTTAACTTTGAATTCATATATCGATATCAAATCTGGGCACTTTCAAATTTGAGGATCAATGCTTAATCCCTGAATCAAAGTTAACCCTGCAGGGTATGCACATCACAGGATATAGACGAGGGATTTGGTGAATCCGTACTTCTTAATAAGATGATGAGCAATACTTGATCCCGAGATAAACAGTATAAAAGTGTAATAATTTTTTAACAATTTATTCTAATTTAAAAAATATTCTTGATAAAATTTTAAAAGAGCATTGAATCTTTTCTCCGATCGTTGTATCTTTTTTTTATCTGATCATACATCTGTTTTATGTTCTTCTTTTTTAAAATCCACGCATTCCAATCTTTAGTAGACGAGGGAAAAATGCATTTTGACACATATTTCTGATTCATACTATTATTTAATTTGATATCTTGGTGCTAGAAATATCAAATTAAGTATAATAGAAAGTTTGTGAGGAATTTGCAGTTTTCAATATTGTTTTCTAATCTATGGAATGTCTGACTCAGCAACTGTTGAAAGGTTCCTTCAAACTCAATTTCCTCAATATTCTTCCAGGTTGAAAAAAAGTCATTGCACCAAGCGGGGTTTGAAAATTCTGAGGATATTCATTGTGTCAGAATTTCGCCTTAATAATGACGAATGGGATAAGAAATGTTAGGAAAGGAGAGGATATTTTCGACAAAAAAAAACTTGATTCTTGTTAGTTCATCTCGGACACAGCAATCTTTTCCTTGCATCCGGCAGAGTATGAACCGGTATCATAGGACATGGTGCACAGCCTATCTGCACTATTATTTTCTTTTTTTTCCAAGTAGGGTGTACTGCCATGTTATTTCACACAGGGTTCTGTTCAGCCACATGAAACTGTAGAGAGTTGTATAAGAACCGGACTGTTCTGAGCTCCCTTGATGTTTACAATAGAACCAAATTCAATCGAAAGAATTAACGTCTTTCCGACGAGTTTGGATACTTAATAACAGCTATCAGGCTTGTTATTAAGGAGTATATTTAAAGCTGCCAATAGCAAAATCTGGATCCAGCTAGGTAAAAAACTTCCTTTCTCCAGGTTAGTACAGCGTTAAAAAATTAATGCAGGCCTTCAATGTTTCTCGTAGTTCCGTTTATTTTTATCCTCCATTTGTATGCAGGGGTGTATACCCCCCTGGCAAACGTTTTTCTAGTTTGCCATTTTCTCTCTCTCACCCTGTATCTCTAAGTACTCTAAGTACTCTAAGAAATGCCGAGCCAGAGCCAGTTGTTGCTCCTCTGAAAGCTAGATGTATACTGTAAAAAATGAATATTCCCCCAAAAAACAAGAGGGGTTTGTCCGAGATTCACCGCTACCTCACAGTGGTTCTAGAAGCCGATTTCGGGGACATCATACATGTCAGACTATAACTTTTTTGCAATTTGCAAAAATTAAATATCATAATTTTTTTGGGTAATATTTTTTTATTATTCAAATCCTACTTTTCTCGCAATTTCGTAATTTTCTATCGGACAAAACTTTTATGTTTTTTTCTTAGATTTAAAATCTGAAAATTTGCAAAAATAAAATTTGTATCATAAATTTAATTTTTTTTTCTAAATAATCATTTTATAGGGAATATTTTTTCCATCAAAATCCTAATTTTTATCGCAATTTCGTAAAAATTATGATGTTTTCCGCTAATATCACAAACTTGTGGCATATACCATTTTAAAGGAAACGTTTTCTAGTTTTAGAATCATATATGGTTTAGTATTGCCCTCGTAGCCGTTTCTGAGATAATTTAATTTATCGTAAAAAATGAGGAAATATTTTTGCAAAAATACATAAATATTATTCAATTTCTAATCTTCTGAAGAGCCCAACTTCTTCAAAATTAATTTTTTTACCTAATTTTATTTTTATTTAAATAGAGCGTGATCTATACTTAACAAATATGTTGATTTTGTTAAGAACGCTTTATAAATATTGACTACTTTGTCTGACAAGCTGTCTTTGTCTGTTTTCCCCCCTGAATCGGCTTGGTAATATCTTGGTAATAAAGATGTCATAGAAAAAAATTCAGCAAAATTCAGGACAAATTATTTCTTCAATTTGTCCGGCTGCGGAACCACTGTGCCCCCTCCTCCTACCATACCATAGAGAAGTCATTGGCTTTGTTCTTCAACTATCAGAAAATGCACATAACACAGTATATTCTTTAGACTTAAACTTTAGAAATAGGATAAGTTTAGTTATTAATTTCGGAATATTGGGGAATTGTAAGTATTATCAAATTTGAAAACAATCTCGTAAAATTTAGAACCTGAGTAGCGGATTGCGCGTCCAAAGTTTCTCTTTCCTTCCTTCTTGCTTCCTTCTCAGCTCTGATCTGCGCCAACTTGGCTTTCTTCCGCTCCAACTCAGCTTTCCGGTCAGACATCTTCGTCAGGTGGGGCTGCACTACCTGATATAGAAAAGGGAGTGGTCATGAAGGGGGTGCTAAGAGATTATTATTCGTTTGCTTTCTTTATTTTCTTAAAACTTAAATAATGCTAGTTGGTCACAGTTTTCGGCCACAAAGCCTGTCATTGCCAAGCCGCTCGACCTTGACCTATTGCAGCAGCGCTCGGCCCAAAACATATCTAAAACCAGCATTACCAAGAATTATAACAGTTTTCTTTCTTTTTGTACTCAACCTGTGTTCTAAGTAACAAGTATTGTCTAAACTAAATAAAAGTGTGTATAAAAAAAGGGGGAGGGGGTAAGAATCGTATTTTCGAAAAGATGGAAAAGTACAAAAAAGTTAAAAGATGGGTGTAAAGAATTACATGATATATAGCATTCAACATCCAGGAAACATTTTAACCGACTATATGTGCTGATGGCGAAGATGTCAGACTCGGGTAAATAATTCTGGACTAAATGTTTGCTGGTGAGTCTTGTTATAACGGAAAAAAATAATTAGACATATATTTAAATGGAAAGTAGGCTTATTGGGGTCAGTCCTAAGGAACGATTTTAGGAACCTCCCCCCTCCATTCCCTCCAATCAATTTTGTACATGACCTAGATTTCCACTATTTTCAACAAATAAAAATATGTATTTTGTATTAACCTAACTCTAAATATATGCTAAGGTAATTTCCTAGGGAGCGATTTTTGGATCCCCCCCCTTTCCTATCAATTTTGTACATGGATATTAAATGAAAGAGGATCTTAAATGTAAGACATGTGGCCGCAGCGCTCGGCTCCCTAGTCTGTCCTAGCCGCAGCGCTCGGCCCAGAAAGTGTCGTTAACTTAAACTAGCGCTCGGCCCAGAAACTGTCATAACCTAACCCTAGATTAATAAAAAATAAATAATTTTGCTGAAAAATAAGTGGACATGTACAAAATTGATAGGAGGGGGGAGGGGGTCCGTCCTAGAGAACGATTTTTGGACCCCTCCCCTCCAATCAATAGGTCTGTCCTAGTGAACGATTTTTGGACCCCCCCCCAGCCCCCCCTGCTATCAATTTTGTACATGACCAAATTAGTATTTATTTAGCATTATTTAGGGTTAGGTTAGGTTAAGGCACTTTCTGGGCCGAGCGCTGCGGCCACGGGTTAGGTAAGTTGAGATTAGGAATACCCAATCAATTTTGTACATGAGCACTTATTTTTCATTTTTCAGCAACAATATTATAATTCATTTTTCTATTATTTTAGGTTAGATTAGGTTAAGAATATTTCTGGGCTAGGGGGCCGAGTGCTGTGGCTAGGACAGGCTAAGGGGTATTGCGCTCCGGCCACATAATCTGGGCTAATCGAGGTTTTATCTGAAATTATCTAAATCAGGGTTACACACGTTATTCATTTAATGTTTAATCAATACATAATTAGAGTAATATAATTATTATTAACTATAAAAATAAAAATTAGCTGAGAAATTTGTAATAGTGACGTCACACATCACCGAATTGAAGAAAGTTGAGAATTGCCGCAAACAATGGTTTACAAGAGGCAACTCCCTTCAATCAATGAATCAGCACTTACTTCCTCAGAGCCCGTTCTCTCCATAATAATGTTTAAACAGTGGTCGTGTTGTTCACGTACTTTGGGGGACGATAGTTTGGCCGCTAGATGTTTCTCGTAAGAACTATCTATCTATCAGATAAGAATTTTGCGTGAGACACCTAGCGGCCAAACTATCGTCCCCCAAAGTACGTGAACAACACGGCCACTGTTTAAACATTATTATGGAGAGAACGGGCTCAGGATGGTGTATTTTTTGACCTACGCAAATCCGCTATACTCTACTTCTGACCTACGCCAAATCCGCTATACTACACATCCGACCTATTAGTACGTGGGTTTACAGCTGCTACATGGACTTGTGGCCGCAGCGCCCGACCCTCATAGCCTGCAGTCCTAGCCGCAGCGCCCTGTGGCCTGTCCTAGCCGCGGCGCTCGGCCCCATAACCATTCCTTAGCCGCAGCACTCGCGTCCCATAAATAGTCTTAACCTAACATATCCCTCAAATGATACAAAAATAACCAGCTGGCGTAGTTTGGAAAGTTAGTAGGTCAAAAATTCAGTAGGGGGATGTTGCGTTTATAGACCAATGGACATAACATGCAACTCAGATAAACGCAAATTGTGTTCTGTACACGTGGATGAATGTAAACAAACCCAGCTTGCCCCCACTGAAGTTGAAGGGTTAAAAAACTTAGGAGCTTTATGTGATGTTGCATTTCAAGTTTACATATGATTTTTGCTTTCTGGTCAATATGGAAAATACAATAGCAATGTATTTTTATTCCATCCCTTAGGCCCTTTTCCCTCAAAAATGATGCATTGCCCCTGAATTCTTTGTTTTGATCTCCTCCCACTGCAGCACACAGATTTGACGCATAATTGATAATGCTGTTCCTGGTCTTTATATTTCTTGGTATAAACGATGTATACCCCACTGAGCTAAGAGTTTAGTCAAAGGAGTGCAAGTACGCTGCTGCATTAAAACAATCGATTTTTTGGTAAAATTTATCTGTTACTTTGTTAAAGTTGATTGAGTAAAATTGGTTGCGCGAAGCGGCAAAATTTTTTTTTATACATTTTCCTCTAATGGTAAACATGCAGACATGGAGAATGGAGATCAAATTTCTGAATTGGGATGTTGGTGTCCCCAAGATTCTAGGGGGGGATGGGTTAAGAACCCCAATAACCCCCCTTAATATTCGCCACTGCTGAAGATTAATTCTTCTAGCATTTTTATGGAGACCCTATGGGTGGGTATGTGCGTAGGTGCAGGGCGAGGGTAGGCACACGATGCTATATCGTTTGCAACTATAATGTCCAATTGAACTCATTGAACTAACGTACTTTGGCACTAAAGTCAGCTGATCAGTAACACTTGTGGCAGCAGCGCTCGGCCCACTGTCTTAACCTAACCCTACCCTCAAATAAAACGTTAGTTCGAATGAGCGTTAGTGTGAATGTACGTTAGTCCGATCAATCATTAGTGCAAATGATACGACACCAGGCACGCCACACAATTTTTGTTCGTCCGCTTCATGAATAACGACACAGTTCCTCATTATTTCCTCCGTCCACTCCTTATCGTCCGAGCGTTGCTTCTGTGTTTTCAGAAAAATTCAGGGAGTTGCAATTATCATAGTATTTGAATGATATGTTTTTAATCTACGCAAAATTGACTTATTGTGTTTCCAAAAGTTTGTGTAGATTACCTTTAATTTATTTACCTATAAAAGATTTTATTCTTCCCTTTTCGTATATTTAAATACGCGTTATCCTAAAAATCCTATATTAAACATACAGTTGATAAAAAACATAAAGCGTCATCTGTAAATTTTATTGAACAAAAAAATATAAAAAATTAGATAAATTGTTGGGTGTCTCGACAAATAATATCTTTAATGATACCGTCCCCCAGTATTCTCCAGTCCTCTACCACTGCACCCCAGTTCACTTCAATCTCAGATCCCCTGAAATATTTTTGAAGTAAAAAATACTTGCAATTCAAGGATTTATGAGATTTGTGAAAAAAAGACCACTGTTTTAATCAAGTGTAGCTTCAACATTTCTAAAAAATACCTAACATCCTTTATAAAATAAATCCAAAAAAAATATGAATCTAATATTTTAACATATATAAATAATTAAACTATAATAACTCAATAACATAAGATTATGTCAGTAGCAACTGTTTAAGAAAAAGTTTTAAAAAATAAATTGCTAAAAATTTATTCAAACCTGGTCATATGTCCGGCTAGCTCTCCCAGTTTCACTCGGTTCTTCGTTTTCTAAAACATAACAAATTAAATTAATAAGTTCTAAATTTTTTAGCAAAATATCCGGGTTTCCTTTCATTTCCCTCTGTACTACATAAATTGTTTCATTCTTTTAAAATGCTGTTTGGCAATTGTTTTAACCATTTAAAAAAGTCACACCATATTATCCATTAAAAATCCTTTAAATGTTTTTCTTAAAAAAATAAATGTTCACGGCATAAAATCTTAAATATCTTTTATTTTAGCGCAAATAGTAATAATAAAAAAGTACTGAATTACATAAATACAATAATTAAAAGTTTAAAGATATTATGAGGAATGAGGAATGGAAGCATGATGAACTAATTCTAGTTCTCATCATGAAAGATGTACCAGGAACCCACATATATCTTAATTTACATTTTTCCCAGGAACTACTGCAGTACACTGTTTATGTAAACAACAATATGTGGGTTCTTGAGACCAAATTCTGATGAATTAGTTGAACCATGTCGCCGATGAACCAATTCTCTTTCAACTAAAATATGCTTAAAAGAAAGGGTTTAACTATGTCTCGTAGTGGACAACTATTTCTAAATCATGTCCAAGTCGAATCTTCCTTGACCCTAATCTGTATTTTTTTAACTAGTATCTCTGTCTGTCTGTTTGTTTGTTTGAGTGTATTGACTCAATACTGGGGACATGACTTAGTTAGTAAGCCATTGGGTAATGTAAAGGCAAAGCTGGGTTCCCAAGCTAGTAATAAAAATAATATGTTTAGAGCTACCTGTTTTAGTTTTACCGCTATAACCATCCCTCCGTACTTATCGTAGTAGAACCTGGCGAGCTGACCGTAACATGTGTTCAGCTCCCCCAGCAGGTGCTGGACCGGGTTAAACTCAATAACAGGAATAACGGAGCTCTTCTCATTTTCACTCTTACTAGAATCTAAACAGTGGTTCATGTAACGTTTAAATTCCGAAAATTGTTCATCTAAAATTTGAATTATTTCGTATGTTTTAACCACCTTCTCGCCATAATCTGGATATTGCTAGAGATCTATTTGGAACCTGGAGAGGTTTCAGGTGGATAAGGAATTCGTAGGAATCCAAGGATGGAGTAAATATTTGTTCCACGGTTTTTAATTCTTCTTGATCCGCCTGAATAAAATTGTAGACTAAATTTAAAGTTTTGGATAAATTAATCGGAAAAAAGCATGTTTTTTTTTATGGCAGGATTTTTTTGTCAACATGCATAAATGAACATGCTTTCATTACAATAATAATAAAAATCATTGAATCGTTATTTGAGGGTTTAATGTAATATTTTAAAAGATTTAATTTCACCTTATCCTCGGGAATCTGTAGACTAGCTGCTGCCAGGGTGACCAGCCTCTGGAGCTCGGTCCAGGACGGACCGGGAGAAGTCCAATAGCTCGGGGTCGGATCATGCGGAGATATGACCGAAAGCGGAGGAAGACGCGACCGGGGTTCAGAACTTTCCATGTCCGGAGAAACTATCAAGGGAGATTCATTCCAATCATGGGATGAAACTAGCTGTAACCACCGGTAGAACGCTGCTACTGGAGACACCGGAGCCGAGTCGAACTCTGCAGGGTTTAGAAATATCCGCGCCATAATTACCTCCACGGCTGTATCAGATATAGTATCTCCAAGTAGATGAGCGGAGACCCATCGTTTCGTTAATCTGACACCGCCTGACCAGGCCGGATTAGTTTTAGCAACACCTCCCAACCATGAGGAAAATTGGGAAAGATGTCCAATATCTCCTCTTCCTTTGTCTCCGACACTAAACCTTAACACAACCTCTTGTGTTGCTGTGACGACAACAAGGCGTTCTCCTAGGACAGTGAACTTAATTCCCTCGACCTGCTTTTTCAGTGCTTTAGCCACCTCAAGGAGCCAGGCAACACGGAGCCGTCTCACCGCATCCTTGTCTTTCGGCCATTTACCACTATGCTCAGCTTGTAACATAACATCTGTACATTGAATATACTTAGGCGCGATTCCTAACTTTTCACAGAGCATAGCAACTCCATTTTTCTCCTTGACAGTTTTTCCTCCGATCCTCCATCCGGAGTTCCTGGCTCCGACCCGGGAGAGTCGGGTTTCTTCTCCGTATCCGGATACTCCGGATACAGCTAGAGGTAGTCCTTCCAATCCGTAAAGGATAGGTGTGATTACATCAAGTTCTTTCCGTCCTGCTTCTCCTCCGTCCCCGACTAGAAGCTTAGGATGCCAGGATCCTCTCTCCTCCACATCTACTCCAGGATGGTGTCTAGATACAATTGCTCGGATTAGATCCTTGATCACTTCCTCTCTCTGGGTTCCCCAAACCACAACTTCTTTCACAACTCCGTCCTGGAACCGTCTCAATTCGCTTCTTTCTCCCCAGAACTTTCTGAACCTGGCCGCTTCGGGGTCACCTAGATTAAATAAGTCTAAAAGATTGAGCAAAAATTGTTAAACATTTTAGTGATTCTTAGAAGAAAACAGTTTTTATATGATTATTTATTTAATTTTGTGAGACACAAGTTAGTTGATCAATGCCCGATTTCGAACAGTATCCTTAAAAACCATATCGATGTTTATAATTTTATAAATTGTATATTTTTAATTGAAGTTTCTCTGCAAAATATGATTTGCGCATTCATTCTTCTGTGAATCAGGTGTTCCATCGTTGCATGAAGAGTCATTTGAAATTACGCTTCAAGGATGACAACAAATCGTAAATGCGGGAATGTTTCTGAAAAAAAACCTACCTGACTCTGGTCCCTGTGTGGCAGGATGAAAGTAGGCTGAAGGATTTAGGTTTAGACCAACCATAAACTTATCTTCGCTGTAATTGCTATCTATTCCACAGATACGGGTAACCCTATATTTATAAAATAATGATATTTAATTTGTATTTAATAGCGATTTTTGTGTATTAATCAATCTAATGGAAACGTAGTTAAGATGTATGTAAGATGGAAAAATACTATTTAATAAAATTTTAATTTTACTAAAAACCTAAAAAAATCCCCTTAATAAAACCAAACAATGTTATCTATCTATCTATTATGAAGCACCTGTTAGCTCCGAAGAACCACCAGGAACCCTACCCAGAATGACCCAAAACAAAAATTAAGGAAATACGACTAAAGAAGAAAAAAGTTCTTTATTTTTACTGTTGATGTGCTAGATAGTAGATATTCGTAAATAATGACAATAATTATACTCCACCAGGACTCAGAAGTCCTCAGAATAATCAAAACATAAACACAAAAGCACACAAAACCTCCAACCAAAAAAAAGACTCAAAATAAAGATATTTTTGTTCATCCCTGATAATATGCTATTGCTGGTGGTACCTGTCTACTAAACCGTACTCTAGGTTAAGTATAAGCTTACAAGGATCAATATCAGATCCCTGAAAGATAACTAGTGTATCAAACAAAGCTCCAATATTGTTTTTAACAAGAAGTGTCTCCCTCAAGGACGATCTTAACGCAGCAGCCGCCCAGGAGCAAAGGGATTGCCACTGAGATCCAGGAAACTCGGGGAACAAGGAAGAAGCTCCGTCCCGATCCAGGATCGGAGACACGTCGGAGACACTTGGAACTGTTTTCTCAACTCCGAGAATCATTTGATCCGTTCGAGTAAACTCTGATAAAAATGTCCAAATCTTCCGCACTATCTGCCATGGCTAAAAAAATTCTTTTTAAAAAATGATAAAAATTTATTAACACACCTTCCGAGGGGGGGGGGGGGTGACATTTCTAAAGAGGATAGGTGGGATATGGGGGATGATTTTTTAAAGGAAATCCAATCATGTAAAATTCTTATTTTCTATTTTACCTTCATGGCCCTAGTGAGCTGATGTGTAAGATGAAGATGAAGAAATATGACAGGAAGAAGATTGACCGGCAGGAGACAACGGAGCTGCCTCGTCCAAACTTCCAGGAGCTGACCAGCACTCCGGTAGCTGGAGTGTGAGTTCATCAGTCGGGTCAACTCATCCTGGAGGTCGGAGGATAGGCCTCCATCCTCAACACAGTCCGGTTCTAAATTAAACATTTAAGATATTGTTCACGTATTAAAAGTAAGCTAGTTCAGTGTACAATGTACTGTACATATACACTTAAAAGTACAACAGTACCAATTTTAGGGTTGAAGGGAGCTTTGATATGGGGAGAATTACTGAAATGAATAAATGGAATAAGATCCCACAATGAATATTGAGATCAAAATACCGGGATTACGAGTATCCAACAGTTCAAAAACAACGATAAATGCTAGACTGAAATTAACCTTAGCTTAATATTTACCTATAATCTATCTATGATAATCTTATCAATGCATTTTCTATTTCGATACTACATGTTTTAAAAATTTAAAGGGACTGTAAGCGTAATTTCATGTGACCTCCATGCAAAGATGACAATGTCCGAATTGAAACATAAATTTTGTATAAAATGTGGAAGATAAAGTTATTTTTCCTGACTCGAGAAGTGTATGATTTCTCCATTATTTCTTTAAGAAATGAGCAAGTCCCCTTTGAAGAGAAACCTCAAAAGAAATCAACAGTTTAAAAAATCAAAAACATATTTCATCAGACAAAGCTTTAAAGAGTATCGTTGTAAATCGGCCATTGCTTTGAGTTGAGGGTCACTTGAAACTACGCTAACAGTCCCTTTATGGAAAAAAATTACCTATGATGATAGAAAGATGATTTTTAAGTTTTGACGAGGATGGGATAATCTTTAGAGCCGGGATATTAGTCCAGGGTTTATTTACGTGAAGTGAACAGTCCACTAGATTGCTACCAGACAGAATAGTGGATAGTTGGTGCATTGAAACTAGAAGGTTGTCCCTTTTTTCCTTCTTATCCTGTTCAGAAATAAATGTTAATTAAAACGAATTGTGACATTTTGTCTGTTAAACACCCATGGGTAATTTCAAAATACTGTGACATTTTGTCTGTTAAACACCCATGGGTAATTTCAAAATACTTATCATTGAAGCACTTAATAAAAAAGGACTTCAGAATCCAATTTAAAAGAATGGCTTTAATCGGGTGTTAAAAAAATTATGAAGATAAATGCAAAATATCGAATATCGGTTGAGGATTCATTTTCATTTACTAAATATAACATACCGATGTGGTTTTCTTGAAATGGAGAGAAATCTTGATTACTCCGACAGCATGAGGAAACACTAGAGAGTTTGATCCAAGTTGTCCTGTTTGGATCACGCTGAGAATCTTAGCTCCGGGATACTTAAACCCGTCCCTGAGTCCTTTAAGCCTGGGAGCAGAACCGCCAGAGAGAACTTTAGATTTGCTAGTCTTGGGCAGATCAGACTTCAAAAGCAGAGCAGAGATCTTTTCTATCCATTCAGTTATCTTGAATACAAAATGTTTTCGAGGCTTAAAGTGACTGTAATTGTAATTGTAAGTGACCCTCCATGCAAAGATAGGAATGCCCAATTTGCAATGACTCCATAAGTGTTAATTTTTGTAAATTTCTTTATTGTTTCATTTAAGCAAGATATGCAAGAACCCAGAGAAAAGTAAACAGTTCAAATAAACAAAAACATGCATATCTAATTCATACTTGATCCGGCATAGCTTTTACAGTACCGTTGTGAGTCAGGCAATGCATTCCTTGCATGGAGGGTCACTTAAACATTACGCTTAGTCCCTTTCGAGGAGTGGGGGGAAAAAGTGGGAACACTAATCCAGTTCCAGATCATTACGGCTTTTTAAAGTTTTACTAAACTATCTCATGAAAAATGTCTCAAATTAAAAAAAATTTTCTTTACCTGAAATCTGATTGATTTATGCAAAATTTGGAGAGTTTTACCGATGCCTTATTACTCAATAAAATATATTGGGGTATTTAGAGAAAAGTTTTTTAAACCATTTCGTTGATATTTTATCCGAGGAGCAAAAGTATGCATTAGGATTTTAAGAGCTTAGGTTAAAACTTGTTAATCTACAAGGATTGAATATAATTTGAAGGGATTTAATACTTATTCTGCAATTCTTTGCAATATCAGCTGACTTATACTTTTGCGGCATGTAGCATAGATTAGCCGAGAATTAGAAAGATTTAACATATTCCAATGGATTAAGAGTACATAGTTCCGATCTCTGTGTCATTAAATATCTTACTTGAGTTTGCACTGGGCCCGGAGCAGTGACCTCCTTCAGTATATTCTCCACCTGGAGGTCAGAGAGATCACGAGACAGGTCGAGGTCAAGTCCGGCCTCGAACCTTGCTTTCTTGTCGTCAGAGCTGGTCAGCGGCGTACCAGCCTCACGTTTCATTTTCACTGAAATTTTATATTTAAAATTATTAATCTGTAATTATATTTTTAACAATCTATATATTTTAATTTAGTATTTATAATACCCTTTTAGCTTTATTTTATTGCTTTGGACATTTTGAAGAATTTTGTTTCAGAATTTAAAAGAAGTTTTTCATTTTTTTTTGGGGGGGGGGGACTGGTCTGATTTAAGAACAAATATCAATACGGTACATTTGAACTAGCATAGTTTAAGGCAACTTTCAGCATTTTTAATCAAAATCTAGCACAACATTGTCATGGGCCTCGAACAGATCTTCATTCATTACTGTTTCAACGGAGTCATCACTGTCGCTATGATCCTCATCATTGTCGTCGCAGTCCTCTTTCCCATCCTCGTTTATCTTCTTTTCCTCTCCGCCTTTTTCCTTCTCCACCTTTATATTCTCATCCTGAGGATTACATTTTTAAAGAAAAAAAAAGAATTTTAAGTTAATTAAAAACAGTTCCCTCAAATATGGAATTTTCGGGGGAGAATATCAGATTTTAGCACATTAGGAAAATAACAAACATATGTTAACTTTTTTAAGTAAATGAAAAATTTCTTCTTAGCTACGATATTCATTCACCATAGTCCTTCAAACCCTTCTCTAGGAACTAATTATTTTTTACTTATTTGGCCTGAATATCTGTCCTAATGAGTTCAAAATGAAAACTAAGGATAAAATGATAAATGCCGGAATAAATATAAAAAACACCGGCAGTGCAAAAAAAAATAAGAACCAATTTGAGTAAGACTGATTGACCTGCATATTACAGAGAAAATCTTCAATTTTTTTGAGAAAATCTTCAATTTTATTGAGAAAATCTTCGAATTTTGGGGGAAATCTATGAAGTCCCATTCAGGGGTGAAATCTACAAATGCAAAGGGTGAATCTAGACACTTACAATTAAATACTGAAAGGAAACTCTGAACTAAAATTAAACACTTACACTTGAGGATTGGAGAAGGTCATTTTCAGAGTCATCAAAATCTTTGATCCCACAAGCTCCAAAATTCGCGGAATTTTTTCTCACAGCAGTTCTAGACTTAGTTGGAGCAAAATCATCACCCGAAGATTCGACGTCAGGCGCCAAGCCCGTATTCTTATCAGATCCGGATCCGGCGTTTAGTGGATTTAATCCGGTAGAATCTTCAATATTTTCTGCAGGTACTGGATTTTCCACACTCAGCTCACTGCTAACGGAACCTTTGGACGAATCTGAGTCAGATGAGGAAGGAAGGTGTTTCAGTATTCTCGGAACCAAATCCGTAATCGGTTTCTTGGCTTTTCCGGAGGTGTTATCCAATCCTCTTTTACTACTTCCAGACAGTGCTCTCTTCTTGGTTGGTTGATCTTGATCGTCTGTACTCTGTCTACCAGTTGAGGTACTAGATGATCGTCGGTTATTGATCTTCTTCGGTTTAACATCTTCGATCGACCTAGTTTTCAATATTTATATTTGGATTTTTTTAAAAAAAATTCTTTTAGTGAAATAACGTTTTATTTTGATGAAATATGTTTATATTACGGGGGGGGGGGGGTCAGTTAGACGATTTTATACCTTTCAGAAGGTTTCTTCTTTTGTTCTGAACTGACCAAGTGTTGACCCAGGTTTATCTCGTTTTTCTTAGTCTCGTCCTCGAGATGCCAGTCGGAGAGGGTTTCACCTCGGTCACGCAATCTAAATAGTAACTTAAATCAGACGTAGCGATTTTAGCAGTTCGAGGAAAATTAGATATGCACAAGCTCCTAGAACTCAGTCTTATTTAAATATCAATAATCACTTGTAACACTCACCTAGACCGGTTGAACTTCAAAGGTTAGACTTGCAGATTTAGACTTGAGATCAAGCTTTTAAAATGCAGCCTCAGAAGTGCTAATATTTATTTGAGAAAAAAAACATTGGACTTCTTTTTAACGCTATTAACCGAAAAATCATCTCTTTCCCACTCTAAAAATCATTACGTTTTCCCAGTTCAACGCGCCTACAATCCCATTTAAAAAAAAAAAAGTCCCCCCCCCCCGACCCTCTTCCATGCTGATAAAATGTACTAACTTGAGTTCAAGCTGTTTGTGTACCGTCCCCAGATGGTGGATATAATTCTTTTTATTAGAGAGCTTCGTCATCTTGCACTTGTCCTGGTCGCAGATGTACGGACCCGACTCAGGGACATCCCAGGCATCATAGAGGTGAGTGATCACATGACCTTTGAACCATTTAAACTCTTTCCCGCACTCTCTACACCGCCATGGCTTTTTCCGGTCAGATCTAATAAAATCCGAAAAAGTTTATTCGTCTTTAAAGGTAATGCAACTTAGATTCAAGTAACCCTCCATGCAAAGATGACAATGATTGATTCCCAATTGTACCCTTGAAACCTTTATTTGATTAATAATGTTGAAGGTATTGTCTTTTTTTTCTAGGTTTTAATGTGTCCAAGCCTGTGAAATTCATGCATGATCAGATATACCAGTTAAGGGTACATGCGTTACAGTCCCTATAAACGGATTTCTTTAATATTGGGGATTTGAAAATGAATTTATTTCTAAGAAAATAATTTTAATGGGAAGGGAGAACAATTTTCTGATTATTAGGATTGAGACAAACCTTACTTGCTCCATGTCGCTTGCACCACTGCTGAAACGGGATCGGGATTTGGATGAACCTGCTCTGCTGACGGGTTTTCTCTTCTTAACTAGTAAACAGAGAAATTTTTAAGTAGTCTGTATGCATCCGAGTGCGTGATTACACTTATTTAATGGGGGGGGGGGGGTGGTGGTATAATTTCCCACACATTTCGTCTAAAATAAAATACTGCTATTCACTTCAAAAATATCTATTAAATTCAAAAGGGACTGTCGTAAAAATTTTAATTTCTTGGTTCTTATTCAGCATCACAGAAAACGCTAAACTTAAGGGAATTGTGCCCAAAGTAATTCGGAGACCTCGATGATAATTCACAGAGTTTAAAAAGTACCGTTGTGAATCGGACAATAAATCCTATAAATAATCAACTGAAAAAGCGTTTTAGTCCCTTCAAATTAATTTAAAAGCATGGAAACGAGGAAGAACCTTTTTCTTTCATGAACCCGGAGCATATATCTACCTGAACCCGGAGCATATCTCTACCTGAACCAGGAGAATATCTACCTGAGCCCGGAGCATATCTCTACCTGAACCGGGAGAATATCTACCTAAACCCGGAGCATTTATCTACCTGAACTCGGAGCGTATCTCTACCTGAACCGGAAGGATATCTACCTAAACCCTGAGCATTTATCTACCTGAACCCTGAGCATATCTCTACCTGAACCGGGAGCATATCTACCTGAACCCTGAGCATATATCTACCTCAACCCTGAGCATATCTCTACCTGAACCGGGAGAATATCTACCTAAACTCGGAGCATATCTCTACCTAAACCCGGAGCATATCTCTATCTGAACCGGGAGAATATCTACCTAAACCCGAAGAAAACCTTTTCCTGAACCCGCAGCATATCTCTACCTTTACCCGGAGTATATCTTTACCTGAACCTGGAGCATATCTCTACCAGAACCCGCAGCATATCTCTACCTGAACCGGGAGAATATCTACCTAAACACGAAGCAAACCTTTTCCTGAACCCGCAGCATATCTCTACCTGTACTCGGAGCATATCTTTACCTGAACCTGGAGCATATCTCTACCAGAACCCGCAGCATATCTCTACCTATACTCGGAGCATATATTTACCTGAACCCTGAGAAAATCTCTACCTGGACCCGATGCAGTTTCAACCCCGTCCTCGTCCGGTGAGGACAATCCTCCGGAGTAAGAGCTAGAACTATCCGAGTCCAATCGAGAACGCTTCGTAGTCTGGAGGTTGGCCTCCAATCCAGATCTTTTCTTAGATTCAGGTTTATTTATCAGGATGGACGTTTTCTCTTTGTCAACATAAAATCCCGAACTCTCCATACTATAAAAATGAAAAAATGTTTAACTAAAAAATGAAATCCCCATATTGTAAATGAAAAACCGAAACAATTATTCTCCTTTTAGTCACTTTTTGCTTAAAACGTGCGTTTGTTCATGGGGTCCCCCACCCCATAGAAAATGTGTATTTGTTAATCCTTAAACAATTTAACATTTCCGGATCGTTAGCTCATCTGCAGGGCTTTCCAAGATGATTATAATTTTGATTCCTTCCGAATAAATATCAATCAATAAGAGGCAGTTTGGGAGACTAAGACCGCCAATACAAGGACTATACGCGAAATTCCAAGTGTCCCTTCATGCAAGGATGTCAATGTCTGATTTATAACGGTACCCTTGAAACCTTCGTCTGATTTGCAACGGTGAACCCTTGATACCTGCGTCTGATTTGTAACGGTACCTTTGACACCTTTGTCTGATTTGCAACGGTATACCCTTGACACCTTTGTCTGATTTGCAACGGTACCTTTGACACCTTTGTCTGATTTGCAACGGTATACCCTTGACACCTATGTCTGATTTGCAACGGTATATACCCTTGATTCCTTCGTCTGATTTGCAACGGTATCCTTGGTACCTATGTCTGATTTGCAACTGTATACCCTTGATACCTTCGTCTGATTTGCAACGGTAAACCCTTGATACCTTCGTCTGATTTGCAACGTTATATACCCTTCATACATTCGCCTGATTTGCAACGGTATACTCTTGATACCTATGTCTGATTGCAACGGTGTATACCCTTTATACCTTCGTCTGATTTGCAACGGTAAACCCTTGATACCTTTGTCTGATTTGCAACGGTATATACCCTTGATACCTTTGTCTTTGCAACGGTATATACCCTTGATACCTATGTCTGATTTGCAACGGTATACCCTTGAAACCTATGTCTGATTTGCAACGGTATATACCCTTGATACCTTTGTCTGATTTGCAACGGTATATACCCTTGATACCTGTCTGATTTGCAACGGCATACCCTTGATACCTATGTCTTTTTAAGTTTAATAATTTATTTTAATTAAATTTTACAATATTTTTTAATTTTAATATGATATCAGATGGAAACATTTTGAGACTTCTATATTTCTTGTTTTTAATCCTTTCTTCTTGATCTTCCATTCCTTGTTCTGATTTGCAACGGTATATATACCCTTGATACCTATGTCTGATTTGCAACGGTATATATACCCTTGATACCTATGTCTGATTTGCAACGGTATACCCTAGACACCTTCGTCTGATTTGCAACGGTATACCCTTGACACCTTCGTCTGATTTGCAACGGTATACCCTTGACACCTATGTCTGATTTGCAACGGTATTTACCCTTGATGCCTTCGTCTGATAAAATATTGAAAGATAACGTCCCTTTTCTGATTCAAAAATGGCTTAATTTTTATAATTTCTCCAATGCGCAAGTCACTTACTTTTCCGGAAAACCACAAATCAAAATGAACATTTTTCAAAAACTAAAACATGGAGTACTAATTCATACCCGACAGAAAAAGCTTTTAATGGTACCGTTGTAAATAGGGCATGGAATTTAACTTAAAATTGCTCTTAAACAGTTCATTTAAGCAAACAAAAGCCCAGCCTTCAAGGTCAAATATTTTCATATATTTTCAAATAAAAATGACAAACCTTACAACCTGGACCTCAGCAAGCATGTACAAGGTTTCCTCTGAGGGTATACGCATTCCTGGGGCACTTCTTCGTCTGATGTACGCAATTTCATCCCTGCATACAAGTCTCATTTTATAATAACAGATAATTTAATTTTTAAATAATTTTTATTTTTATTTAAGGTCATGAGTTTTTGTTGTTTTAGATCGATAATTTTTATTTGAATTTCTAACTTATTTTTGAAAGAAAACTTTGTGCGTCTTAAGTATTGTATACGATTTTCTATGATTAAAACGATAATAATGATGATACCTAAGATGCCGTCTGTAGTGTTCCTTTATTTGTTCCACCATTCCCTCGTCGTTGTCAATGTTTATGTTGTTGAAAATTCCATTTGTCATGGTTTTCCTGGAAAACAAGTTTGTATAAAAATCACCATTCTGAAATCAAAAGTTCTAATAAATAAAAATCACACATTAACATTTTAAGTAACCAAAAACTAGGTCCACAATCCACATGCTATGGATTACTTAAAAAAAGTATTTTCTAAGCAAGTATTAAGCAAATTGAAGTAATGTTTTGCAGATAAAAGCATAACGTCCGTCCTACAATGAGAAGACTTTTAATTTCAATTTTTCAATTTATATTGAGCTTTTATACAGCATAAATTAAGAGAAGCTGTCAATTAATAGCTTCCTAGACAGCTTCTCTTTGCTAGCTCGTAAACTTGTAAGGGGGGGGGGCCACAAAACGTATTACTCTCCGGAAAATTTAAACAGTGGTTAAACATAACTTAGAATTGTCGTAGGAGGCTGATTTTTTGCATGCAAACTCAGAATTATGTATATTATCGCGCGCGCGCGCGCACTTTTGCTCAGATTCCTTCAAAACCAAAAAATGCATGTAATATACATAATTCTGAGTTTGCATGCAAAAAATCAGCATCCTACGACAATTCTAAGTTATGTTTAACCACTGTTTAAATTTTCCGGAGAGTAATACGTTTTGTGGCCCCCCCCCTTTTAAAAAAAGCTAGTTCGAAATCAAAACTTATATAAAAAGCCGTCTTCATTGTATTGACATAAACGCCGACCACAGTAAAAAATCTGCCAACAGCTGCCTTACCTGTCCTTTTCTATTCTGCAGATTTTTGGGTGAGTAAAGCTGCACCTAAGAATGAGCACTACTCTCCAAATGAAAAACGGACATATTAAAAAAATTCAAGAAAAGGCAGCTCCAAATAAAATCTTACACGTTGCTTTTTCTTGAATTTTTTTAAAACCAGTCCGTTATTTAATGTAAGAGTGTTATTTATGGTTTTCAATTGTTTCCAGATCAATTTGGTTCTGTCAAGACCTTACTGAAGCCGCCAAGAATGAAAACCCATGAATAACTTTTGGAGATTAATTGCGGAATCTTCTTTACCGAGTGAAGAGTAATTCTACCTCCTAGATGCTATATAGGGCTAGGGGTGACATGCTAATAAGTTCGCGGGGTGACATGCTAATAAGTTCCATATGAAATAATAGTCCCGTTAACTTTTTTCAGCATGTTGCACCTAGCTCTATGTAGCATCTAGTGGGTAGATATATTTTAAATTAAAATAAATTTAAACCTTAATTGTGAACTTTCAATAAAGATAAAAGGCGTTCTTTCGAAAATAATTTCAAATTAGAAGAAACCCTCTTAACTAGAAATTATAGAAACTTCATCTGAGTGAAAAAAATAACATATTAGATGCAGTAGATGAGCATATTAGATGCAGTAGATGAGCATATTAGATGCAGTAGATGAGCATATTTCACCATTTTATTTAAAATCCCGTTTGGATAAGGTTACATAAAAAGGAAGTTATTTTGGCCATTGCTGTCATTTCATGATTTTTGATGATCTGGAATAAGAAACATTGGACTTCAAAAGGAAAGTTTTTCATCCCTTTTGATACTCGTTCCTCACTATAAAAGTCATTTTTTTCGCCAAATCAGGGAAAAAATTAAACCCTATATGTAAACCAAACATACATAACATCTGAGTAATAAAGTATTTTCATAGAGGGTGTGGGGGGATTTTAAAGATTTTTTACATCCCTGAAATTGGATTTAAGTTTTCATCTTTCTTTCCAATAAACCCCTGTCAAAATTTGTAAAACAAACCTTTTTTATTTAAATCTATATTTGGTTCGAAAAATATAATTCATAAGGAAGTGAAATCTGTAAGAGACCCCAATGTGGACCCCCCAGACCGCCGCCAGCGGTATATGTATTACATTTCGATTTAGAATTTTTCTACAGTAAAGAAACCTGACAATATCCTTATTGCGGTTGAAGGAGATGATGTCGACCGAGGAACTCTGTTTAATATGCTCAAGAACATGATCAACTAGGTCCTTTTCCATCACATCATCTTCGCAAATTCTAAAATAATATTGTGTGTTTGGGTGTTTGCTTGTTTGTTTTTTGATGACATAAGGTACTGTAAGGGTTTATATACATTACAGGGGATATTAGTTCCAAAACTAACACTTTAAACTAAATCTGCAAAGTTATCTTTTTCAAGAGTATTATATATTTTATATCCAAGTTGATTAACAAAATCACACCATATATTTATTTAAAATGGCTAAAACTATATTGAAACAATTGATGATCCTTGATTTCATTTTCGGAACATATCTCTATTTTGAAACAATTAACGGATTTCAGCTCATGTCGCGTTTTCGGAACATATCCTCGTTTTGAGACAATTACCGGAATTCATATCAATGTCAATTTTCAAGTATTTACGCACTTATGAAACAAAACAAGATTTTTTTATAAGGTAAAATATAAATAAAAATAGGAAATAAAAACAAACTGTTCTTTTATCTATATAAAAATTTGGCTTGTCTGTCTGTTTGTTTGTTTGTTGTTTGTTTGTTTGTATCCAATAAACGTCAATACGGCTGAACCGATCGGGGTCAAATTTTTTGTGGGACATCACGTAACCACAGGGAAGGTTTATGAATGATAAAAATTTAAAAAGTGTTTTAAAGGTTTTTAATTTTATAAAAAAAATTAAATTCTTGAAAATCCGCGATTTTTTTTTTAATCCGCAAAATTTGTTCTTCTTTGTTTTTAAATGTGAACAAAAAGAACATGTTCACAATTTAAATAGAAGATGGGCGCGAAGCGCCCTAAAAGCCTAGTAATTTAAAAATCATTACAGCATTTAGAAATCAAAATATTAATATCATTTGTTCTTGTAATATAGATTTAAAAAGAAATGCGGGAAACTGGTTGTTTAAAATGTTTGAAAATAAATCATCCATGTTCTTTAATTTAACAGATGAAATGTGGAAACTTAGATTCTAGAAATAATTCAGAAGTTAATTTAATTTTCATAAGATATTTTTGGTTTTCAGTGATTTATTATGTAAGTTATGAAAGTGAGTTTTGTTTTGAATTGTGGATTATTCTCAAAAACGGGAAGGTGGGTTTTGTCTCGAAAACGCGATAATGTTCCAAATTCAGGATATGTTCGAAAATGGAAAACCTAACATTGTCTTGAAAACGGTAAAGAGCTTTAATATAAAAGAACTTCTATTAAAATTTTGATTTAAAAAAAAAGTTTAAAATTGGCAATTGTTGTCCTCCCCATGTTTAATAAAATGTTGGTTATAGTTCTTATTAGCGACTTTTAATCTGGATATGGGCCGGGATCCCAAAAACTCAGTCTTTCAAGTTATGCCCATTTCTAACACTCAAGTGTTAGAAATGGGCCAAGTGTTAGTTTTGGAACTAATGTCCCCTGCATTAAGATAAAAATTTACAAATCTTAGGTTGGGAGTGTTAGAGAAAAATTCAAAACATACAGATAAAGGGACTGTAAGCGTAATTTTTATAGAGCCTAGCTCCATGAAACATGACATTGCCCGATTCACAATGGTACCCTTGAATCAAGTATGAATTGGATATCAATGTCATTAATTTCTAATACTGATGATTTTTAATCTCTACATCAGTAACTCGCGCAGTAACTGCTACAGAAACAACGGATAAACTACAATTATAATCTTTAAGCTAGCACATTGTTCAGATAAAGGTTTCAATTGGGTGCTATTGTGAATCATACATGTCCCTCTTAAAATTAAAAGTCAATTTAAAATTTGACAACGCAGTCCTTCAGGGGTCAAATTCGAATATATCAAACCTGCATTTTACAGGGACAGCTCCGAAATCTCCGGAGAATGATTTTATCAGAGATGTGAAGGATTCCACCTCATTCTCCGACCGGAGATAAACACGCTCTATGAACAAAATATATAATAGTGCAGCTCCCTACCAACTACACAACTTACTGACTCGCAGGAGTGGCAAAAAATCCACCAAAATTCTTTAATATTTCCCTGAGTATTTCTAAATTCTCTCGGTTTATCAGCAAAAAATCTCTCTTTTGTGCCTTAACTTTTTGTTTAAAAAAACGAGAGAAAATATTAAGGCCAGTTAATTTTGTTAGCATTTAGGCTTTATTTTAATTAATTATATAGTTATTTTTCCTGAATAGTACCCTTCTAGCAGAAGTTTAATTGATCTGCAAACATTTAAATCTTAATTCATTTTTAGAATTAACTAATTTTTCTTACAGAAGTAGACTCATAGAATTATTTATGAAAAAACGGGTCTAAAAATCTAATATTTTTTTGTATGTTGGATAAAAAAGGCACATTTTGATTGTTTTACTTTGAAATATATACGAGTTCTTTTTTATCCTATTAATTATTGTATTATTCAATTTGCAAGATTAAAATTTATCTTAATTTTAAGATTTATTTTCCTGTAATCGTAGTCTGGAAGCATGACCATTGTTGGCCCGGGAGAACAATTCCCTGAGCAACATTCTATACTTCGGAACAGTGTTAGCCAGAAATCGTGCTGGGACAGTACGACCTGGAGGAGATATCAACCTGATCCGTTTTAGCGCGAAATTTTAAGTTCCGAGGATTTGTGGAGAACTTTTGAGGAGCATTTCCTGATTTATCCTTAATCTTTATCCAACCCCGACCCCCCCAAAATGCTAAGTAAATCTTAGGTTGTTAGAAGGTATATAATCGTATATTATTTGTTGAAATTATTTTGAACTGACGGCATTAAAACGTATGTTAGCTGAATTTGGACTCATCCAAAAAAAAGCATCTTATCAACGACGTGGACGAAATATGATGAAGACTTTCAATTCCAACTGAGCATGAAACTATTCACTCTTTCTACTTTATTTATCCCAAAGGGAAACAAGGCTATCTAAAAAGACATATTCAGTTTAAAATATTGATGGTCACAACTTCAGATTGCAATAGCTTAGTACCGATAATCAAAGAGATATGATTGCAATATTCTAAATTATAAGATTTTTCAAGATTTAAAATCCAATTTGAACTAGGAATTCAATAGTTTCGAATGTCGGATTGCAATGATCTAGGAATTGTTTAGAGGAAAATCAGTTCGAACAACCTATTCGAGCTTAAATCCATTCCAAATAACGCTCAATTTGGCTGAGATCAGATTCAGTTCCTTGTGCGCGGAAATATGAAGATTTTCCTTAGTTACAAGGATTACATCAGCGTGCTGACCGCTCGCAGCAAACCTTTCAAATTCTATTGGTTTCGCGTAAAATGTTTTATTATGCCCTAACGTCATTTTACTCTGAAAAAAAAATCATTTCAAAATGGAGGTTTATTATTTCAAATTTATTTAATATATCTATTTGTACAAATCTACTTTTCGTCGACAACATTTTTCTCTCTTTCAGGTACGTAAGGAACACTGCCAGGTTTGCTGTGCTTTCGCCGATTGGCTTCTTTCCGGCTTTTACTCGCCCGGATAGTTTTCAGCTCGTTCTGTGCGTTCTTGATGTGTTTTGGAACCTGTCGGTGACGAGATATTCGGGAAATCTGAAACAAACGAAATAATAAATAATGGAGTAGATAATGGCATATTGGTAGGGTAGTGTTGACAAAAAGATTTGTCATTTTTTAATCAATATTAAGACTTAAAGATTAGTTTATGAATTTATCACTTTTTCGAAAACTTGAAAGATGGAATGAAAATTAAATCGTTTGAACAATTGAAGGGATCTCTTCAGAACTTATAAATAAAACATTTCTATATTAGAAACCCGATGAACGAATTCTAAATTTAAAATTTCAAGTCTCCAAAATAAGGTTTTAGAGAGATGTAAAAAAAGAAATTTGAACTTGACGATTTTTCAGAATATGTACTTTAGTTACTACCTGTGGATGCTGTGCATATTTCTCCTTAAGCTTCTCTGAATACTGAAGTGCCACCCTCTCCCTATCCTTCATAATACCCAACCTTTCACTAGCTCTAGCTTTCCATAGACGCAGGTTCATCTCATCAGAGCCACTCACTATATACTAAAACAAACAAAATATATTTTTTTTTCTTTAACAGACTGTCAAAATTAAGGGTGGTTGATTTGCGATTTTTTTAGAAATCAGCTAACCGCCCACATAAAGTTTCGGCGTTTGCAACAACAAAAATTCAAAATCGTCCATAGGTTGCGACTTGACATATTCATGCAAGAGAAATCATAGTAAGGCTCTCAAAAAATATGAATAATTTAATATTATACAAAACTTTCCTGAAAATTTTAGGCTGAATTCAAATATCAAAAGAGATTTTAAAAAATTAAAATTTTGAACAGTGAATACTAGAAAACTATTAATTAAATGACGGATTTTAGGACCGTTTTGGCTTCGACTTCATTCTTGACATTTTAAAAAGCGCTTTTCATATTTGAATTTGGCATAAAAATTTCTAAGAAAATGTAGGATATGATTTTTTTTTTTGGGGGGGTGGGGGACTTTTGTTGATTTCTCCCATATTAAATCGTTAATCCTCAACTGTATGGAAGATTTTTGTAATGCAATATATTCTTTAAGTGAAACGCAGCAACCCCCGGTGGGCGGTTAACTTGAATCCAATTTGATCACCCTTACGTTCGTTATTTCAAGTGACCTCCAGTCGGAGAAGGCAATGCTCGATTTACATTGATACCCTTAAAACCTCAATTTGATAAAAATGTCCCTTTCTTAACTCGAAATGTGCGAAATTTTGACGTTTCTTTTAAGCAAGAGATGCACAAGTCACTTTTGTGGAGAAACCACACATCAGAATGAACAAAAACATGATTTCTACTTTTCACTAGACGTAGCTTTTAAAGGTACCGTTGTAAATTGAGCATTACCATCTTAGCAAAGGGGGTTACTTTGAATAACGCTTTCAGTCCCAACACTAAACTTAACGTCATATTTATATAATTTTAATAATTTGAAAATTAGAAATAAATTTGCCAAGATTTGCCAGGTTTGGTTTATAACTAGGTGTTAATTTAACACTGTCCCGAAAATTAGCGTGAAAGGTAACATTGGTTTAGTCAAGGTAATAAGGCAAACAAAGAAAGTTAATTGTTGTTGCGTATACTCTGCGTACATATTGAACCCTCTCTCTGGGCGGTGTTTGTAAACAAGAATAGATGCACCAGTGTTATTCTAGTATCCGAGGAGGAAAGCATTTCAGCCCAGAGACAAGAAGTACTAAAAATGCATACACCTCATAAAATAACTATATCTTAAGATTTTAACTATTTGGGTTTAGTTAAGCAATAGACAGTTTACAAAAAAAAAATCATGCGGGGGGGGGGATTCAGAGCAAGGGGTTGCTGACATCAAATATTTGACTTACCCTATCATCGTTGGACCAGAGAACGTTTGTCAGTCTCTGCATTCGTTTAGTATGATAAACCTCTCTGGATCTTCCCTCACTTGCTCGGAATATTCGGATAGTTTTGTCGTAGCTTCCGGAAACTATCTCACGTCCTAATGAATAAGGTTAGTTAGATACGGAATATCCGGATAGTTCAAAGCTTCCGAAAACGACGTCCAGATATAAACTAAAATAATTACGGAATATCCAAATGCCTTCCGGATAATACTATTGGTAAAACTTGGGAATATTTGAATTTATTCTTAGTACATTCCTTATACTACTACACGTCCAAATCATGAGTATAAAAATATCAGGATAGCTTTGTAGTAGCATACAACATCACACCGAGATTGATGCAAATACTCCAAGCTTGCGAAAAAGGGTTTCAAAGAAGATATTCTAAAATTCCAGGATTACCAACAGAATGAGAAATCGTGCAGTGCAACTTGACGTGTAGTTCCAATACAGCTTTACACTTTAAGCAAGAATTAAAAGTTTTTTTAAACGATCTTTCAAAGACCTACTTCTACAAGATCAGTTGGAACTTATTACCCATTTTTTTTATTTTCCCTATCAGTATAAGACCCAAAAAACAGGTCTAACTTTTTATCCTAAGTAATATCGTATCTACCTGTTGGACTGTAATCCACATCTACAACAGCCCCAACATGATCCATGTGAACATTGACAGGTCTATCCAGCTTTCGTACGTCGAAACTATAGAGGTTGTAATCTTCACTTGCTGTTGTAAACACCATAGCCTCCATAGGATTCCAGGCCAGGGCGTTGGATCTCAAAGTCATTATCACTTTACGGACCGGGCCGACGTTTCTTGTATCGTACAGCATTATGGAGTTATCACTGGCAGCGGCGGCTAGGAGGTTGGTTTCAACCTGATTGAATTTTACCAGGTGGACAGAGTCAACACCCCACTGGAAAGTTCTGTTAAAAACCATCATTAAAATAGAAATCTTGACTCCGCGCCACTTTCGTTAAACATTAAGACAACGAGAAATGTCCATATTTCAGACACATATTTTTTGAAGTTGCTTCAATCAGAGCTTAGAATCCGGATTCGCAAGATTTTGGCTTCCTGGATCCGGATAAATATGCGGATAAGAGGGGCAAAATATCACCGAAAATTTTTTTTTTTACCGAAATCTGAAAAATTAAAAAAAGGTCATAAAAATTTCCTGATATCTGAATGGTTTATTAAATTTTAGCATAAATGAGCGAAAAAAGTAAAGACAAAAAAAATGAAAATTCTGCTTTGTTAAAAAATCCCAGTAAATTTTAAAGAAATGACCTGGATCCGGATTCCTGGCTTCAAGTTAAGAACGTGATATTTTATTTATTTCAGTAAAATGAATTATAGATTTAAAAAACGGATGTAATTCTGAATGACGTCAGATTAACAATGTTAAAAATGGTTCCCTGAGAGGTACAGATCGTCCTGCCGCCCACAACTGTGCATTCTCTCCACAAGTAGCAAACTGATCTCCTTCCCTTGCATGGGATATCCCCGTCACCATATGCTTACAGAGAACAGTATCCAGGGGTAGGTTGGATACCTTCTCCGCGTCCCAGGTCTTGATCGTCTTATCATCAGCGCAGGAAAGGATTTGATCTCCGGAGGGGGTGTAGGTTAGACCACGGATAACTCCGTCATGAGCTTGCCAACTACCCGAACACGTCCTGAACAACTAGAATACAGTTAAACTTGCGTNGGGGGGGGGGGGGGGATTAAAACAATTTCCCCTTTTTGTTAGTGGTGTAGGCATTTTACACTCTTTGAAATTTCTGATGTGAACAAATTTTTTTAATAAATTTAAACAAATTACAAAACATACTGTAGGACATTTTAATACACATAAGTCATTAATATTGGACAATTTCCGATTCACCAACCCATACAAAGAAGATCCCATCAAATAAAATTGTAGACTTAAGTTCTAGCATTAAATTAACATATTTAGACCGCCCTATCTCTTACAATCTACAGATCAATCGACATAATTCTAGACAGAAACTAAGATATCCTGCAAATAGGGACTGTAAGGGTAATGTTAAGTGATCCTTAATGCAGAGACAATACACTGTTCACAACGGTACCCTTACAAGCTTCCTTATCTATATAATAAACCAAGACATTCGTATATATATATATGTTGCATATAGCCGACCAAACGGCTGGTCAGATTGGGCTGAATGTTTTTGTGTACACTCATGGGTGTTCGGGGGCTGTTAAGCCTAAAAACATTCGAATTTTTTTCTTCAACATTTTTTTCCACGGGCGACGCCGGGCCCTTCAGCAAGTTTAATATACATTAGAAACTGATATGTATTTAATATTAATCTTTGGATGGCAGAGCACTGTATAAAAAAAACGCTTTTAGTCCCTTTATACAAAACCTAGATTGATTACCTATTTGCGAGTTGCCAGAGTCTAATCTCTCCGTCTGAAGCAGCACTAGCAATAGTTGAAAGAGCTCCAGGGTGCTTCGTAACACAAGTTATCCCATCTCTGTGTCCATCCAGGGAACCAATGAAGGGTTTAGCAAAAACCTTCTCCAGCTTTACAGAGTTCAAAGCTCTCTGGTATTCGCGCTCTGCTTCAAATGGGTGTTCAACTTGACTAAACAAATTTATAACATCAGATATAAAGACAAAGGTGAGACTTTTAGTTCCGATGACCAAATTCATTTTTTAATTTCGATAAAACTACAATAATACATAAGTTAATTTGATAGGTTTATTCATGTGGGGAGAAGTTAATTTGTTAGGTTTATTCATGTGGGGAGAAGTTTATTTCTTAGGTTTATTCATGTGGGGAGAAGTTAATTTGATAGGTTTATTCATGTGGGGGAAGATTTTAGTTATTATTAAAATTACCGAATTCTGGTATTCTCAAATTTAGTCAAGATGAATATTTACCTGTAGTTCCGATGAATCTTGTGAATATCATGCTTTGTCTCGCGGACAAAATCCGCCGCATTCCTCTTCAAAATCTTCACCTTCATTTTCTCATCTGAAAGAGGGGATTTATTACAACAGAAATTGAGGAACGGCGACAATTTTCTGCATGTCATCAGGTGAGGAGAGATAACTGACGATTATGCAATACTGCTCGCGTTGCTCGCAATTCTGGGCCAGAGGTCGGCGCACTCCTTGGCAACGGGTCCGGTGATAGCAGAGCCCTTCATCTCTCCCTTGTTATTTACTATCACCCCCGCACTGTCCTGCAAAACAAAAACAATACTATTAGAACAAGGTCATTTTAAGTAGCAAGTCCAAATAAAAACTTCTATCACAAACCAAGGAAAAATGGGTTATAAATTTGTAAGTATACTGAGACCCATAAAACAGTGCAATAAGAAGACATTTACGTGATATTGTGTTTGCATGAGATAATGATAAAAAGTGAACATTTTTACAAGAAAGTTTGAAAATCTACTTCAGAAAAGATTCTGTGTTTACTACACATTTGCATAGTTTTATCTTCAAAGGACTATTTACAACTACCTGTCTATAACAAGATCCCGCTAGACCGTAGAAAAAAAACTAAATTTTACCGCTAATAAAAAATAGGAATATATGAAAAAGCAACCAGAAGATTCACTCACATCTTTCTAACAACTATTAAAATCAACCCCCCCTCCCCCCAAAAACATTTAAAGTTTCCTAGTCAAAAAAGATATTAAAATAATTACCTCAAAGTATATAAACGTTCCGTCTTTCCTCCTGAACGTTTTCCTCTGCCGAATTATAACGGCAGGCATTACCTTCTTCCTCAGCTCTGGCTTACCCTGAATGCAAGAGTCGTGAGTTTTTACAATAGACTTAAGTCACTTAGAATTTAATTACATTGGTATAAGTTCCCCAATCTAAGGTTCCTGGACCATGTTCTGACACGTAAAACACGTAAAGGTTGTACAATCCCTTATGTATGTATAAGCACGCATCATTACGAAAGCATTCATGGACTAAAATAGATACTTCTATGTTATTTCTGAAGGTAATACTCAACTAATAATATACACCATAACGAAAGCTACCAAACAATAATAAATTAAACGAAATAAATATTTTTTTGCACTACTTAGATTCCTCTGATATTAAAAGTTAAGAATAAATAAAATTGACATGAAATCTAAGAGGGCATTCAGGAATTAACCGGTAACTTTCTAGAGAACGATTTTTTGTCAGAAAGTGTCTTAACTTAACCTAACCCGTGGCCGAAGCGCTCGGCCCCCTAGCCTGTTCTAGCCGCAGCGCTCGGCCCAGACAGTGTCTTAACCTATCCTAACCCTAAATAATAATATATAAATAATAATTTACTAATTTTGTCATGTACAAAATTGAAAGGAGGGAGGAGGGGCTGGGGGGTCCAAAAATCGTTCACTAAGACGGCCCCAATTTACCTATATATAATTATCAAAATGACTCTTACCTTCTTGACAGTGGCAAGCACCATGTCTCCGCAAGTAGCGGCGGGAAGCCTGTTAAGTCTTCCTCGAATGCCGGCGACGGCCATGATGAACAGGTTCTTTCCTCCAGTGTTGTCTCCGCAATTGATGATGGCTCCGACGGGCAGAGCTAGGGATATACGGAACTTGGCTCCGACGGCACCTCCACGACCTCTTTTAGACATGTTTTACCTGAAATAAATTTGACCTAGATTAGCAACAAATCTTCAAAAAGACGATTGAGACAAATACGAGACTAACTAAATCACAACTAACTATTTTCACATTAAAAATGACTTTTAAACGGATGAACAAGAACCATATGAACAATAACTTGAAGATAATATAACGTTCAAATTCATTTTGAGCAATTTCAAAATGTGGTGTTGCGTCCCACATGGCAAGGTTGGGTTTGGCTGTAATCTGAGAATGCCGCAAAACATTTTCTTTTTATTTCAAGATTGGTTGATTAGAAATAAGACGACATAACCCTTTACAAAAAATACTCATCTGACCTAAGAATAATGCCCATTCGACCTACGAAAAATGCCCATCCGACTTACGAAAAATGCCCATCCGACCTAGGAAAAGTGCCCATCTGACCTACGAAAAATGCCCATCCGACCTACGAAAAAGGCCCATCAGATACTAATGTGTCCCAGCGACAGCTTTATAAGTATAAGGTCGGATGCACCAATATGCTGTTTTTAATGTGCCCATCCGACCTACAGTGCATTGGACCTACCACAGCTGTTAAAACCGTGCTTGTAGGTCGGATGGGCAGTAGAGGGTGATGGGCGTAGGTCCAAAAATACACCATCTACTAATTGAGGTGGTGGAGATTACCAATTGAGGAGCGCGCTTGCCGCAAAACAGATTTTGGTGGCGGTGATTACTATTTGAGGAACTCTGGACTCCCTCCATCATGTTACACAGCTCACACAGCAAAAATCAAATACAATTGATCATTACTTTAAAAACGTCTTTCTATTTCAAAGTGTTCAGTTCTCACTGTATACCTTTTTTCAATTCATCTTATATGAGGTGGCCCAATAAACACGAAAAATAAGTGAATTGTGACTGGATTGTGATTCAGTGTACCGGTGAGCGGTGACTTCATTGCATATTTTCGTCACATTGTCAAAATAATTGTTCTCGTCTACAGGGTGTCCCACATCATATTAGACCGTCAACGGGTCTAAATTGCGATTTTCGGGACTATAACAAGAAAATTTAATTCGAATAAATCAATTTGAAAAATAACATAAGGCTTATATAAGAATTTTCTTGCGGAAAATGATAAGTTCTTCGAGTATTAAGGGTTTATTTTGTCGTTAAAGATTAGAGATAATCTAATATGATATGGGACGCTCTGTATGAGGTTGAAGTTTCTCTAATAAAAATACTCTAAAACGCATGGGCTAGACCATTTTTGCACCTTTAGAATTGGGCCGGAGATATGGAGAAAGAAGCTGAGCTTTTGTCGCAAACTCTGATTTTCTAATCCCTAAACCTTTGCAACCTCGATGGCGTAGACAATATTGATTAAATATATTTCATGGAATATTTTTAATCAATAAATTTGAAATATCAAAGATTTACACCATCCGGTTGCAAATATATACGGATTGGAAAATTTTAGTTTGTTAAAAAAAAATAAGTTTCTTTGTGCAGCTTCCAATAAATCAAGTATAAACATCAAAATTTAAATTTTAAATATTTCCTTCAATATAAAAGATAGAATTATTAGGTTAGACAACATTTCGAAAATCTCATAGGACTCAGCGTCATTTTTTTAATACATGTGTCGAATGTGTCAATGTCTATGTTTTATCCTTTTTCATCTCCACATGCAGTGTCTCTGAAAAAAAGTGAAAAAAGTCTGTTAAGCTTTTACGCCCACTTAACGTCGTTACATCGTACTAAGAAGTGTTTTAGTAAGTACTAGGTACAATGTCCGTAAATGAGAGACTCGATCGTCGTTAAAACATTTTGCTCTTAAATGTAGTTTTAAGCTTAACACAAGCAGGGACGGATACAAAGGGGGGCGGCAGGACTTTCGCACCCCCCTGAGATTTCAGAATAGCTTCTCAATAGCACTTAAGGGAAAGAAAACGTATAGTGCAAAACAGGAAAAATATCTATCTTAAAATTGTTCTTTTTGTTCCTAAATCCGGATTTTTTTGTTACGAAATAAATCAAGCACCCCCTCACTTAACTCCTGTATTTGCCCCTCTTCACAAGTATGCCTAAAATTCGAAAATGAGCTGTTTTCCAAATCTTTTCAACAAATTTGATATATATTTTATTTTTTACGTTTTATGGAACAGAACGGAAGGAACTTCGCATGTTCATAGATAGAATTGCGGATTTAAAAAAAAATAAAATAAAGTAATGTTTAATTTTCTTTTAATGGAAAAGGAACCGAGTAAATTTCAATACATTTCGAAGGATAAAACGGCCTTTAAAGGGAGTGACCGGCTATGTAAGGTACTTAAACTGAGTATGCAGTGTTGTGGAGAACTTCTTTCGGATTCATTTGAGACATATTAAACTTTTTTAAGATCAGTTTGAGCTCAAATTCGACGTTCAAAACTCCTACTTTGGGGGTGGATACGTTTTCAGAACTAGTTTTTTTTTATTATTAAATAACGACGACGAAAAATAAAATTAAAATTATACAGTAATCTAATTAGATGGGTGGGAACATATTTTTCAAAAGAAATTTGTCAATAAATCAATGCTAAAATCGATTATTTCGTTTTCATTATTATATTGAATTTCTTATTTTCTTTGAATTAATTCGCAGATTTCTTCAAATTCTTTAAATGTCGTCTTTTCAATAATAATTCTAGAAAATCTGCAGAAAATCTTTGTGAATAATGAGAAACCAGAACAATGAAAAAATAGAAACTAATAATTGAACAAGATTACTTATTTTTTCGATTAGATTAATTTTTATTTTCTCAACATGTTCCTATACATGACGTCTGTAGTTTATTGTAGAACTTTTTTACATTTTATGTAGTCGTTATTTAATAATTTTAAAAAACTAATTCTGAAAACGTATCCACCCCCAGAGGAGGAGTTTTGAACGTCGAATTTGCGCTCAAACTCAGGATTTACAGATCTTTAAACAGTTTAATAATATGTCTCAAAAGAATCCGAAAGAAGTTTTCCACAATACTGCATACTCAGTTCAACTACCTTACATAACCGGTCACTCCCTTTAAGAGAAAAATGATTCGTGGACGACCCCCCTCCCCCCCCCCCCCGCAACGAAAATATTGATAATTTTGTTTTAAAACTAGTCATTTTAGCTTGACTTTGATGATATTTTATGTACATTTAACATTGTTTTATTATTATACTTTTAACTTAGCTTTACCTTAAATTTGACTTTGATAGCAAACTAGAATTTGATGATAATTATAGCTAGTTCTGAGCAAAGTAAGGGGGGGGGGCGTGCAACCAGCCCCCTTGCACGCCCCTGTAAATAACTATAACATGCATAGTATATAGTAAATATATACAATACACTATAGTCTTCAAGAAAAATTATTAAAATAAAATAAAATTATGTTTTTTTGTGAACTATGTTTTTATGAGGAGAAAACGATAATACGTTGGCACATTGATACAATAATACAATGATACAGTGATACAATGATACAATGATACAGTGATACAATAATACAATGATACAGTGATACATTGATACAATGATACAGTGTAACAATGATACAATGATACAATGATACATTGATACAATAATACAATGATACAGTGATACATTGATACAATGATATAATGATACAATGATACAATGATACAGTGAAACATTGATACAATAATACAATGATACAGTGATACATTGATACAATGATATAATGATACAATGATACAATGATACAGTGATACATTGATACAGTGATACAATGATACATTGATACAGTGATACAATGATACAATGCTACAATGATACAAGGATACAAGGATACAATGATACAATGATACAATGATACAATGATACAGTGATACAATAATACAATGATACAATGATACAATGATACAATGATACAGTGATACAATGATACAATGATACAATGATACAATGATACATTGATACAATGATACAATGATACAATGATACAATGATACAAGGATACAATGATACAATGATACAATGATACAATGATACAATGATACAATGATACAGTGATACAATGATACAATGATACAATGATACAATGATACAATGATACAATGATACAATGATACAATGATACAATTATACAATGATACAAAGATATAGAACGATAAAGCTAATATAAAATCTTTATATAGACGGAGTAAGGATCATTAGTCCTCTACTCCTCACTGAACATACATTAGATCAAGATCAGAACCAGGTTCAGAGATTACAAAGATAGATCAAGATCAAGCCCAGGTTCAGAGATTACAAAGTTAGATCAAGATGAAAACCAGGTTCAGAGATTACAAAGATAGATCAAGATCAAGACCAGGTTCAGAGATTACAAAGTTAGATCAAGATCAAGACCAGGTTCATAGATTAAAAAGATATTTCAAGATCAAGACCAGGTTCAGAGATTACAAAGTTAGTTCAAGATCAAGACCAGGTTCAGAGATTACAAAGTTAGTTCAAGATGAAAACCAGGTTCAGAGATTACAAAGTTACTTCAAGATCAAGACCAGGTTCAGAGATTAAAAAGATAGATCAAGATCAAGATCAGGTTCAGAGATTACAAAGATAGATCAAGATCAAGACCAGGTTCACAGATTACAAAGATAGATCAAGATCAAACCCAATTACAAAGATAGATTAAGATCAAGAACTGTTTAAGAGATTTCAAAGTTAGATCAAGATCAAACCCAATTACAAAGATAGATCAAGATCAAGAACAGTTTAAGAGATTTCAAAGTTAGATCAAGATCAAGCCCAGGTTCAGAAATTACAAAGTTAGATCAAGGTTCAGAGATTACAAAGATAAATCAAGATCTAGACCAGGTTCAGAGATTACAAAGATAGATCAAGATCTAGACCAGGTTCAGAGATTACAAAGATAGATCAAGATCAAGACAAGGTTCAGAGATTACAAAGATGGATCAAGATCAGTACCTTTAAAAAATACAACAAGATTGGCGTGAGAGTTTAGGACGTCTCAACAGTTGATCTCTGATTTGATTTGATTTGA